CGGTGACCGTGCAGCCGCCGTGCCGTTTTTAAGCGTTTTGCCTCTATTTTCACCGAAAAATCGTGCTTTTGCTGCGCGATCAGTGAATTCGTACGAAAATTTCACGGCCGCCTCCTGCCTCCGTACGTATGCCGCACGGAAAAGGGGATACGGGCAGGATACGGGCTCCGTAGACTTATCGCAGGTCAAATGTAATCCAGGCATTAATGGAGGCGGGGCCGGAGAGGGGGGGGGGGCGTCGCTAAAATTATTTCGAACGAAAAGAGCTGAAATGATGCCGCGTGCACCTTGCGTGGAACGTTTCCAACTTACGAAGTGGGCATGAGGTGGAGTTCTTTAAATACTCTATATAAGCAGATCTTGACGCTGAAAGGAAATTAACCGTGTTTTGACGTATAGAGTATAATATTTTTTTTTGAAAGTTAATGCTGTTCTTTCCTCTGAAGAAAAAATCCCTACCATGTTAAAAAAAAATGTATAACATGTATACTAACATAATAGTACAACCATCAATTTTGAAATTATGTCGATATTTTATATGTATTTGTGCAGTAAAGATAATCCCAATTTCAATCAATTTTGTATTGGATGGAATAGGATTGAATGGTATAGATCAACCCAAACTTTAGAAACGAGCTACCATACATGTGCTTTGTGGCATGCACACTAGATAACGCCATCAGGTCAGCTACACGATGAATTATGGTTTTTGCTAGCATAATATGCAATATCCAAATCATACTTCATTTATGAAAACCGATAAGTTCTCGAAACAAAACAAAAGCACAGAAACCAATATATACAAAGAAATAAAACAAAAATACCTAAAGCACGTAGAATGCATGTAGTATAAACTTGAAATAGCAATACTCACCATTGGTGTCAATCTCCAATGACAATGAACATGCAATTTATTGATAATGGTCCAGTCACGTAATAAGGTAATACGCAGAAAACTTTTGGTTATTTTCCACTCTGCAGTTTTGTCTTTCTATCTCAAAGAGGAGAACATTAATTCACCGACTCGCACACTGAAAAGTTTGTTGATTGTTCTTTTATTTTCTTGTGACGTTGTCTGAAATCATTCTAATAAAGGAAACCTTTCGATATTGTGTTTAGCAAGTGAAAGTGCAAAGGAAATTTCGATTTATGTCGATATATTTTTATTGCAAAATCATCCTGATATTTCAAAAAAGACTGTTGATCCACTAGCACAAAGGTTTCCAGACTTTTTGCGAGTGAATTTTAATTATCAAATCAGATACAAAATTAATGTTCACAAACTTATGTTGATAAGGCGAAAACGAGAAGCCAAGAACACTTCTAAAACAGTTAATATTCCTCCCCGCACAGCGGTTTAATCCGATTAGTGATCTATGGTAGTGCGTTTGGTTTAGATGAAGCTATTTGCAACCACAATAAATATGTCTAGGCAGAAACAGATAGGAACCAACTCTAAGATCACTCAAACCAATCAATAACATCCCGAACAAAATTAACGTTAGAACAGGAGCATCTATCAATACTAATAATAATAATAGTGGGTTCTTGTATAGCGCTCATGACATTCCTGGCGCATGCGCAATAGACAGCGGATAAATGGCTTTAGCCAATGAAAGTGACGTTATGTGATCGCAGTATGGTTAGCTTGGTGTAACGAGCTTGGCGTGCCTCGTTATTACGTTTAATCTAAACACGTGCCTGATCAGAAACTCTGTTATAATATGATAACCCTACAATCCAAGTTTTAAAAAAATGTATAGATGTGTTGCACTTTTTTTTTATACATTTCTTTATATCTGAGTGAATCCTTAAATATAAACCACGCACTCTGACAGGGCATCAATAGATAAAGGAGGAATCGTATTTACATCTAGCCTTTAAGGTAAAGTTGAGTTTTGTTATTATAAGGCGCTACACAAACTAATTTTTTTGTGAGATAATGAAAAACTGAGTGTCAAATTGGAAAGAGTATACAATTTAAATGACAAAATCATCTTTGTTTGATAAAAATCGGTTTAGAGACGGCTGAAGTATCCATAAATATAACAACGTCCAATATTTGTGGGGATCAACGAATATTCGATATTATTGTGAAACAGCGGTTGAAAAAACGAGATAACGCTTTTTACGTTTTATTCCAGCCAATGCCGACGTTGGCTTTTTCATGTTGGTTATAATACGCAAAAACAGCCGGCCCGTATATATCGTTATTATTAATTAATTAACGTTCACCGTATATTTGTTTAAATGGAGCTGAATTGGATAACTGAATTTAATCTAAATTTCACAAATTTTGGAGTATAAAATTACCTACATAGCAATTTCAGATCCTATTAAAAGGGCACTAGAAAAGTCATAAATGAGAATAAGAACAATAACCATATCACTTTGAATGCATTTGCGGTCTTAAACAAGAACTAAACTGTCTCTTTAGACATATTAAAGCTATGATGCATATACGATTTCCTTCACCCTAACATTGTTTGTTCACTTCCCATCAACACTGTCATTGGCAATTACCCTACATTCGTAATTAGATTGCAATTATCTCCGTCTCCTTTATAATTTTTTGATTGGGAATAAAGTAGAATGTTGTTATGCTGCATGGACATCCCGGCATTGACAGATAAAAATTAGTCTTTTTCTAGGTGATATTTTAAAGAATAACGTTTGACATTATTAATTTGGCTCTCAATAAAAGCACGATCACATCATATTCGCTCTTCATTTGCAGTAATCATTGTTACTAGAGCCATTAGATGATAAGATAATAAACAACGTCATTCTCACCCCACCTCTCTCTCTCTCTCCTTATCATCCGTCGACCTCTTTTAATTGCATTTCACGATCATATTCTCCAATCATATTTTCCGTTCCTGCCCACAAATACTCCATAACGTAATAGCTCTACCTCATATTCCGTTCACACAATATCCTACACAATATCCTCGAATGAAATTTCGCTTAATTGTTTACACTTAATTGTTTTCATACAAAACATTTTTATCATCCGCATGCTTGAATAAAAATGGAATACATCAACATGAAAGCGAAGATGTATTAAGTTTGTCAAATTTCTTTAAATTTAATATCTAGACCTTAATCCCTCTTCCTCCTCGCCATTTTATATTCTTTGGTCACATGCGTTTATATTTTGTCTTTTTCGAAACTTTTTTGCTTAGCAAATGAAAATATATATCGATCTTTTTCGTTTAATTTGTTAGAATATTTTTCAACCTACATACCGTGTGAGTCAAAAAAGGTTTACACCTAGAAAATTGCTAATTATTTTAAAAATCATCAATGAACAGTAAATTATTATACATCTTATGAAAGAGTGTGTTATCCCAAATCCTTTGTATCATTTTTGTGTGGTATGTGCTCACGCTTGGATAAACAGGAGGCATTGTTTGCGAGAGTGCAAAATTCGACTTGCGCCAAAGTGATGCCTACAGTACGTATTATCTTGGGATTAGCGGAGTGAGAGAACGAATTGAATGTATCAAATGAAATTCATTGCATATGCTTTTTGCAGAATTTAAGTCACGCTCATACACTCACACGCGCACAAATGTTCGTTGATATTCGATATTTGTTAGGGATGTTATTTGGATTTGCAAAGACCAAATTATTACCCAAATCCCAATTGTTTTATTCAAACATCAAACAATGCCTCCTGATCATCCAAGCGTGAACACACAACACACAACACACAACACAACATGATTCTGTATAAAAACACTCTTTCATAAGATGTATAATAATATAATGTTACTGTTCATATATGATTTTTAAAATAATAAGCAATTTTCTAGGTGTAAACTTTTTTTGACCCACACTGTACATACATGCTAACATTTGAAAATCAGAAATCTGTACAAATTATGCTATTTTCAAAAAAAAGAGGAACAATCCTAACTCTCCTATTCAATGCTACAGACAAATTTGTACAGGAAGAGGAACACCTGCATTAAAATGATAATTATCTTCTCCCAAAAAGAGGAATGTTTCTCTTTAATCTGAACAGTTGGCATGTATGCACTGTATACCGGCAACTTTTAACTAAAACATCCTAGTAAATCTTGTTGGAAATTGTCGGTAAACTTGTGTCCGACTTGTCTGCCTATTTGGGTCGACATGCGCAACTTTCCAAATAAACTGCGACAAACCTGATTTAAAGCAATCTTGTCACCTTTTCTGTTTCTCAGCATATTTTCCGCTTTCATCGACAGCTCTCCTACTCTCTCTTTCTCTTCCTCCTTCTCCTCTTAAATTGTAGTGTTTTTACTTTCTCTCCTTGTCTTTCTACTTCGCTTTATCCTCTTTCTTACTTTGTCTCCACCTTTACTCCCTTTATTTTCCTTTCCATACTTTACCTATACATTTCACGTGTTTGATTTGTCCATTTATCAGTTATTATCAACTCTGCCTCTTTATAATATAGCAAAGGGGAAGAGAAGGTAGAACTATCAATCACACCAATATGCAATGACATTCAGATCTACTAGAGCAGGAAGAGAGAGTAGCAAATGAAAATGCAGAGATAAAGAAAAGAAAAAGTTAGAGAAGAGAGAGAAGGTGATGGGTAAGAAGAAAGGCAGGAGAGATCGAATGAGAAAAGGAACAGAAAGAAAAAGAAAAGTGGGGGAAGACAGTGAGAGAGAGAGAGAGATAGATAAAAAGAGGGGGGGGGGGGCGTTGAGAGAGGAACTGATCTCTTATTGAGAAGAAAGACGTTCATGTCTAAATACAAGTATGAAATATTGATGTGACGTATGGACCACCTCCATTTTTGAAGTATTTCATCAATTGATGCAATGGAGGAAAAGAACATTACAAAATGAAGGGGGGGGGGGGGGGCAGAATAAAGAAAGAGAAGGTAGGAGGGGAGAGACGGGTAAGAGTAATTTGGTAAAGAAGCATTACAGAAGCTGTGTAGAAATACTAATAATACTAGTTTACCAAACACAGAATTGAAGGAAAATGTTTGTAACAGGTTCATGTAGCCAATAGGTTTCGTATCATTTATTAAATATGCTTATATGTATAAAAATATGAAAAAGGAAAATACAATGTACAAAAACTGATTTTACATAATAGTAAAAATTATAATCACTAAGTCCACTTCATTATATTATGCACATTAACAATAACAAAAATGCCTACAATACATAGAAATTAAATTGGTTATCTAAAACTACATGTACGTACTTGGAAACTAAATTGGATACCATCACATTGCTATTCAAGTCAAACTGTAGCACCAAAAGCAGTCTTAATATACAATATAAGAAGAGTGGAATGTTGAATGTAAGAAACTGATTGTTTTCTACATTCACTACTATCTGCATATGTACTGACTAGTTTGTAATTATTGCTGAATGAATAATTAAAATCAGGTCCACAATCCGAATTTATTCGAATGACAGTGTATGTTGCTGGCTATCTCATAATCAAACCCCTTCACAGGATGCATATGCTAAGCATTAATCCCATTGTTCAAGAAAAATTAGTGTTGAAGATTCCATGAACCTTTTATTGTATTTTATAAAATTAGTCATCCATAACGAAATATATACTGGCTTAATAAATAAAATGAAATACATTTATTTATCTACAAGTACTGAGTTGAATATTTACATTTTTAATTGAAAATTGAATGAAGCCAGAAATCCCCACTTTCCCACCAAGAATTATTCTTCGGAAATCACCTTGCACATTCTGACATTTTTTTTATCCACCTGTACATATAAGTGAAATTTAATGATAAACAACAGAAATACACAAAAGACAATATTGTTTCATCCAAAGTCCTTTAAATACTGTGCTTCTGTTTTAAATCTTTACTATCTTAAAGATTATAATATGAGATAAACCAAGATAAGATACAATAAGTTATGATTTCAATATATTAAACTCATCCCTAAAATAAGAAATTAGGATGAACATCATAGCATTAACAACGCACAGTTACATAGAAAAGTATAGAGTAAAGGTACAAAATAATTTGAAAATGACAGAACTTCTAACTTAGATAAATACTTTGAAACTGAACGAATAAATGAGAACAACATATTATGTACAATGCATTATGACAAAGACACGTGAAAACAATATATTAAAACAACAAAAATAAAAGATAAACATGAGCAAGGACAGTTAAAGACAGTTGAAAAACAGCTGAAATATTTGAAAAGATTTGCATTCAATAGAACTGTATAGAGATAAAACAATTAACACAAAATAACTTGCAGCTCGTCTAAAAAACTTGTCTGAGTTGAATAAAAAGAAATTTGGTATTGAATATTGTTAAAAAGATATTTGGCCTTTCAACGATGTCAAATTATATTTCTGACATCAAAATTTCCAAATAGATCATGCATATTAATTCTTCTGACTCATAACTTTTCCGTCCATAAATATAAATGCACATATGTATGATTTTCTTAAAGTATTGGATACTTTGATATATCATACTTTTCATCTACTGTATTGCTCTAAATAATACCACAACGAGATTGTGATCTTTCATTACTGGATTCGTTCGGTGTCACCTACTATCATCAACTACATCCCTTCTCATGTGTCGTATTGCATATCTCAGGTAACTAGTTCCAGTAAGCTGCTGTTAAACAAAAGACTTTTCGCCTGGTCTTGTGCATAGACAGCCCAGAACAACAACAAATATAACGATGAGCACAACAAGAATACAGATGACCGCTATCCACCAAGGCTCTATCAGCAGCTCTGATGCTGTATCATCATTGGTCTGGGATCCAGTATCAGGGTTGCCAGTATCTGCAAACTTAGAACTCGAAGGTGCTGCAGAGAAACAAATTGTAAAAGAAAGTTTGCTTTATTGTAGTTATGAAGATATCCGCATTTGTAAAACGCTGATAAGGGTTTCTGAAAGAAATGTCATGAGAACTGATGGGCAACAAATAAAAGCACTCGGCCATTCTAAATTATATTTCATGGCAAGATGTGTAGTAGTATCCCCTAATATTCCAAGGCATTTGAAGAGGATCTAAGTGAGAACTACAAATGTATGACCTCTTTTGTAATTATGCAGCAAGCTCTTAGATTAACTTCAATTTGAGAAACAAAACTGGATATAAAGGAATCCAGATTGATATAATGTTGACACACACATTATGGTAATTTAGTGTCTTAAAGGGGGTGTAGCATGACGAGACTACGTGTCTTTCCCGCAGCCAATCAGGTATAATACGACTAAAGATGATGCAACCGCAGTATGCACGTGCGTGCAACATACGCGCAACTGAAGCGTGAGGAGAACTTTCAAAAGAAAAGTTTGTTGCGTAATCCAGAAGCGAAAGGTATACGCTGAATGTGCCCTGATACTATTCAACATGCTCTTTTTGTAACATATACAAAATTGTACATTTTTACCAAAATGTTCGAAAATTTGTAGTTTGAACTTGTATCCTTTAGTGATAATACTAACAGATTATCTACACAATTATACTGTGAATAGTTTAATACTGTAAAATATAGCAATTAAAAATATTGTTGTAGTTTTTTTTTAGACACCCCATATACATAAAACGAGATATACTGTATGATTACAAAATGTAATGCCCTGATGGAATTTTTGTTATGAAAAGAACATAATCCCACATGACATGACTAGGCATCTTTTGATATATAACCAAAACATAGATACTTTTTTAATGTTGAAGTTTGTGTTTTGAAAGAATTAAGTTTACACACTATAGCCTTGGGCTCCAATACACACAGTCAATGTGGTTATCAACATTTTTTCCGGATGAAAATATTTAAAAACACACACAAAGAAATTAATGCATTTCTCCAGTAGGACCATGCTTTTATTCGTCTGCAAATCAACTTCATGTTAATTATCAAATTTACCAATTTATATGGTTAATGGATAAATGGTAGAAATGGTGGTTGTAAGAACTAAAAACTTATTGCACCAAAGACATACATGGTCTTATAATTTGGATGGGGAAAAAAAGTCAATTTCTGATGAAGACAGTGTTATCACACCCATTTTATTCCACACATAGGATTTTTTTACTTTTATGAACAGATAACATTTAGACACTTGATAATTACATGGTTGGTTGAACAATTTTGCCTGAAATTAATTACATGGACCTAATTTCTGCATTAACATATATTTTTTTCTCCTTGCGATGTGGTAAGCTTAAGAGATAAATTTAGGTCTGAGTAAAATGAGACTCCTTGACGTGTTGTTACATGTATCTGCCCAATATAACATCAGTATAATCAGGAGGGTTAGTAGAGTCAGGGAATACAAGTCTTTAATTCCATCAAGTACCAAACACTATGAACATGACAGACAAAGAAAGCGGACAAAATATACAGTTCCTCCGGTAGACAAAGGAACATCCCTTCACTGCTATTATGTAAAAATGTGTAGAACAGGTGTCACATGCATATTCACCTGTTCTACACATTTTTTCATAATAGCAGTGAAGGGATGTTCCTTTATCTACCTGAGGAACTGTATATTTTGTCCGCTTTCTTTGTCTGTCATATTCATAGTGAAACTTGCAAATGTGTTAAATGCACTTTGTAATGTAATTTATATAAAAAGAGGAAAGGCTGCCAGTTATCACTTACACCTGCATTAATTTGACATCACATATATAATGATAAACATTGTGAATGATACTGGGTATAAAATGTAATAATCACTATGAACATAACAGACAAATAAAGCGGACAAAATATACAGTTTCTCATTCTACCCTCAACAATTGATATGGTAGACAAAGGAACATCCCTTCACTGCTATTATGTAAACATGTGTAGAATAGGTGAATATGCATGTGACACCTGTTTCACAGATTTTTACATAATAGCAGTGAAGGGATGTTCCTTTTTCTACCACAGCAATTGTTGAGGGTAGAATGAGGAACTGTATATTTTGTCCGCTTTCTTTGTCCACCATGTTCATAGTGAAAGCTTGGTTTGGAATTAAAGCACCCCCTTTTTCACGTAATAAAGACAAATATTGTAAAACAAATCCTGATAGGGTAGATAACTTTATCATACCTTTATCACGATCTTCCACATCTACCAGCCTTTCAAAACCTATAGTCAACGGGTTAATTTACCAAACGTTAGATTCAATGCAGAGACAGTTGCCAGGAAACAGGGAAAAGGTTTAAACATGGGGGGAGGAGGAGGAGGAAGTGGGTGCATGGCAGCTAGGGTGTCATTTACTTCTCGTTTAATTTACAATGATTTCCCCGATTACCAAATTCAAATGATTTTTGGATTATTCAACCTTTCTTGATCAATATTACAGAAGACACAGATGGTACAACTAAATTTGTTCTCTGGAGAGTGTATTTATCTCTATTTTTAAAGATGTATTAGCTGTTTGATCAGAAGGATTTAACATAAAAAGCTTTAAATTTGCCATGCTTTCTCTATGTCTTTAAATGTTTTCAAGCAAATCTATGTTATATGCATAAACTTATATTCATAATACTAATCAAGTAAAGAAAGGTCTTATGGACAAGTTTACATGAAAATATTAAACATAATTTCTGTTTTTTGTATTCTAAAAGTTGTGATGTATTATTTTCCCTTCATTTTCTTATCTTTTTATTTTTTTAAAAACAGTTCTGCCAATCAAGGTGTTATCTGAACCAATCTTCAGGTAGAATACATGATAATTACACCATAAATAAGAAGCAACAAGCGTATATATATTCACACACACAAAAAAAGTTTTGCATGCATATATTTAAAAATAAAATATTGCCAAAGAATGGAACTAGGCTGGACTAGCACTCGTGCTAAACTTCCCATTAGCAACTTTACCTTAATATTAGTAATACACATATTTATGTGTATAACATGTACATCAAAGAGTATGCAGATCTATGTGTAAATATAGTTTTAAAACTATTACTGTTCAATCAACATTACTCTTCTGTTATGTATTCATGTATCATTATTCTTCGCACTGTATGATTGTTCTAATACTGAGAATATTGAGATGTGGTGTTGTTCATGAATTTAAATTAAAATTAGAAATTATTACGAAACAACAGCTTGGAAAGCAGCATATATAGCTTGAAATGCAGTTGCTTCCAATGTGACCCTGCACCAGTATCAATCAAAAAAACTTACTCTGATTTATAGTTATGGTAGATTGAAATTAGACAAGTAGCCAGGTTTTACCAAGAAATTACAACTACCAAAGAATCTAAAATCAGACATGTTCTTTCGAACACCTGGGTAGTCATTATTAGTTTGATGGCCATCTTCCATTAAATAAAAAAGAAACTCCTACCTTAGTGCCTGTAGTTCCTAATCTCATTTTCATGAATCTTTATTGTGGTATAAATATCATGACCGAAAACATGCAATAGTTAATAATTTCCAGAAATAGGCTTACCTCTGTCACAATTTGTACCGGAGTATCCATTGGAACAGTAACATCTGTAGCTTCCAAGTGTATTAAAGCATGAACCATCATTCTTACATGGGCTCTCTCCACACTCATTAATGTCTATGGAATACAAACAAACAAAGTGAAATTCTCATGAATTTGCTTTGAACTATAAATCTACAATAGCAGAATACACTCACAGATTTGTATGAAATAAAATCATGATTGCTATAGATTCTGCTTTTTCACACATTCAGTCGGGTTCAATCACTTAACATTTTACAGCAAAACCCTCTAAAACAAATTTAATGTATCATATAAATCTCAAAAGTTGCGATCATTTCAACCTGTTTATGTGGTATACTGTACGTTGGGAAAAAAAACCCATAGTACTTTCAATGCAATCTTAGTCTTATAAATACTTTCCTTTTTTTTTTAATCAAATGGTTCTATTCACTGGAATCAGTGATGTAATTGCGGGTATTCGACACCAACAACAAACTTCTCCACTATCATGCTGTCTGAAAGGCATTTTAACGTACCTAAATTGCAATTGGTGCCAGTCCAACCGGGATTACATGCGCAACGATATTCTCCTTCTCCGATGTTCATGCATGTTCCAAACTTGCAAGGCCTGGCGTCACAAGGATCGACTTCAATTTCTATAAAAATGAAAGAATATGCAAAGAATAATTTAAAATGACTTTCTTTTGTTAATGTTGATGTGGGACAGGAAAAGGGCTTTACAGTGTTTCATTTAAAAGGAGTATTTTCATTCAATCCTTACCCATTATGCCCAATACATGTATGAAATTCATTCATAGTGAATTATCATTGTGTTTGCACTTCTTTTTTGCCCTCTGAATATAAAAAAGAATGGCATTTCAGGCTATCATCACAGCAAAAGAAAAATGCTACAACAAATACGGTGTAATTATTTAAAGTACGTGTAAATACTTGCACAGAAAATCTGAAAAATGTTTGATAAAACTGACCGTACACATAAGGTCATCATTAATAGCAAAAGGAAGAGGCTCAAAGATTCAAAGTAATTGCATGCTTTACCTTGTTCACATCTTGATCCAGTATAGCCGGGTGAACAAAAGCATTCATATTCAAAGTTGCTCACATCGACACAGGTTGCTCCATTCAGACACGGGTCACTAGAACATGAACTCCCTGGTGCATAAAGGAACAAAACATGGCATTATTATCAGGTTACTTGTAATAATATAATAACATGTCTATTTATATGGTACAGCTACATCATACTTTACTGCGCTTAATACAAAGTATTAGATTATCATCTGCCTGAAGCTGAGTCGCCATATGATAAAGCACTAAAGTATTCAAGGAGTTTCTTCCTACCGGGCATTTATTTACTTCACCTGGGTGTAGAGTGGCAAATGTAGATTAATGTCTTGCTAAAGGACATTAGTGCCACCGAAGCACTTGAACCACAAACCATGTGACCCACAGTCCAGTGACATATCCATGAGACCACAACACCACTTGTACAATGGATTTATACTATAGTGAGGCCTAAAAAAAAGATGTTGCATTGCCCTTTGCGACCGACCCAAAAATCTCTAAATCTACGGTTGGCTTTATGTTTTTTCTTCTGTTTTTTAGAAAAAAAATGTATTAAAGCATTCAAAACTGAAAAATATCAGCACAAAGAGGGAGAAAAAAAAGAAAGATTTCCAACCGACCAACCCATGTTTGGCACCTAAAGGGCAATACAACATCTTTTTTGGGGCTTTATTAGACTCTTTATTAATTTCAAAATAAAATGACTGATTCTAGGATAACTACCCTCCAAAATTACCCATGGGCAACTACCCCTTAATAAGTAGAGGAAGCAGTCACTAGGATTATCGTTTGCAGAAAATTACCCCCAGTAGGGGGAGGAGAGAGGTAATCACAAAATATAGGGATGGTGGTCTTTGTAGATAGTTGACCGGGGTCAAGTTATCTGGGATGTATTGTCTGGCATAAATTTACCATGGGGTTAGGTGTGAAGGGGATTAGTTTTATGGAGGGAAGGGGAGTTGATTGTCCACATAGATACTTGTCCAGGGGTGATACTAAAATTTATACAAAATTACTCAAATGCATAGATAAATATTACTTAAAATAATATATGATATGTTATAGGGCGCATATCCATCATGCAAAGTGCTCATGGTGCTCCAATATTACCCCCACTCTGCTAGGATACCGATTTTGGCGCTCACGTCATTCACGGAATACCCTCCTACCAGTACCAATTTAACACCAGGGCAGAGAGTAGCAAATGTAGATTAATGCCTTGCCAAAGGAAACTAGTGCTGCACTGGTGTTTTAACCACTCAAACACGACACATCTACTATTACATTGAGATTCATTTTCAGCAATTCATGCTTACCAAATTGGCAGAGTTCCCCAAAGAATCCATCCATGCATATACAGATATATGCAGTGAAGCCATCTTGTACACAGGTAGCTCCATTGAAGCAGAGATTATCTGCGCATGGATCAGGTGGTGCTGTAAAGAGGACAAAGGAAAATAAAACAAGTTACGAAAGTAATTCATCACTGCAGAAATACTTCTTGAAACAGGGCCCTGTCTTATAAAGAGTAGCGATTGCTGATACAAATCATTTGCAAGTTCTCCAATCAATCTCAAGTCTCCTATATCTTATGTATCAATCGCAAATAAGTTGCAATTAATATCAATTCTTAAATACACGCTATATTAATACTGAGAATTTTTCAGAAGCATTACATAATGAAGACATGTAATAACAACAGCATCTATTTATATGCAGAATCACTCATTATTGACCATAACACTTTTGTTTTCACTTGGGAACTTGGGAACTAAAAACAAATCAGCCGGCAGATTTTACCTATTTGACAGTGAACACCGGTAAAGCCATTAACACAGACACAGATGTATCCATTGATGTCATCAATACACTGGCCTCCATTCAAACAAGGATTGCTGTTGCACTCTTGGATATCTGGCAAAGGAATATGAGCAGGGGTAATTGTAAGATTACATGTAGCATGGATTACAACTTATGCATTGACAGTCTATTATAAAGCTAAATCTTACAAATACCAATATGCAGCAACATTTACCAACAGTTTTCGTAAATTGCTCACATATATTTTTTTCTCATCAAATTGAAGTATTAAGTTTATTTTAAGAATAAGAATTCTGAAACATTTTTTAATGCACACAGATGTAAATTTGAAAAAGTACTCTTCTTTGTAGTAGATAAGGGAAACTTTTAAAGTTTTTATATGATTAAAAAGATAGAAAATCTTCAAACGTGCATTAATGATGTAGATTCTACATGTATGAATTACAAATGTATTGCATTAAAATCATATGAAATATACAAAACCGAGCTACATGTAATTCAAGAGGGAAACTTTTGATGGAATGGAGAGAGAAAGTGAGAGAGGAAGGGGGGGGGGGGGCAGGGACATCAAGATGGTGGAAAATGATAAGGAGTGATATATTCCTTACTTATTTCACAGTAAGTTCCTGTATATCCTGCGTTACATTGACAGGTGTACTGGCTTCCTTGGCTGACACATAGAGCTCCATTCTGACATGGGGCGGTGGCACAGGCATCAGGCATCACTGAAATCAAACAGGCAAACATGATCAGTTATTATCATTCTTTGTTTCGAGATTGAATTGGTAACACGCATACCAAGACAAAGGGGAAAGAAATACATGTACTTCACTTTTCTGTTTATTAAAGGTGAATTCATAGAACTGGTTTTGAACGACAGTATGAAAAAGTTATGTTGCTCCCATTCTTCTTTAGATAAAAGGGAGAAACATCAAGTTAAACTGAATGAAAAAATAAAATATACATGTACATGTAATACAAATATGTGCCATCTATACAAACATGTATGTACACTCTCCAATATTGCAAATATTTTCAAATATGTGTGCACTTTTGCTTGATGATATCTATGCATTCAGACTCAAATGAAACAATCAATGTTTAAACATACTAGCTCATATAGTTTTCTATGAATTGAATGTGGCACACACCGTCTGCAGATACATTTTTATTGAGATACATATGTAGTCTACATATGATTGCAGAGCTACACCTTGTATGATCATCAAAGGAAGTATATACAGCTTAAAAATGAATTATTTATACCCTTGTGAATTTTGTGTTTTCAGTGTCTTTAAAGCCCCACTGCACTAGTTTGGCTAGGAGGGATTTGACCTCCCTGTATGATCACTGACAGGTGGTTATCTCATCCAATCAACTTTCAATTAACATAGGGGGATCGTGGGGACTAATGGTCATCAATTAGGCATTTTTTGCTATATAGAGGGTGCAAGTAGCTATAAGTAGTGCAGTGGGCCTTTAACAACTCAAGAATGAAAGGTAGACTGGTTAAATCAAGGGCTTTTGTTTATTACTTTTAGATATAAGCTTTACATGTCAGAATCTCAAGAAACATAAATCAGGACAAACTAATTTTTCACATACTTTACAAATTACAAAACTTGGTAAGGGTATGTAGAATTTAGTTGCTTACTGTATCACAAAGACGTAACTCCATTTTGACCATTTTGAGAAAAAGGGGTTTATGTGTCACTGAGCACTTGGGCCTTAAGGAGTCAAGTCTATGTTTCACTAGCCATTGACTTCAATTGGGTGTTGGGTGGAGTTCAGTCTTTGTGTATCCTGGAAAGCCCACATTTTCTGAACATTTTGATATCTCATACTCATTTGGGCAAAATATGGAGTTACATCTTTGTGTGACTGACCCCTCGATAACGTATACTTACCCTCTTCACAGTATCTGCCTTGGAAGCCTGGTGCACAGTTACATAGATAGCTGGTCCCACTTGCCTCACAAGTGGCGCCATTCTCGCACTGATCATAGTCACATGGATTTGCACCTGAATCACAATAGAAAGGTAGGTAGGTTCATAAATGACATTTAACACAAATAGCACTTCTATATCATCTGGTGGATAAAGTAATTGCCATAGCAATTTTTTTTACCAAATTGAGATTTTTTTTTCTTCCCAAAATCAGGTGTTTTATATAAGAGCCAATATGTATGTGAGGCCTTGCTTCCATTTCCAATCTCAAAATGTAATCAAAATATGAAGTGCCTGAATCAAGTTACACAGAAACCAAACAGAAAATACTTTTCTTCTCCTTCTCTTAAGTATAACGATCACTTCGACAATTTCATTCATGTGATGATATGATACATGTATTCCAATATTAACATATCCAGCACTAGATATTTGGGGGTAGAAATGACAGAAAAAAGAGGTGGCAAAAATGGCACAGTAAAGAGAAAAGGTGCAATTTTTAACTTAAGAAAATTGCACTAAATTGATTACATTGTTTCCATCAACATGTATAGATTTAATATGATTTAAAATAAAGAATTCATTCAATCTGACAAACAAGGGTAAATCATATTCACCAATATATGAAAGCTAGGCAAGTGGGAGGGGGCATGCAGGAGAAATGCACTTACCAACAGGGATCTCATTCTCACAAAGGGTTCCATACCACCCAGCTATGCAATAGCACATGAAATCATTGATGCCATTGCCAGTCTGGGTACAGTCTGAGCCATGGAGACAGGGGAAACCATTACAGTTGTCTATTACAGGAAGTAAACAAAACAAGTCATGAGTTACAAGTAGCTATGTTATCAATAAGATTGTAGCAAAACAAAATGTTTATAGAATTTGCCTTTAATTTTGAATTGACAACAGAAAAGTATTAGATTTTGCTCCTACTGCAGAATTCAACTTATTCAATTTAATCTCAAAAGCAGTGCTATAGTGGTTGTCTAGACACGGCAGGGGGAGAGGGAGGTCACTGATATTCTTTGATCCTTGAACATACTCACAATGCCTAAATTAGAGGTGTATTCACAGAATGTTTGTATCGTCTAACAATCTTTTCTTTCTTCTCCATCTTCCTTTGTTTTACATGTCACTCTAAAAACTTGCATCATCATGGAGACCAAGCAATACACCTTATCTCGCATTTAGAGATCCTAATATTTGACCAATGAGAAAAAATGTGAATCCCATGACAAGTTGTACTTACATGCCAATGCCTCATCCATGATCTTGATTGAGAAGCCCCTGGCTGTGAAATCACCTGTCTCTTCTCCAGAAGTGAATACAACCCACAAACCAGTTGACGTGGAGTCAAAGTTGGATGGGATGGTGCTTCCTGAGGCACGTACCACCAAAGAATTTCGGTCATTGGGGTCCTGTCCGTTGCCAGCCTCAAGGAAGTCCAATCCCTCGCGGGTACTGAAGTCTGTGAAGATCAGACGCATCCTAAGTGGCTCAGAGATCCGGCGCATCCTACGTGGCTCAGAGATCCTGATCAGCCAGCGACAGAAGCGACGGCTGCTGTATTCATTGGGGTAGTTTGGAGAGAATATCTCATATGCTCCATTCACCGGAATGTCGACCGACTGGATGCAATCGTTTTCTGTATGGAAATGGCAGAAAAAGTAGGGTATTGCATGCTGGAAATTGTATATATTGTTATGATAGGTATGTTCATTTTAATGTTTTGACAATGAAACAGTGCCTTTTTCAGAGCATTTAAACAGAAAGGTGTATTTGCTGTTAATGTTTTATATCAAATAAAAACATGTATAAATTGTGATCAATTTCCAAATAGTTCAAGTTACCCCTGATTTAACTTGTATTCTTATCCCCAACTGTATTATTCATAGTTCCTAAAAAAACAAGGAACACCAAGCTTACCTTCCTCACATCTCAGCCCAGTGAATCCGTTGGGACACACACAAAAGAACTGATTGATAAGGTTCTGGCACATGGCACCGTTCTCACATGGGTTTGATGCACATTCATTGATATCTGGTCATCAAAAAAAGGAAAAAACATATATGATCAATTTGGAATTAAAAAGTATACATCTTTCGTCAAAAGACGAATAGCTTCACATTAAGGAACAATTATAATGTAGCGCCTTGAGTAATACTACATCAGAGAGTGTCCTTTAGAATACTCATTATTGCTGATATCGTGCTATTTTCTATATACATGAATTGGAAGGTGTCAGAAAGAATGTGACAAAAGACAATGAAACGTTTCCAAGAATTTGCCTGAAGCAGAATCTGTTACAAAAAAACACATAGACATAACAGAGTTTTTAATCAGAAAAAAGAAATGAATGGAAAGTCACCATGGACCGTTTTGACATACCTGTCTCACAGAATGTACCTTCATAGCCTGGTACACACATACACATGAAGCCATTGATCATGTCTATGCACGTGGCTCCATTCAAACAAGGATTGTTTGCACACTCATCAATATCTGGAAATAACCCAAGAGAATGACATGAGAAAATGTTTAGAGTAATCCCACACTTGTATGCTCTATGATTTATTCCAGCTTTATTTATTGCAGAAGGTGTTGTACAAGCAAACATGAAAGACACTCCTTAAAATCCTTAAGTGAACATTACAGGTAAACAGAGATCAGGGCAATTTGAGGGATTTTCAATTAATATGTTTTTCAATCGATTTTTTTTTTTACACAGTTATTCCCATTTAGGAAAGAAAAATGATTAAATAACACTGATTGGTATTCAGGTGGTATGAGGCTACACTGCCTAAGTATAATCTTTGTCAATATTCTAACATGTACAAAAAAGAATGCCTTACAAAAATGGCCTATTGGTAGATGCAAAGAGATGGGTTTATTATAACTCTACTTCATCTGTGTTGATAAAAGAGCATATCTTACCAGTCTCACAGTTAGATCCTGTATATCCTGGTGCACAGATGCAAGTATGACTATTGACATCATCCATACACGTACCTCCATTCAGACAAGGATCGCTACCACACTCATTGTTATCTAGCAATTGAAAGTGATATATTGACACAAATAATCGCTGTAAGCTCATACTTTCAAATTTTAGAAGAAAAAAAAATTGTTAATGAACTGCAGTTCTCGAAACAGAAAATACAAATCTTGCTAATTAAAGACAGCTTTTAATTGACAACAATATTCATAACTCTATATCACTCTAGTTTAAACAAAATTGAAGAGAAATACATTTCACAACCAATATTGCTAAAAAATAAAGGTCAAAATGCATGAAAGGCATCAAAAACATTAAAGTCTTGCTTCTTGTTGAATAGGTTATACTTTTTTCTATTGCTGAGACTTACTGAAATTTAAAACGCAATTTATTTATTTTTTAAATAAAAATAAAGTTAATCAATCAAAATAGTAAGATATTTAAGACTTACTTATTTCACAGTTAAATCCAGTATATCCAGGGGCACACTGACAACTGTATCCATTAGCTAAATCTGTACAGGTACCACCATTCAAACATGGATCGCTGGAGCACTCGTTGGTATCTGGAAGAATCATGATATTTAATAATATTTCATTGATATCTAGCAATTGAAACAAATTGACACAAATAATCGCTGTAAGCTCTTACTTTCAGAATTTAGAATAAAGACATTTTATGATTTTAGTTCATGAACTGCAGTTCTCGAAACAGAAAATACAAATCTTGCTAATGTAAAGACAGCTGCTAAATGACAACAATATTCATAACTCTATATCATTCTAGTTTAAACAAAATTGAAGAGAAATACAGTTAAGTCACAACCAATATTGCTAAAGAATAAAGTTCAAAATGAAAGGCATCAAACACATTTAAGTCTTGCTTATTGTTGAATAGGTTATCTTTTTTTCATTGTTGAGACTTACTGAAATTTAAAACGCAATTTATTTTAAAAAAAATTACAAAAAAAAAATTAATCAATCAAAATAGTAAGACATTTAAGACTTACTTATTTCACAGTTTAATCCAGTATATCCAGGGGCACACTGACAACTGTATCCATTGGATAAGTCTGTACAGGTACCATCATTCAAACATGGATCGCTGGAGCACTCATTGGTATCTGAAAGAATCATGATATTTAATAATATTGAGTATGATTTCTGACAAAAACGATTGTGTTGTTGACATGTACTGTGGGTACCTATATATGTACTACCTATAAAGTGTTCTCTGATATTAACAATGTGAACAATAAGTTATTTGAAGATAGCATGCAAGATCATGTATCATATCAATTTCTGTTTCATGGTTAATCATTAATAATTGAATCAAACTGGTTGTATCCCCGCCAGGGATTGAAATATTCAAGATATATATTGCATTTCAGTTGTACATATTTGTTGTGAATGAAAATATTCAGTGATTGCAAAGAGAAATCACACCATTGCGTATATAAGAACAGAAAATATATGTTCCAAGATATCAAAGACAAGGCATGAAATACAGCATTACTTACACAGGAAAATAAAACATTTTATTAGATACAGAATGAGAGAATGCGTCGATGCTACTGCATATACATGTAGATGTAATTACAATGTTGGTACAGTAAGTTAACAGTGTGTGATTTAGATTTTTACCTGTCTCACACTGAGTGCCTTCATATCCTGGCTGGCAGACACAGATGACCAATCCAACTTGATTTAAACAGAAAGCACCATTTTGACATGGATCACTTAAACAGTTGTCCGTTACTGTAGGAGGGTGAGAGTAAGATAAAGACAAGGGATTGAGATAGAGAAACATATAATACTTTTAATGTACCACAAATAAGTCACCATAAATAATACAGATTTGATAACTATTACAAATATAGAACTACCATTTTAATTTTGATGCATGAAGGGGTGTATATTCAATATCTTCAAAAGTGCACAACTAACATTTCTATAACCATTTTATTTCAAAGCATGTGTAATGTACTCTAATTACATGTATCCAGGACTAAAACCAAACAAGAAGAGCAAGGTAGTAGATGTTACTGAGTACCTTATCAGAAACCACATTAACTTCATACCTGATTCACAGTGGACTCCCTCATAACCAACAGCGCAGTCACAGATGTAGTTGGTTATCATGTTGTTACAAGTTGCACCATTCTCACACGGACTGGAGTTACAGGGGTCAATTTCTGTGAAAGAAAATTTAAATATGGTTTAATATTTTAGATCTTTTTGTACAAATACATGAAAAGATAGGGCATCCTAATATCCAGTAAATTAAAAGATACCATCCAAAATAACATAACAGTATATCATTTTCGGGACTTGAAAGTAAGGAGAATATCTGAAATGTTTAATTGAATTGCTTCCAAAACATAATTTAATGTACATATGCCATGGAAATTGATTATACAAATGCTGCAGTATTAATAGAAATAGAACCTAGGCTCAAAGGACTTTATGTTCTGAAGTGTCCTGCTTCTCCTGTCCCCTTTGAAAGAAATCTTCTTTAAAACTTGTGTAAAAAAACATCAGAGATAAGTGAATGTTATCATACCTATTTCACAGTTGTTGCCTGTATACCCGAGTGGGCAAGTACACACATAGAATGAGTTGAATTCATTACAGGTAGCTCCGTTCAGACATGGGTCCGACTCACATGCAAACAATCCTATTCCAGGAAGAAAAGAACAAAAAACTAGTAAACACATAATAGAGCTTTCCCATTGCTCCTAATTAATTACATTTATGTGATTGTAATATCAATATGCAAATGGGACATACTATCACACGTTACCTTAACGTAATCACAATCTGGAATCTTTCCCTCATAAACAACTTAACAAAAAGCTTAGTGTACCACATAAATTTTAGCTAATTTACACTACTTCAAGAAACACGAAACGATGAAGAAAAAAAAGAGTAAGATCTTGGAGGAGGGATCGTACTTGTTTCACAGTTGACTCCTGTCCATCCTGGAGCGCAGACACAGGTGTAGTTGCTGATGTTATTCACACAGGTTGCTCCATTCATACACAAGTCAGGGTCACATGCATCCACATCTGAAACAAAATAAGCATTGACAATTTTCTATGTCGTCTCCTCACTTGCAACTCATTGACAGAGAGCTTTTCTCAATGCATACTTGTTATATACATATAAACCTCCATGTACTTACATATTTATCATGGTAACCTTAGACCTTACTGGTTTCAGATGAAAACAAACTGTAACAGAAGAGACCTTTCATGATGAGACATCAATTTCATGTGTGTATACTATCAACACAGTTTACTTGTCATGTACTTCTTATGTAAGATTGTCGTTTCTGAAATTGACAATGTACTTTTAATAACTAAAAGAGGAACATATCAAATTAATTCAACTCTGTAACTAAAACGCTTACCTATCTCACAGTTGGTGCCATCATACCCAGGAGGGCAGGTACAGTTGTAGGAAGTAAAGAAATTGTTGCATGTTGCTCCATTCTGACATGGGTCAGGATCACAAGCATCTAGTTCTAATTAGTAACAGGAGAACAAGGGTAAATCAATAATAAAGACTAGCTAGAATCGTTGGACTGTATAAAATATTCATTATTCTTTAGAATTCATGCATTGTTTTTAAATACAATTAAGTTAAAAAACAGTTATTTTCTCCACTTTATTTATTAAAACAGTGATCTTTACATATTCAGTAACACCTTTTGACCGATTCTAAACCCCACTAGTCTACAAACATTTAAAGAAAATAAGATGAAGCATCGATGATCGCATTTTATATTATTATTATTAAGTATTTGGCATCACCTGTGCATGAATGGGGGTGTGTAGGTGGGCTACAACACTACTCTTATACACATAGTGCAGATGGTTCTTTTATAACATGCAAAGGTGGTGACTCTTCTCTACACAGGCCTTCATTTAACATCCTATTCACAGGACGGAGTGTTTTAAAATAGCCTGCGTCTATGAAACAGGGGGTCACGTTAACACACAACGCATGCTTCAGTAAACGTAGGCTTTTATACATGGGCAATCAAATTTCAACATTAGATTCAGAGAAGCGGCAGGAATAGTTTAGAGTGAGTTTGCAATCTTTACCCGTCTCGCAGTTCTCTCCAGTATAGTCTATTGGGCATGTGCAGGTGTAGAAGGTGATGAAATCATTGCAAGTGGCACCATTAAGACATCCGTTACCATCACATGCATTTTCAACTGTAGTGAAGAGAATATAAACACATAAAAATACGAGGGCATAACATTTCTCATACAGGTTCGCATTTTTTGTATAAGGTTAATATATGGATAAATATAATATAGTCTTGCCGAATGAGGGCCGGTACAATCAGCTGTAAACGAACATAGTATACATTCTAGATGAAAGCAGTGATATTTATAAAACAATGTTTTCGGAGAGCAAGACTAACAGCATGCAAAATCTTGTTAAAAATTTTCAGTTTACTGGGTGACGGCTCAGTTCATATTTCTCATCATCTTTAAATATAATAAATAAGTGAAAAAGCCATTGATGAAACCAAGGTACAGGCATATACGACATATTGGCCGATTTCAAACATCGTGCTTGTGCATTTACTAGTAGAGTGAGACACGTCAGAGGTGTATATATATTATGTCCAGTTCATGCATTCCACAACAACGATTTCAAACTACTACTACTGCAAGCTACTAAGATGTAGTAATGAGTGGTTAAGTAAACAAAACCAACCATTTTCACAGTCCATTCCAAAGTATCCTGGTGGACATGTGCATGTGTAGGAGTTGAGGACGTTGGTACAGTTAGCTCCATTCTGACACGGGTCACTGCCACATGCATTGAATTCTGCAAAGGAATGACACATTAGAATTAGAAGCATCGTGAAGACAAATTTTGATTAGATATACCTCTAAGTGAGATGTTTCCATTAAAAAAAAAAGGATACAAAAATTGAGACTAGAATATGTAGCTATTTTCATTCACAATTCTAGATACAAGAGTCTAAAGCAAATTACTTTCCATAACATAACATCTAAATTTTATCTGCAAAATCGGTATTTTTTATGGATAATACTAATTAAATAGTTACTGCAGAATATCTATTAATCTCTATTACTATTCATACTACTACAAAGTTGGTCATACAAAGCTATCTGCCAACGGGTTCTTCTACGAATATATTTAAAAAAAACATCCCATGAAAATTAAAAAATTATAGTGTCTGATATTTACCTTCTGAGCAATTGATTCCCTTCCATCCTGCTGCACAGGTACAGTTGTAGTCTCCCAGGAGGTTCATACAGGTAGCTCCATTGTCACAAGGGTTAGGATCACAACCATCAAGTTCTATGAGAAAAAAAACAGTGGGAACATTTTGGATGGGGATGGGTGAATACCTCAGTTGCATATTTAGGTTTTTTTTTACAGCAATATCAACGATAACTATTAATGAACCTTACATATACATGTCAACATACCATACTACATTCTATTGATATAAAATCAATTAGAGACATACAGTAAGTATTATACATAAGAAAATATACATGTACATTACCTACCAGGTTGTTGAAATGCACATAATATTGAAATATCATCCACCATCTTTTCGAAAAATAGATATAAACTGCAATGAACTTACATGTAATAATAATAGTCAATTTTTATATAGCGCTTATTACAATCACTAAGCGCTTCCGAACTGGGAGATTATTACCCCGACTTTAGCTGTGCTGCCATTACGGCGCTCGAGCATTTCAAAGAATTTATTCCTGTATTTTTTCCAAAGTTTCAATCACTAGTAAAAATGTATATGTCACAGCCGTATATACACACGTTGTTAAAGGATAATAATCAAACAATCTGTATATCAAATAAAAACCTTGACTAATACAGAAGAAAAACGGTGTCCACTCACCAGTTTCACAGAAAACTCCAACATATCCTGGAGGGCATGTACATGTGTATGTGTTGTCTATATTCTGACCGCAAGTTGCTCCATTCTGACAGGGGTCACTTGCACATCCAGAGTATGCTATATTGAATTGAAGTAAAGGTATATGGATTGTATATCTAACATTGAAACATTAAAACAATGACATTTGGACATTATAAGTCATGTTCTTCATAAAACCATGATACCATACATTAACCTTAGGTAAAGTTGGAATGTTGTTAAATCTATATTTGCCGTTGCTTTTAATGCCACAATTCCGTTTCATCAATTGAAAAGAAATGAATATGCCCACCCTTTTAATGCTGTTTTACAGAATTTTAAATTATCATATGTGGAAAAGGGTAAATCATAATAGAAATTTGTTGTAACTTGATTATAATAGAAATGGGTTTAAGAAATTGAAGCACAAAGTGAATTATTTATCACATCAACCACATGACTTACTTTCACAGTCCATTCCAGTGAAGCCTATGGGGCAATCACAGGTGTAATTAGTCCTGAAATTGGAACAGTTTGCTCCATTCTGGCAGGGATCTGGGTCACATAGGTCGATTTCTGGAAACAAGATGGAAGAGGAATAATGTATTAAATCAGGTATAAATTATTGCACAATATAATTTGTTTCATAGCTAAAACATGCACTTTAAGCAATGTTGAGAAAACAATGTAAGCGGTGAGGAAGACCTGTTATTAAAATCATGCAATATTCTTATTTGATAAGGTAATATTGTACTAAATAAAACATGAATCAACTATTTCCAAAGTCACAAAATTTGTCTAACATTGCAATGACTATAGATGTTATCAACTTTGAGAAGTATATTTAGGGGGGCTTGCATGATAAAGAGAAGTGCAAAAAATTAGACTTTTACACAAGAATCACACTTCCACATATATCAGCTTGATTGTCTCACCTGTTTCACAAATGATTCCTTGGTATCCAGGAGGACAGTCACATGTGTACGTGTTGTTGGGTTGCTGTGTACATGTGGCTCCGTTCATGCATGGGTTGCTGTCACACCCAACGTAGTCTGTATGAACACACATTGATTAAAGAAAAGTGTAGTCATTGAGCGGAATATAAACTTGTACAAGTGGCAAACATATAAATGTTGACAATCTAATCAGTGTATAGCAACATATGTACTAAATAATCAGATGATATGAAGGTAAACATTCACATGAACTCAAATGTAAACTGCAAATATAGCATGCATCAAACTGTCTATCATTAAACACTCTCTTCTGTAACAATTACTTTCTTCATATGTATATTGGATACATTTTTGCACACAGCATTCCTCAACTAAAACCTTAAATGTCATCATATTTTTTTCTTCTTCAAATCAAAAGAGCTTCATACCTTGACACAATACTCCAGAGAATCCTTCTGGACAAACGCAAGTGTAAGAAGAGTTGGAGTTCATACAGGTGGCTCCATTCTGACAAGGATCACTGTCGCAACCAGCGTAATCTGTAATATTATAGAACAAAAGGCATCATAAGGACATGAACAACAAGGGGTAATGTTTGATGATGTGAACAGAAAGAACAGAAAAATCGTGAATATTGCGAAGGTTACAATTTATATTTCATTTTGGATACCATGTATCTAATGGCACATACGTATGTGAATCAACAAAAAGAAGCAACAAATTCAGTTGCTGCCCCTAATGGAACAAAAATGTACACAGCACTAATCATGTATGTTCTACCACCCAGATATCATTGACCTTCTTAGTTTTCAAACAGTGTGCATCAATAATATATATAAAATATTTTTGCCCCGTTCTAAAAGAATCTACATCTATTGCTCTACAGAAAGAGTTAGCAGTATTCATGATGCAAAGTGCATTTTCTGAAGAAACAACTACAAGCAAAAGTATTTTTAACCAAGCTTCTTGAATTACCTTGACAGTTTTCTCCTACAAAGCCCATCACACAGGTACAGTTATAAGATGTCCTAAAGTTGGAGCATGTGGCACCATTCACACAAGGATCAGGGTTGCAGAGATTGATTTCTAAGAAAAAGTAATGAGATTAGGAAAACATTTCAAATACAGATTCCATATGTGAAGTCTTTTCCCTGAAACTATGAATTGCAAAACATAAATTGTGTTTCAATAAATGTTAGTTATGGTAATATTTCTTTCTCTTTGTTCCTATTGTATTTGCATAATATGAATTAAAATGTATGCAAGTACTGTTAGAAGATCATCATACAAACCACACATACACATATGGAACAGAAGAAATGAATGTCCATGACAGAACTATGGCACTTTCCAATATACGTATTGGTATTCAAGGTAAATAAAATAATGGAAGACCTAGTCATGGCGTTACATCATGTGATCCAGTAGCTTCTTTGCTTGAAGGATTGCCCCTTCATTCACATACTTGCTATTCAATCTGAAAGATGTTTAAAATGGAGGATAGCTATCACTGACTAACCCACCTTCTTCACACAATACTCCTTGGTATCCCGGTAAACAGATACAGGCATAGGATTCATTGTCTTGCTGACATGTTGCTCCATTCTGACAGGGGTCACTGTTGCATCCAGAATACACTAGAACAGAATCATCAATAAAACAAGTCATTGGTAACGGCCTTGTCATAACCATGTATTGAATGCACACTAAATGGTGCACGGAGAGTTCTCAAAAATATACACGGTATAGCATCAATACATGCATATACGGCCTCAAAAGTGATATACAACAACATGTATATTAAGCATGAAGCCAATAACCGTAGTATAGTTTATATGCATAAGTGATTTCTAATATTCTCACTTCGAATAAAATCTTACTACATTCATTAGATGAAACACTGTTTGGCATACTTTTGAATATGAACCACTTTCAATTACAAAGTCACTAAACAAATTTATATTTACATTTTTTCTTACATGATATGATTTTCAATCACACAATGTTATTTTCTATAAGAAAGGAATATTCATTCATTAAGTACAGTGAGCTTACCTTCACAATTCATGCCTGTGTATCCAATTGGGCAGTCACATGTATATGATGTCTGGAAGTTTGTACATGTAGCTCCATTCTGACAGGGGTCGGGCTCACATAGATCGATTGCTGAATATAAAAAATTGTCAATACATTAAAGCCTAAAATCACTGCTAGCCAATTGATGGACTACAAATATTTCCATACCTCACATTGCACAGATTTCCTTTCAATTTGGTATCTGAAAATATGAAACCCAAGAGCCTATGTCGCAAGAGTTACATTGAGACAAAGAAAGCCAAAATTATACAAAACAGATCTACTCGTAATCTATTGTTCCGTACCATTTTTCCTTAAAGGGATCGTTTAACAATGTTAAATCTGAGATGCACGGCCCTACGTGTTATCAGTGTCTGTGGTATGGTGTAATATTGAAGCCCTACAAAAATTGCGCTTCAAAATGATCAAGAAGTGCCTCAAAAAAGTAAAAATCTTTGAGTGACCGGTTTTACCATACTCGTTTTCCCCAATAGACTGTAGTGTTATGAAAACCGTCAGGCGAACGGTTTTCAAAATTTGTAATTCCAATCATAAATATCTTGATAATCAGACAGGCGATCGGCTTGTAAAAGTCATGGGGTTCCTGACTGACCTAAAGGTTTATAATTATCATTGCATCATGAGCTAAATCCTGAATTTTGTTTCAGAATCTGAGACAAAGTTACCGGATCCCTTTAATAAGAAAAGGTACCCGCTCTGCCTATTCACTTCCCTTCATTTATTAATGATAAACTAAGAAAGACCTTTCCAGATATTTGAGAGACAAGATATATGTTTTTACCTGTTTCGCACATGGAGCTAGTGAAGCCAGGTACACACGCACAGGAGTAGGTATTGTTGAACACTGCACATGTTGCTCCATTCTGGCAAGGGCTGCTGACACAACCAACATAATCTATGGAGACAAAATGAAAATAAGCACATCATTCTCTTCCTAGTAACGACATGTAAGTGTAATTTCATCCATGCTATTTTTAGATAACATCACGAATCTAAGCAGACAGAGGTTGGATAAAAAAGAATCTGTAAAAATTGCCTTACACTAGGCCCAGTATCTTCAAGGCTTGCATCATAATTCTCTACATCATATAAATGAATACTATGGTTAGTGGAAAAGAGTCACCAATTTGGTAGTTGGTGGACATTACCTTGACAGTTGACTCCAGTGAATCCTGGCAGACAATCGCATGTATAGGAGATCCTGAAGTTAGTACACACTGCCATGTTCTCACATAGGTTCAGATCACATAGATTCACCTCTGTAGAAGGAGACGGATGAAGTAAGCAATAAATAATGTATAGAAAGTTAGAGCTTGAGCTTTTTCTATGTTATTATTAAAACTTTAAGAACTTAATATATTTCCTACTATCTCCTTTTTCTCCTTCACTCTCACCACTTCACTGTCTGTATTTCATCTTCTGACTAAACTATGTTCATTCGCAATGCGGGGCAATTTCCATCCATGTATGAAGTACCGTATTAAAGTCCTGTGCATCAACATTACGCCCCCCCCCTCTTTTCATAGGTAAATGATCACCAAAAAAAGTCAATGTGTTGCATGTATGAAACCCCTTTCCAAAACTTCCTCTAAGAAAGGGAAACTTAAAGATGAGCTTTTCCATACCTTCTTCACAGTTGAATCCTCTATATCCTGGAGCACACTGACAGATATAGAAATCATTTGCTTGAAAGCATGTCCCTTCATTCTGGCAGGGGTCACTATCACATCCAGAATACACTACATGAGCAAACAAATGAAAGAGACATAACATTTCCAATTCATCATTATATTTGTATCTTGTCATTTAGAAGTGTTCTCTTTCCATGATGTGTTTTTAAAGGAATAACCAATTCTTATGATAATTCAAGCATTATTGAATTGAATGTTGAATTGAATATGTACATTTCAATAGATTGACACAAATATGAGCTATATATACAAGTAGTTAGAAATGAACAGAGATGATAAATTATAAGTCCACATTACACGAGCCTATGCAATCCCTATGTAGATGTTTCTGAAGAAAATATAAAAAGTCTTTTTCAAACTTTATTTCTTAACACTTCAGTGATGATATCCAATTCAGCATATTGTAATATGATATATAAATAAATATACCACTTGTCTATGTTATCAACGGCTATTTGGATTGTAAGGATCATCATTGCAGTTATCAAAATCAAGTTATCTCACCTTCACAGTTGACACCAGTGTATCCTTCAGGGCATGTACAGATATACAATGTCATGAAGTTAGAGCAGGTGGCCCCATTCTGACAGGGATCAGAGTCACACAGGTTGATTTCTGCCAAAGACACAAATAATGATTATAAGTAGGCACAAAAACTACAGAGGAATCTACAATGTATCAATTAACCTATGCTACACAACTTAATCTGCGATAGAGATCTATGTGTCTGCTATCTGTAGTGAGTCTGTAATTACTCTGAAAGTACTTTTCATGTGAGTAGATGTACTTCCATGGTCTCTGAATCACAGATTAATAACAATGATTAGATCTACTCCCTGTTGTATCTTTCTGTGAAAACATACAGGTAGCATGCTACATTTTGTATGAAAATAAATAATCTCAGAAAGAAAACAAATTATCTTACCTTGTTCACAGAATTCTCCTTCATAGCCTGGTGGACAAATACACGTGAAGGTATTGTCTACATTCTCTGAACAGCTGGCGCCATTCTGACATGGGTTACTGGAACATCCAATGTAAACTGAAAAGGGAGATGGACATGTAAGGAACATTTGATTGATTTGAAATGATAGTTCTGATTCTGTTTTTGATCCTCAACAACACCCATTACAGTGATTAAAATGTAGCATGGGGCCGGTTTATATTCATATAATCGTTTGGACCATTGTAACTTGAGACAGACTACAATAAAGTCTTCTACTACTACTATTACTACGGCTACTAAATATAAATCTTCATCATGAATACAATTTGTTAGATGCACTGCACTTCTACATACAAGTATTTAGAAATTTGTAACCCACCATACAGATAATTTCGACAATCATCGAGAAATACATTCACCCAAAATTATGTTTTCATATCTGTCTTCAATTTCTATTGTACCAAAAATCTAAGAAACACATATTTTTTTGAGACAATTATTATTTCAGTTTACCTTCACAATTGTCTCCTGTGAATGCCGGAGGGCAAGTGCAGTTGTAGGAAGTCTGAAAGTTTGTGCAAGTGGCGCCATTCAAACATGGATCCGATTCACACAAGTCAATAGCTAAAAAAGAAAGGATAGAAACAAAATGTCATTCTACATATATCTGGCAACACGAAAGGGAAGACCTCACTTTATATCTTAAAAGATTAATAGCCATTGCTAGTACGGTGCGTATGTTCATATGGTCATGGATATAATTCAATTAAACAGAAGAAAGAGAGCAAGCCGATTGAATATATTACCATTTTCACAGAGATCTCCTTCATATCCAGATGCACAGAGACAACTGAATGAGTCATTTCCTTCACTGCACATGGCTCCATTCAGACAAGGATCGCTTGCACAACCTGCATATACTGAAAAAGTGAATCAAACCAAAATGAAATGTGTAAGTTATCAGCCCAATTTTAAGTGTGAGAATGGAAACAAATAGGAAATATATCTTTTTTTATTCTGTTTTAATCTATGCAAAATATAATATTTGAAAAATTAAAAACCAAGAGATGTATGCAGGCAAGGTTATATTTATATACAGAAATACATATTCACTCATTCACATTACACGAATAAAGAGAATAATCAATAAACAAATTGGAGATGAAAGGAAATGTGCTGGTTAGAAAATGGTTACCTTCGCATATCATTCCCTGGTAGCCAGTTGGGCAAGCACAGTCAAACGATGTCCTGAAGTTAGAGCAGTTTGCTCCATTCAAACATGGGTCAGGATCACACAAGTTTATTTCTATAAAAAAAGATACATTTTAGGCTTTTAAACTGTTTCAATTCAATTGTCAAAAATATTTTTCCAGTCAATCTAATACTTTAACACAAGCTCTAGGGCAATTATGGAACTTCTGTCAGTTCTAATTCATAAAGAGCTATACATGAAGATTTGCTTGAGAATTCTTTGTTCCAGAAATTTGTTCTTTCTCCTCTTTTTCAGATTCTTCATTGGGATTCCTGCTAGAAATCCTTAAAACTGATTTGCTTTGTTCACGCTTGTACATACCATTTTCACAGTCCATGCCTTCATATCCAGGAGAACAGGAGCAGTTGTAGGAGCTGAGGATATTGGTACAAGTAGCTCCATTCTGACAGGGGTCACCACCACACGCATCAAACTCTGAAAATAAATGACATATATTCAGAAGATATCTTTCAGCGATTCATTCAATTGATTGCATCATTCCTCCTTCGTAAAACAATGTGTAGAGTAAATAACTATTTGCCCCTGTCTTTATTCAGAACATGTCTGTTCCATATGCTGGTAAAAGAACAATTTACTTAAAAGTGAAGCCCAAATTACACAAGGAGAGTTTTCCTTTGAAATAAACGATGCTGTCTTCTGTTTCAATGTATATGTAGTATCTAGTTATTGCAGTCTTCTGTTTCAATGTAAATGTAGTATCCCGGTAATATTAATGTATTAGTAAGAGTCAGACCATTGTCATTACCTTCAGTACAGTTGATTCCCTTCCATCCTGGTTCACAGGTACAGTTGTAGTCTCCCAGGAGGTCCATACAGGTAGCTCCATTCTCACAAGGGTTAGGATCACAACCATCAAGTTCTATTTTAACAAATACAAAATAAAATGCCAATAAACATATATCTAGATACTGTATCTATGTAGTATATCTATCAAGATGTATGTAGATGATATATATATATTTATATTTATATATGTCTAGAATGCCACTCTGCTAATCTCTGAGTGAAATTCATAAAGAGCTTATAAACATTGGTAATAAATGCTATATAAATTGTATTATTATCATTATTAGTAACATCAATTGTATTATTATAAAATCACATACTGATGAACAATGTACATGTATTTTCACTTAGTTACATGCATGTAAGGCTGGAGTAGCAGTCATTGCATTAATTAAACCGTCATATGAATACACATGACAAGGACAGTAATATATTTTCCAGAGTTGGGGACATTGGTAGATGTTGACTCCAACATTAATCAGAGTGTAGCTTCCTCATTAATGCTCCTTCCAAATAAAATTGACTCCCACAAACTACAGGTTATGATTCAATTCATGTAATGGATTAAACTAGTGTCACATACCGATTTCACATAGCATTCCAACATATCCGCTGGCACAGGTACAGGTGTATGTGTCATTCTGTTGACTGCAGGTGGCCCCATTCAGGCATGGATTGCTCTCACAACCAGAGTATACTGCAGAAGTATAATAACATTTCAATTATTGGGATTTAATATCATTCAAATGGCTGTCTTTTTTGTTGCAATTCAAAAGCATTATGAATTTAAAAAGATGTTTTTATTAGGACTAGACTCTTATTCTAGTACTTATCAAATATAGTACATATTCACTTGTGTACACCTAATAATGCAGGCAGTTTTTGTTCATAACATTTCAATAAATTATATATAATGTTCTAATACTTCTACTGCAATGCATTAAATGGATTCCGATTCAATTCTACTATTAGCAAGAAATATCAGCTCGATGTTACCTTCACAGTTGACACCAGAATAAACTTCAGGGCATGTACAGTTATACGACGTGCGGAAATTAGAACAGGTGGCTCCATTCTGACACGGATCTGGGTCGCATAGGTTGATTTCTATGATAAAAAAGGTGAGTAAAGTAGAAGTTTGCCTTGAATCATTCTTCATGTCATGAACACAAATACAGGCATTTAAAGTCACATAGTAGCACAAACATAACCATGCACATCAACAGTTGGGTCCCTTCAAAAGGATGTTTTCATTTTTACTTGAAGAGATAGTGATAAAGTATTTTATATTTACCGTTCCGACACATCAAGCCGTTGTAGCCAGGTGCACACATACATTTATAAGTGTTATTTGAAAGCTGAGCACAGGAGGCACCATTCAAACAAGGGTTACTACTGCACGCAGTAAAATCTGCAATAAACAAATAATGGATATAAAAAAATGCACAATTTTTACACCAATTTTTGTCAAAGTAATACCTGCCAATACCAGAGCGAATACCCAAATTACAAAATTGCAGAAATAACCAAATGCATTTACGTCCTTATTCCACTTGAACTGTTTCACTGCAATGAAAGTAATGTTTACCTGTTTTCCAAAGTGACAAAGGGGCACTGTATTTAGCGACATTATCATTCAAATAGCATTAATTTAAGCATAAAAAGGCATATTCTTCTGATACAGGTTGTATAAATTTAATTTTTTTTTGAAAAGTATTGGTTAGCCAAAATAAACTATTGTCAATGTTACAACACTTTACTTTTTCAAGTTTTCTTTAAAAACAATGATTTCACTTACTCTCACAGAAATCCCCACCAAAGCCATCTGCACAGATACACTGGAAAGTGTCATTAAGCTGCATGCAAGTAGCATCATTCTGGCATGGGTTGCTGCCACAGCCATCATATACTGTTATGTGTTATAAACATATTATTAATTTTTTTAAACAAAAATAGCTGGATAATCATCAACACCTCATTAAATGAACAACGCAGTGTATGTCTACAGCTAAAAACATCTTCCCAGGTTCAGATCCAATCCAGTCGAGTATTTGGTATAGCGCTTATTCCTTAAAGTTACAAAGTAGTTCACAATTTGCTTCACAAAGCAGCACAATGGCATCTTTAATACACAATGATAAAAACCCTTCATGATAACACACTATAGTCAGACTTCTTTTGAAATTCTTATCAAAGCAGATCTGGAAACTTACCTTCACAGTCAAGACCTGTGTATCCTTCAGGGCATGTACAGGTATACGACGTCCTGAAGTTAGAGCAAGTGGCTCCGTTCTGACAGGGATCAGGGCCACAAAGGTTGATTTCTAAAGAGACCAAGAATACACAAAGTTATAAAATGCCTAGATAATTGCTACCTATTTTATATCATTTTTTCATTGAAGTGATAAGGAAATGCTAACCAAAATACAAAATTAGATTAGGAAAACTCACTATTGCAAATGTCACTAATCATCACATTTGATATAATGTATAAAAGAGTGATCACAGTAGGCCTCCCATGTGTTTTTCCTAGATGATTTTTTTTTTAAATAAATTTTTAGAGTTAGCTTGATTGCTACAGAAATATCGCCAATTGACTAAGTATGCAATAATCTCAAATGCCAAGACATTTTCATAGAAAATAAAATCATTAAATAATGCAATCAATACCTTCTTCACAAAGTTGGCCTTGATAGCCTGGTAGACAGATGCATGTGTAGCTATCAGAACTCTGTAGACATCCAGCTCCATTCATACAAGGATCACTACTGCATCCGTTATAAACTGAGAATAAAATAAATTGAAATTAAAATGACTATTGTATATTCAAAGAGATGAATACTCATATCACATTGTTTGTTTTATACCATTATATCTTTAGACAGCTGTAGATAACGTATTGTAATATGATTCGTCCATATGTATATGTGTACAAGATTAAATTTGGTTGTTACATGACTTTGTTAAATCTGACATGCAATAATACCCATACATGTATCATAAATTATTGACAAATTATGCAAGTAATTAGTGAATCACACAGTCATTTAACTAACTCAGTGACTTACGTTCACAGTTGACACCTGTGTAACCTTCAGGGCATGCACAGGTGTATGATGTCCTGAAGTTAGAACAGGTGGCTCCGTTCTGACAGGGATCGGAGTCACACAGGTTGATTTCTGCCAAAGATAAACACAATGCAAATAAAATTAAGCATTCATTAACAATAATTCATTCAATAAAACCTGATTAGGGATAAATGTGCCCATTCCTTCTCCTACAATATGCCTTTTTTGTATTGGCATATCACATTAGGATATCAAGTTTGGTGGTGTTTCCAACAGACTTTGGATACTTTCTGCAACCATGGAGCTCAGTGCATTCAAGGAATAAAGCCTACCAGGTACCCAGTTTACACACCTGGGTCGAGTGAGGCAAATCAATATTAATGTCTTGCCAAAGGGTGTTAGTGCTGCATATGAGTCCAACTCTGAATCTTGTGGTTCAATCGGGGACTTTCAACCCTAGACCCCGACACCTCTATCATAGACATCAAATAAACAGTTGTGTAATTTTGATAGGTCTTCAGGAAGAAATTAATTTCTACCCACCTGTTTCACACATGACTCCAGTGTATCCAGCAGGACAAGTACATGTGTAGGTATCGTTGAGCACAGCACAGGTAGCTCCATTCAGACAGGGATCACTGTCGCATCCAATGTAATCTATGCAATACAAAGTAAATAGGAACATTATTCACTGCTTTACTTGTACTTTAATGCTGTTTTTATCACTTAATAGAGTACAATTGAAAAATAAAGTTTGCTTAGCATAAACACTTCCTTTACTTCACATGTGCTTTTAACTTACTTATATGAAATTGTGAGCGCATTTGTAGAAAGTATTTGCTTTACATATCGTCATACATACAAACATGTACATACACAACAACTTACAGCTAAAACTCAGATATTATCTATCAAAAATATCTATCACAAAAATGTTTCACATTTCACTTCATCCATTCATCAAGATGAACACATGATTTGTAAAGATCAAGAAACTCACCTTGACAGTTGACTCCAGTAAATCCAGGCAGACAGTCACAGGTATAGGATACCCTGAAGTTAGTACACACTGCCATGTTCTCACATGGGTTCGGATCACATAGATTCACCTCTGAAATATGGAACAGAGTCAAAAGTTAATAAAGAGAAAAAACAAGAACTGTAATTATATAAAAATATGCACTTTCAATGTATCAATTCAAACTGCCAACTCAATGCAATAATCAGGAAGCTTGTCACTTGCCTGATAAATAACATACATGGCTTACAAAATAAGTGTTCAAATGGACTAAATGAGATACACACCTTGTTCACAGTTCATTCCTCGGTAACCCGGTGCACACTGGCAGATGTAGAAATTGAATGCTTGAAGACATGTACCATCATTCTCGCATGGGTTACTACTACATCCAGCATAAACTACAAAAGAGATATAAATAATCATAGAAATTGTTTGCTTGGAGATATGTACCATCATTCTGACATAGGTAACTGCTACATCCAGCATAGACTACAAAAAATAGTTATAAATAATCATAGAAATTGTTTGCTTGGAGACATGTACCATCATTCTGACATAGGTAACTGCTACATCCAGCATAGACTACAAAAAATAGTTATAAATAATCATAGAAATTGTTTGCTTGGAGACATGTACCATCACTCTGACATAGGTAACTGCTACATCCAGCATAGACTACACAAATAGTTAAAAAGAGATAGAAAAATACATTTCGAGTAAACATCATCAATATTTATTTGTACAAAAATGATGCAGATTGTCGAAGCGAACTATTAAATGCACTATACTACCCATGGCAATGACAGAAGTAGCAGCAGAATGAATCAATCATGATCTGTGTCCTTTTTTTTTATCTTCTAACTAGAACAGTAAATCAAGGAAGTGAATTGGTAACTATTCTCAGTTAACTGTTCAGCATATACATGTACATGTAGCTACGGAAAATAACGGCTAAGTTAATGGATACTAGTGGATGCAAATAAATCTACTTCATATGAATCTACTGCATATGAAGTCCTTTTCATTACTCCTCAATCCTCTCTCTTTCTCTCACATGGTGCACCCGCAAGCCTACTGTATATCTCATATGAAGTGTTACATGGTTAAATTATGTAAATGCACCAATTACGACATAATGATAAGTTCACTTACTTTCGCAGTTTTCACCACCAAATCCTTCAGGGCATGTACAGGTGTATGATGTCCTGAAGTTAGAACAGGTGGCTCCATTCTGACAGGGATCAGAGTCACACAGGTTGATTTCTATTGAAAATGCAAGATAAAATAAAAGCTTTCAGTGATTAAAGAATAAAGAGGTATACAATAGCTGTAAAATTCTACACAAATCACAAACGTCTTTCAGATGGTCCCCAGACGTATATAATCATATCTCATTGATTCAATGTTAGCAGCTGGGACAATAGATACAATTTAAGTAAGGCACAAGAGATTTGAAAATCTTACCCGTTTCACAATTGGTTCCTTCATAGCCAAGAGGACATTGACAAGTGTAAAAGTCTTCTTCCTGTGTGCAAGTTGCTCCATTCTGACAAGGGTTACTATCACAGCCAGCATACTCTGAAACACAAAATAATGATTAAACAAATGACAAGCTCCAAACTAGTAGGAATTCGGTCATTTCAGATAAATTGAATGACAGCAGTTGTTTACAAGAGCAAGACAACATGAAATTTATTTTGCTTTATATCTAATAATTAGGGTAGATGATACATGTTAACCTAAAGGGTACACACATCTACTTCTACATAATTTAATTTTACAAGATATCCCACATGACATGTTTATGTGCTTGTAGGTGATTTACAATTGACAAGTATTGACTACCATTGGCAATTGAAAGGATCACCATTGTATAATGTTCAGCTATTCCAAAAAAGTGTCTAAATAATGGAAGTAACAATATAATTAAGGACTATTTTCTTTTTCCTGTAAAATCAGTAATTGATAATAAAGCTCAATGAATATAACTACCTTCACAGTTATCTCCTATGAAACCCTCTGGACATGTACAGTTATAGGAGGTCTGGAAGTTCATACAAGTAGCACCATTCAGACAAGGATCAGGATCACAAAGATTGGTAGCTATAGAAAATAAAAAATATATTGTAATATTTTAGTTAGCATTATAAGTCACTAATACTACGAAAATGGCACATTTTTAGATATAATAAAATACAAGAGAGAGAAATGAAATAACCTGCAACACATTTTCAAAAGTGAAATATAGTGAACTGCATTTGTGAAATGTTAGTATATACAAGTAGCTATTTAGTGATCAGAAGAAGAAAAGTGACAAAGATATTTTTGTAAAGAAATCATCAAATGTATGTTTGTAGTAAAATTCCTGCTTGTCCACCTGTCAAAAAGAGAATAGAGGAAATGTGTTCAAATATGTACATGTATGTCATATGATATTGTCAGTCAAACAGAATTTGAAAATTTATTTGAATATTAATTAAAAACACGTACATGCACATTTATGCCTCATTATTTGCTTACTGCAACAATTACCAATTAGCTTCTGTGTTTGGCAATACGTGAAAGCAAACATTTTTGGAAGGCATTATTTTAAAAGCCTGCAAAATCTCAAGTCTAACATTTGGTTTAATGACTGAGAAAAAAAACGAGGGATAAACCTTACAACAATGCATGGTAAAAGTGAATAGGAAATTTCCTGCCATTCAGACAAGTAAAAATACCTAAAGAATATCCTTCACAAAGTAATTACATAGACAGGTAAGTTAGTATGCATACCTATATCACAGTTATCCCCCTCCCATCCAGGAGCACATATGCACATGTAACCGTTGATCATTTCAACACATGTGCCACCATTCTGACATGGCATGCTTGCACACTCACGAATTTCTGTTGGTGAAGAGTAGAGAATAAATCAATGATTAAAATTTGATTACAAGTTTGAATGGTGCATGCATGATATCGTTCACATATGAATATTCGCTATAAAATGTTGCAGGGAAAGACATCCATGCGCATAAAATTCGTAGAATTGTGAATAGTACACAAGCCAATTTTCCCCTTCAAATGCATGATTTATTACCCCCAGATTTTTAATGTTGAATGATTCAACCAGCAAACAATTCAGCATTTTGGCTGCGAGGCATTGTTTTTTTAATAAAACCATTATTGAATTAAATGAAATGAATTGAACAAAGCCAAAATCAAAATCATTATATTTTAAAATAAAATTTCCAATATGGAAAGAACGGTATGCATATGCAGGTACATATATAATAAGTATATTCCTCAATGTATAATAAACAATAAACGAGTAGAATATCAACATATTTAGATATAATTTCTCAATCTACAAAATAAAGTTCACAGCACAGCTTAGGCCTATATCTGTTCTTTTGCAACAGAAATCCAATGCAATGTTTGTATAATTCAGTGACAGAACTTGCCAGTTTCGCAGTTTGTGCCAGTCCATCCGTCAGTACACATACATTGATATCCATTGAGAAGATCTTCACAGCTACCTCCATTCTGGCAGGGAATACTCAGGCACTCAAGTACATCTGCATAAATTTATAGAAAAAGTGTCATGCCATTAGTGTCTCTTCCACATTAAATGGGATGATTAGACCCCTATTTTGCATTAATTCAAAGAAACATGTATGCTGTTTTGACCATGTCCTTATAAATATTTTTTTTTAATAAAAAAAAACTTTGGTGAATAAACCATTTCTTTGAATTTCATACACAAATTCTCTAAAGCTAAATATAGGAAGCATTTGAGATGGAACCTTTGCATTGCGAATATAGCTAAAGCTCTTTTGCTCCATGGCAATTGTAAAAACAAATTCCCAACTAAACCAAAGAAGTTTCAAATCTTTCTAGATCTGCAACAGAATAATAGCATTGAAGGATCTGGAATGCAAAGTGTTTACCGATTGAGCAGTTAGTTCCTGTCCATCCAGGTGGGCAGACGCAGAAGTAGCCTGCCACTTGATCTACACATGTAGCATTGTTCTGACAAGCATCCAGCTGACATTCATCAATATCTGAAATATAATGAATTATACAATCCAGGTAAATACATTGTCATGAACCATAAAGTGCTGCGACAGAGCAACAGAGTACTAGTAGTTGCATGTTGGAATTTCTTATTTAAAAAGATATTTACTACTGTTATATTTTGAAATTGCTTCTCAAGAGCATTACTATTTCATATATATATATATTTTCAATCATTTTAATGAAATAGAGCTGATGAGAATGAAATTAGTCTTGCTATGAATCTATTCTGTATCTTACTATAAGCTACCGATGATGACAACCAGAGGTTTATGCTTTGGCAGTGTGTATCCTATAATTATGTATAACATTTTTGATATCTTAAAATGAAATCCCTTAAAAATTTAGAGAAATGTTTACTAATGTTGAAACAATGATCTTACCAATTTCACAGTTTGCACCTTCAAATCCAGAAGGGCAGATGCAATCATAGCCGTTCATTCCCTCTGCACATGTAGCTCCATTCTGACAAGGATCACTGGAACACTCCAAGATATCTGGGTACAAAACCAAGAATACAATATAAAATTACAATCATGAATTAATAATAATATTTCCCTAGTCGTTTGTAGACAAACGTAAACAATAAACAATCAACGTAAACAATAAACAATCAAAGTAAACAATAATCTGAATAAAAACAATAGTGATTAAATTATGGATTGAATTCACATTATATCATCACAGATGATGTAAACAATGTATTTGTATGGAGGTGTATCTGGAAGTATAAGAATGAACTAGGTTCATATTTCTTTTAATGCCTAAATTAGAGGAACAATTCGAAGACATGTAGCTCAATATTCTATTACAACCGACGAGATTACTGGGGGAAGCACATGACAAATAGGAAATAATGAACGGACATATTCCATCATGCGTATTAAGTCCATATTTATGTTTCTTGATCATGTGACATGTACATCATTATACCATCATTTCAATCAGGGAGATTTTAGTGATGTGATTTCCTACCCGATTCACAGTGATCTCCGGTCCAACCTGCAGCACATTGGCATTGATACTCATTGGTCAGATCCATGCATGTCGCGTTATTCCGACAAGGCTCACTTGCACACTCGAGAATATCTATTTAAAAACAAATCCATGAAACATGATAGGTACACTATCTCGCATAGAAAGCAGCATTTTCATTAGATACACATACTGAAAAAGGAACTCCAGTACATTTATTATTGTGTACACCAATAATTTGGTAGTAACTTTGGCTGTTCACACTTGGCAAATGGGCTTATATTCACATTATCTTACTATAAAGCCTAGTTGTCAAAAACTATGTACTATAGCCTTTGTATGTATTTGACAACTAGCTGAGTAAGTGTTTTTATTATTAATGGTTTTCTATTACACTACAATACAGCACCGAATACAATGGTAAGACATTTTCAGCATCAATTGTTTAGTGGAAAAGCAAAAGCCACATGCATCATAATCATTTTAATTCAGAGCTTTACATTGTATATCATAATAAATCCTGTTTGCTGAAGTTTAGAAAGTTGTATCGTCATACTTTATGCCAAACTTACCAAATTCACAATGAATTCCAGTCCATCCTTCCACACAGAAACATTGATACCCAACAATGAGTTCAACACAGGTGGCATTGTTCATACATGCGTTTCCAATGCATTCTAGGATTTCTGTATGGGTCAAGAAAGAAAATAAATTTTGTCAAAAATGGCTTTTAGCCATCACATATTAATGTGACCAACATTCCACAAAACATGATTGACTTGATAGATAACATGAGGAAGGGACATATTTAAAGAATTATAGACGTGTATTTCATACCAGTTTCACAATTGGTTCCATTCCATCCTGGAGCACATATACATTCATAGCTGTTGACTAAATCTTGGCAGGTCGCACCATTGAGACAGGGGTCACTATCACACTCTGGAATATCTGTAAGAGAATAAAAGATTGATTTGAATTAAGACGTAACTAAGTAGAAGCAAATATTAGATGCTTAAACAACTAAGAATCACACATAAGTAGTTTCATACAATGCAAAATGCACCACAAGCTTGTGGTAGCTTACAGTAAGCTAGTAAAACTATTCTTCTAAAAGTGTTAAGTAAAGTCTTTGAAAGGCATCCTGATTAAATCTCACGTACCTATCTCACAGTCTGTGCCATTCCAGCCAGCTGCACATTCACACAGATAGAAACCGAGGAAGTCTTGACAAGTCCCTCCATTCTGGCAAGGATCACTGCCACACTCTTTGATTTCTAAATGGAAATACAAGAAATGACAAAACAATGACAAGTCAATAATGATGGCAATGACAAGAGTTAATTTGCTCTATTGAGGAAATATTTTCTTCTAAAACAGTGGCTTGTGGTTGAGATCATGCCCTTTTCCAGTTCTTCTCAAGCATGTAATATACAACCTTTCGTAGCATGAGCATTTGGATGTATAACTTTATCTGTGATCAAGGAAGTACATGGACATCAAGATGGGATACGTCTGATATATATATATATATACACCACTATAATAACCAAAGCAATGTCAACATACCTATTTCACAATGAGTTCCATTCCATCCGAGAGGGCACATGCACTCATATCCATTAATGAGATCTACACAGGTTGCATTGTTGTCACAAGGGTTGCTAGAACATTCAAGGATTTCTAGTTATACAAAAAAACATGAGAGGTAATGAGTAAAATGAAGGCGATACAAAAGTAAAATCTGTATCTATAATATTCTTAAAGGTACACATATACAAATATCCCTTCATTACATGTTTTGGCCTATCTATATTCATATTGGGAGTGTTTTAGCAGGTAAGTACTATAAATATCATGACTAGTGGGATTTTACAAGAAATAACTAAGGACAAACATTACACTTGCAACAATATGTTCCTCTAAAAAATAATTACAGTGGAAGTCAGACAATATTTGAATAACATTGAACTTATTATTTAGAGCCTGATCGCACAAATAATTTACCCATTTCACAGTTGGTTCCATTCCATCCCAGCAGACATTCACAGCTGTACCCGTTGATCATCTCTGTACAATTTGCACCATTCATACAAGGCATGCTTGCACACTCCAGGATTTCTAAATGAAAGAGAGAACAAAATGTAGATAATTACCTTTGATGTACATGTATATGCATTTTTGCCAATAACAATCTAGTTATAGAATGTGCATAATATTTGAAGCACATGACAGCTTATACTTACTTCAATTTTTATAACAATTGAACTTTTACCAATCGATACACGTACAATAGTGTATACAAACATTTATATAAGTAGTATTTCAACCAAAGCATACATGCCGTTGATGTACATGTGTGACTTCACAATGGTGACTTTACCACCATTATTATATGAGTAGCTGTTGCTTACCCGTATCACAGTTAACACCAGTCCAGCCTGAAGCACACTGACATTGATAAGAACCAATGAGATCTAGACAGGTACCTCCATTCTGACAAGGGTCACTTGAACATTCCAAGATTTCTGTAGAACAAATAGTAAGTACACAATTATAATAGAATGCTGCTTGTATGTACTACCATGCATTGATGAACGACAAAATATAAGATATGAAATATGTATGAGTGAAAGATGATAATACACACAAAGAGCAATTTTCTTATATATCAAGGAAAAAACAGAAAATAGAGTAATATTGACTTAAACTTGCATTCTTGCTTAAATTATGTCATTGAATCAAGAGAACAATACACATGATGCCTACTAGATCCAGGTACATCTAGCTCCTGTAGTAAGGATTGGAAATGAGAGCATCAAGTCTTCCATGAGTTAAAATGCAATCAACCAATATCATCAAGTTACCTGTTTCACAGAATTCCCCAGTCCATCCTGGTGAACATGAACAGCCAAATCCATTGATTCCATCTACACACGTTGCTCCATTCAGACATGTGTGGTTGACACATTCATCGATATCTGTTACACCAACAAAAAACAATGCGTTGGCAAAAATTGAAGTCTTACTATCTCATGTATATTTGTGATCAGAAATAAGATATATGCAAGTAAAGGGTATAACATGGAAAGATCTATAATATGAATGCTCATGTGATAACAATGAAATTGATCAATCTTTGCATACAAAGCTTTGTTAATACCCCCAATGTCATACTTAAATCGGGGCTGTGTGGAAGCGTGACATCTTGACCCAAACTAATTTCATTATCATTCTTACCAATTTCACAGTTCATCCCAGAGAATCCAGGTGGACATGTGCAGGAATACGATGTCTGGAAATTGTTACAGGTGGCTCCATTTTCACAGGCATCTGGTGAGCACAAATCGATTGGGAGCTCACAGTTAACACCTCTCCAACCTGGCATACAGATACAGAAGTACTCTGCAGTCTCCACACTCTGGAAGCAAACTCCGCCATTCTCACATGGCGAGCTGGTGCAAGGAGGTAGCTCTGTAAAAAAAGATTACACACACAATACAATGATTAATATAACTCATCCATTATCAAATATAGCCTTCAAAAATATGAGTGTATTAACTGAACCAAATTAAATTTTAATCACAAGATACTAGACATGTATCCTTTGCATTCCAAAATAAATAAATAATGAAATAATGAAACAAAATATAAATCAAGAAATATTTTTTAAAAATAAATAAGAAAAAATTAAATTTAAATAAAAAAGGTTAACGAGCAATGTATTTTACTTCTTTATTTTGATATTCATGATCACTTATACAATAATTATAAAGAAGAGAATTAATACAAGTTAAGTGTGTGAGTACATGGATACTGTATATCCCTAAGAGTTATTGTGAGCATAAGATCATAACCTACCTGTTTCACAGTTTATGCCAGAGAATCCCATTGGGCAGATACACTGGTATGATCCAATCAACTCTTGACAAGTAGCACCATTTAGACATGGATTGCTGCTACACTCAAGAATTTCTGCAAAATAAATGAAATCCTTAAATACTCGTTAACAAACTCCAGAATGGAAAGATACCAAATACAAAAATAAAAGTTTGAATGAAATATTTGCACTGTTCTTTCCAAAATCAATATGAACTAAAGCACAGACTGATTTTATATGTTAAGAAAAATCCCACATTTCACAAGGAAAAGTACAGCACAAATACACAGTACATATCTATATAAAATTATATCAGAAGGATATTTCATACCAATTTCACAATTGGTTCCATTCCATCCTGGAGCACATATGCATTCATAGCTGTTGACTAAATCTTGGCAGGTTCCACCATTGAGACAAGGGTCACTAGCACACTCTGGAATTTCTGCATGGAGATAACAGCAATATACATGAATGTTTTTAAGTGTGATGAAATAGAAGATCTTGCGAGCACAGAATCATTTACAGGGTATCTAAGGTGAGAACCAAGATGTATATTCAGAGTTTCACATCGTGACAATGTATAATAATATATGGCAAAAGGTTTCACAGAACTAAATATAATAGGTAATTCAGGATAATTGGTATATAGTTATCTTTGTGTCTAACAGGAATTTACAAGTTTAAGTTTTTAACAAATATATTCATTCATTTGATCACAATGGTTCAGTTTTGAATTACAGATCATCATTTTGTGATTTTGGCTTCAACAATGAAGATAATATTGAAATGGAGTACATGAATGCCAAAACAACAACACTTTTTGTTACAATTAGGAATAAAGGACCCCGATATAACTTTGTTATGATGTCTGCTGGCAATAGTATTGAAGTGTGACGGTCTATAGACACGAATCTGATAGCTGCCTTCCAGATTCTAGACAATATACTTACCCGTATCACAGTTGATACCAGTCCAACCTGGAGCACACTGACATTGATAAGAACCAATGAGATCTAGACAAGTACCTCCATTCTGACAAGGGTCACTTGAACATTCCAAGATTTCTGGATAAGGGCAGAATGAGACAAAACAATGTTTATATGCTACTCCTAAATGTGCATATGTATCTCTTAAATAACACTACCTACATGTAAACAGAGTCAGTTTGATAATATATCTTGAGAGAAAGTTTGTGACTATCTTAACATTGGTCCATCCTCATATTTCAACCAAGAGCTATCATACAATTAATAGACATTCAAGAAGTACATGAATAAGGAAAAGATTTCATTTATTATCCAGTAAACATAACAGTTGCAAAGTGATCCTCGAGAAAGTGTGTTGGGAAGATACCAGCTAACATCATCTAAGATGAAGGAAATAAATCTACTATATGTGTTTTTTCTGTAATGAACGCACATGACAACAATTGCATATCAAATAAAGCATTTAATTTATGAGATAAACATTTCACTTTGGTGTCCCTTTTCCTTTTACAAAAATTTATACTGTGAATGAACTATAGGCCTAATCATGCTATAAAAACACATGTGTTTGATTTGATTTGATTTGATTTGATTTCATCTTATTTATATATAAAAATATGTTACTGTCATACATAGATCAATTGTATAGTCAATTGAAATGTTATATGAGTGTGCATACACGAATCCATCATCACAGCCTTAATCAAACCGTGATAAATATGTCCATCAAAAAAATATATGTTATACATTAACAGAAAACAGAAGAAAAAACAAAGAGGGAGGGGGGGGGGGGTTGAGAGGGGAAAGGACGGGAAGGAGGGAGAGAGTGGTCGTGAGAGGGAAAATACCTACTGTATAGGAATATATAGATGTAGAGGTTGAGAGAGGATGTAATGGTTTCAAATTCAAATTTAAATTCAAATTCACATTTATTCGGCAAAAGATAAAAACATCTAAATGACATCATTACAAATGAAATCATTATAAATACCGGGATTGCTAAAATAAGTTAAAACTTATAAACAAGCAACCCCAAACATAAAAACATACAGATACTATACAATACAATACAATGAAATACGATACAATACAATACGATAAAAATAATAATGTTACATGATCAGATAATCAATGAGTTGAAATGAGTTTACATATAGATATATAAATGTGAATTCAAACATTAAAACATCCAAACCGATTTGTAATCTACAAATTTACCCGAGCAACTTGCTCACCTATGCTTCTTTCAAAATGCATACCTACACATCAATTGCATTGCAAACGATAAAATGCTTTAGAAAACATGTAGGAGCGTGGAACGTCACATATACTGTGGATGCGTAATTATATGTACATTGACTACAAGTATTTTACAAATGTATTTAGGGATGATAAATGCATGATGAATTTTAAGAGTTATCAGATTAGCCTTTTTATTGATGCATCATCTGAACCATATCAACCAACTAATTAGCTAAGTCTGTTCAAAGTTGATGAATATTGAAGCAACAAAGTTAAGCACACTTCCCACACAAACCGATTAATGTCCAATTTTTTTGGCTTTTAGCAAATTTATGGGTCATGATTTAATTGATAAGATGCACATCCCTTCAAAACATTTTGTAGCATTTTGTTAGTCATAAGTGGAATATAGTGGAGAATTAGCAAAGACAAATATTACATCTGATATATGTTAGAAAGAATTTGGAGGCTTTTGTCGTCACATTTCATTCCTGAGAGTGAAAAGCGAACATAACATCCAATATCTGTGAACAGAATACAAAGAAGCAGAGGAAATTCCATGTAACAGGTTCATACAATTTTATCCACTGCATGCAGATAATATATCGCTTACTATGAAATAAGTCATGGGATTTCACTACAAGTATGTTATATCCACTGCTTCACCAATGTTTGTTAACACCGTCAGTAATGATGAGATTTATATTGAATGAAGAAATGAAAATCAAATGGAAAGTACCTTGCTCACACAGCATTCCTTCCCAGCCCTCTTCACATCGGCATTCAAATCCATTGACAAGCTCTAAGCAAGTAGCACCATTCTGACATGGATCACTGGAACATTCCAAAATATCTTGCTCGCAATGAATACCTGTGTATCCTGCTGGACAATGACAAATATACCCGTCTACCAAGTCTGTGCAGTTTGCTCCATTTACACATGGATTACTGCTACATTCATCAAGTTCCATCTCACAGTTTGTTCCATTAAATCCTGATGGACATTGGCAGAAGTACTCATCAATCAGATTTGTGCAGTCGGCTCCATTCTGACAAGGGTTGCTGGTACATTCTAGAGTTTCAATTTCACAGTGTTCTCCTTCAAATCCTGGTGCACAGATGCACAGGTAGCCATTGTTCAAGTCCGTACAGTTTGCACCATTTTGACAAGGACCTCCTGCACAATCTTGGATGTCGTTCTCACAGTTGATACCATTGTAACCTGGTTGACAGACACATTCATAGCCGTTGATCAGTTCTGTGCAGTCAGCTCCATTTTGACATGGGTTGCTGGAACACTCCACTACTTCATCTTGACAGAAAGTGCCATTGTAACCTGCTGGGCAGATACACAGGAAACCGTTTATCTCTTCTGTACAATTGGCTCCATTTTGACAAGGCTTGCTGGCGCACTCCTGAATCTCAGCCTCGCAATAATCTCCTTCATATCCTGGTGAACAGATGCACAGATATCCATCGATCAAGTCCATACAGTTTGCACCATTCAGACATGGGTTTCCTGAACATTCTTTTATTTCGGTCTCACAGAGGGTGTCATTGTAGCCTGGTGCACAAATGCACTCGTAGCCATTGACAAGCTCTGAGCAAGTAGCACCATTCTGACATGGATCACTGGAACATTCCAAAATATCTTGCTCGCAATTAACACCTGTGTATCCTACTGGACAAAGACAAATATACCCGTCTACAAAGTCTGTGCAGTTGGCTCCATTTACACATGGATTACTGCTACATTCATCAAGCTCCATCTCACAGTTTGTTCCATTAAAGCCTGATGGACATTGGCAGAAGTACTCATCAATCAGATCTGTACAGTTGGCTCCATTCTGACATGGGTTGCTGGTACATTCTAGAGTTTCAGTTTCACAGTGTTCTCCTTCAAATCCTGGTGCACAGATGCAAAGGTAGCCATTGTTCAGGTCCGTACAGTTTGCACGATTTAGACAAGGACCTCCTGTACAATCTTGGATGTCGTTCTCACAGTAGATACCATTGTAACCTGGTTGACAGACACATTCATAGCTGTTGATCAGTTCTGTGCAGTCAGCTCCATTTTGACATGGGTTGCTGGCGCACTCCTGAATCTCAGTCTCACAATAATCTCCTTCATATCCTTGTGAACAGATACAAATATATCTGTCGATCAAGTCCATACAGTTTGCATCATTCAGACATGGATTCCCTGAACATTCTTGTATTTCGTTCTCACAGTTGATACCATTGTAACCTGGTTGACAGACACATTCATAGCCGTTGATCAGTTCTGTGCAGTCAGCTCCATTTTGACATGGGTTGCTGGAACACTCCACTACTTCATTTTCACAAAAAGTGCCATTGTAACCTGCTGGGCAGATACACAGGAAACCGTTTATCTCTTCTGTACAATTGGCTCCATTTTGACAAGTGTTGTTGGCACACTCCTGAATGTCAGTCTCGCAATAATCTCCTTCATATCCTGGTGAACAGATGCACAGATATCCATCGATCAAGTCCATACAGTTTGCATCATTCAGACATGGATTCCCTGAACATTCTTGTATTTCGTTCTCACAGTTGATACCATTGTAACCTGGTTGACAGACACATTCATAGCCGTTGATCAGTTCTGTGCAGTCAGCTCCATTTTGACATGGGTTGCTGGAACACTCCACTACTTCATTTTCACAAAAAGTGCCATTGTAACCTGCTGGGCAGATACACAGGAAACCGTTTATCTCTTCTGTACAATTGGCTCCATTTTGACAAGTGTTGTTGGCGCACTCCTGAATGTCAGTCTCGCAATAATCTCCTTCATATCCTGGTGAACAGATGCAAAGATATCCATCGATCAAGTCCATACAGTTTGCACCATTCAGACATGGATTCCCTGAACATTCTTGTATTTCGTTCTCACAGTTGATACCATTGTAACCTGGTTGACAGACACATTCATAGCCGTTGATCAGTTCTGTGCAGTCAGCTCCATTTTGACATGGGTTGCTGGAACACTCCACTACTTCATTTTCACAAAAAGTGCCATTGTAACCTGCTGGGCAGATACACAGGAAACCGTTCATCTCTTCTGTACAATTGGCTCCATTTTGACAAGTGTTGTTGGCGCACTCCTGAATGTCAGTCTCGCAATAATCTCCTTCATATCCTGGTGAACAGATGCAAAGATATCCATCGATCAAGTCCATACAGTTTGCATCATTCAGACATGGATTCCCTGAACATTCTTGTATTTCGTTCTCACAGTTGATACCATTGTAACCTGGTTGACAGACACATTCATAGCCGTTGATCAGTTCTGTGCAGTCAGCTCCATTTTGACATGGGTTGCTGGAACACTCCACTACTTCATTTTCACAAAAAGTGCCATTGTAACCTGCTGGGCAGATACACAGGAAACCGTTTATCTCTTCTGTACAATTGGCTCCATTTTGACAAGTGTTGTTGGCGCACTCCTGAATGTCAGTCTCGCAATAATCTCCTTCATATCCTGGTGAACAGATGCAAAGATATCCATCGATCAAGTCCATACAGTTTGCACCATTCAGACATGGATTCCCTGAACATTCTTGTATTTCGTTCTCACAGTTGATACCATTGTAACCTGGTTGACAGACACATTCATAGCCGTTGATCAGTTCTGTGCAGTCAGCTCCATTTTGACATGGGTTGCTGGAACACTCCACTACTTCATTTTCACAAAAAGTGCCATTGTAACCTGCTGGGCAGATACACAGGAAACCGTTCATCTCTTCTGTACAATTGGCTCCATTTTGACATGTGTTGTTGGCACACTCCTGAATGTCAGTCTCGCAATAATCTCCTTCATATCCTGGTGAACAGATGCAAATATATCTGTCGATCAAGTCCATACAGTTTGCATCATTCAGACATGGATTCCCTGAACATTCTTGTATTTCGTTCTCACAGTTGATACCATTGTAACCTGGTTGACAGACACATTCATAGCCGTTGATCAGTTCTGTGCAGTCAGCTCCATTTTGACATGGATTACTGCTACATTCATCAAGCTCCATCTCACAGTTTGTTCCATTAAACCCTGATGGACATTGGCAGAAGTACTCATCAATCAGATCTGTACAGTTGGCTCCATTCTGACATGGGTTGCTGGTACATTCTAGAGTTTCAGTTTCACAGTGTTCTCCTTCAAATCCTGGTGCACAGATGCAAAGGTAGCCATTGTTCAGGTCCGTACAGTTTGCACCATTTCGACAAGGACCTCCTGCACAATCTTGGATGTCGTTCTCACAGTAGATACCATTGTAACCTGGTTGACAAACACATTCATAGCTGTTGATCAGTTCTGTGCAGTCAGCTCCATTTTGACATGGGTTGCTGGCGCACTCCTGAATCTCAGTCTCACAATAATCTCCTTCATATCCTTGTGAACAGATACAAATATATCTGTCGATCAAGTCCATACAGTTTGCAGCATTCAGACATGGATTCCCCGAACATTCTTGTATTTCGTTCTCACAGTTGATACCATTGTAACCTGGTTGACAGACACATTCATAGCCGTTGATCAGTTCTGTGCAGTCAGCTCCATTTTGACATGGGTTGCTGGAACACTCCAATACTTCATTTTCACAAAAAGTGCCATTGTAACCTGCTGGGCAGATACACAGGAAACCGTTTATCTCTTCTGTACAATTGGCTCCATTTTGACAAGTGTTGTTGGCACACTCCTGAATGTCAGTCTCGCAATAATCTCCTTCATATCCTGGTGAACAGATGCACAGATATCCATCGATCAAGTCCATACAGTTTGCATCATTCAGACATGGATTCCCTGAACATTCTTGTATTTCGTTCTCACAGTTGATACCATTGTAACCTGGTTGACAGACACATTCATAGCCGTTGATCAGTTCTGTGCAGTCAGCTCCATTTTGACATGGGTTGCTGGAACACTCCACTACTTCATTTTCACAAAAAGTGCCATTGTAACCTGCTGGGCAGATACACAGGAAACCGTTTATCTCTTCTGTACAATTGGCTCCATTTTGACAAGTGTTGTTGGCGCACTCCTGAATGTCAGTCTCGCAATAATCTCCTTCATATCCTGGTGAACAGATGCAAAGATATCCATCGATCAAGTCCATACAGTTTGCATCATTCAGACATGGATTCCCTGAACATTCTTGTATTTCGTTCTCACAGTTGATACCATTGTAACCTGGTTGACAGACACATTCATAGCCGTTGATCAGTTCTGTGCAGTCAGCTCCATTTTGACATGGGTTGCTGGAACACTCCACTACTTCATTTTCACAAAAAGTGCCATTGTAACCTGCTGGGCAGATACACAGGAAACCGTTCATCTCTTCTGTACAATTGGCTCCATTTTGACAAGTGTTGTTGGCGCACTCCTGAATGTCAGTCTCGCAATAATCTCCTTCATATCCTGGTGAACAGATGCAAAGATATCCATCGATCAAGTCCATACAGTTTGCATCATTCAGACATGGATTCCCTGAACATTCTTGTATTTCGTTCTCACAGTTGATACCATTGTAACCTGGTTGACAGACACATTCATAGCCGTTGATCAGTTCTGTGCAGTCAGCTCCATTTTGACATGGGTTGCTGGAACACTCCACTACTTCATTTTCACAAAAAGTGCCATTGTAACCTGCTGGGCAGATACACAGGAAACCGTTTATCTCTTCTGTACAATTGGCTCCATTTTGACAAGTGTTGTTGGCGCACTCCTGAATGTCAGTCTCGCAATAATCTCCTTCATATCCTGGTGAACAGATGCAAAGATATCCATCGATCAAGTCCATACAGTTTGCACCATTCAGACATGGATTCCCTGAACATTCTTGTATTTCGTTCTCACAGTTGATACCATTGTAACCTGGTTGACAGACACATTCATAGCCGTTGATCAGTTCTGTGCAGTCAGCTCCATTTTGACATGGGTTGCTGGAACACTCCACTACTTCATTTTCACAAAAAGTGCCATTGTAACCTGCTGGGCAGATACACAGGAAACCGTTCATCTCTTCTGTACAATTGGCTCCATTTTGACATGTGTTGTTGGCACACTCCTGAATGTCAGTCTCGCAATAATCTCCTTCATATCCTGGTGAACAGATGCAAATATATCTGTCGATCAAGTCCATACAGTTTGCATCATTCAGACATGGATTCCCTGAACATTCTTGTATTTCGTTCTCACAGTTGATACCATTGTAACCTGGTTGACAGACACATTCATAGCCGTTGATCAGTTCTGTGCAGTCAGCTCCATTTTGACATGGATTACTGCTACATTCATCAAGCTCCATCTCACAGTTTGTTCCATTAAACCCTGATGGACATTGGCAGAAGTACTCATCAATCAGATCTGTACAGTTGGCTCCATTCTGACATGGGTTGCTGGTACATTCTAGAGTTTCAGTTTCACAGTGTTCTCCTTCAAATCCTGGTGCACAGATGCAAAGGTAGCCATTGTTCAGGTCCGTACAGTTTGCACCATTTCGACAAGGACCTCCTGCACAATCTTGGATGTCGTTCTCACAGTAGATACCATTGTAACCTGGTTGACAAACACATTCATAGCTGTTGATCAGTTCTGTGCAGTCAGCTCCATTTTGACATGGGTTGCTGGCGCACTCCTGAATCTCAGTCTCACAATAATCTCCTTCATATCCTTGTGAACAGATACAAATATATCTGTCGATCAAGTCCATACAGTTTGCAGCATTCAGACATGGATTCCCCGAACATTCTTGTATTTCGTTCTCACAGTTGATACCATTGTAACCTGGTTGACAGACACATTCATAGCCGTTGATCAGTTCTGTGCAGTCAGCTCCATTTTGACATGGGTTGCTGGAACACTCCAATACTTCATTTTCACAAAAAGTGCCATTGTAACCTGCTGGGCAGATACACAGGAAACCGTTTATCTCTTCTGTACAATTGGCTCCATTTTGACAAGTGTTGTTGGCACACTCCTGAATGTCAGTCTCGCAATAATCTCCTTCATATCCTGGTGAACAGATGCACAGATATCCATCGATCAAGTCCATACAGTTTGCATCATTCAGACATGGATTCCCTGAACATTCTTGTATTTCGTTCTCACAGTTGATACCATTGTAACCTGGTTGACAGACACATTCATAGCCGTTGATCAGTTCTGTGCAGTCAGCTCCATTTTGACATGGGTTGCTGGAACACTCCACTACTTCATTTTCACAAAAAGTGCCATTGTAACCTGCTGGGCAGATACACAGGAAACCGTTTATCTCTTCTGTACAATTGGCTCCATTTTGACAAGTGTTGTTGGCGCACTCCTGAATGTCAGTCTCGCAATAATCTCCTTCATATCCTGGTGAACAGATGCAAAGATATCCATCGATCAAGTCCATACAGTTTGCATCATTCAGACATGGATTCCCTGAACATTCTTGTATTTCGTTCTCACAGTTGATACCATTGTAACCTGGTTGACAGACACATTCATAGCCGTTGATCAGTTCTGTGCAGTCAGCTCCATTTTGACATGGGTTGCTGGAACACTCCACTACTTCATTTTCACAAAAAGTGCCATTGTAACCTGCTGGGCAGATACACAGGAAACCGTTTATCTCTTCTGTACAATTGGCTCCATTTTGACAAGTGTTGTTGGCGCACTCCTGAATGTCAGTCTCGCAATAATCTCCTTCATATCCTGGTGAACAGATGCACAGATATCCATCGATCAAGTCCATACAGTTTGCATCATTCAGACATGGATTCCCTGAACATTCTTGTATTTCGTTCTCACAGTTGATACCATTGTAACCTGGTTGACAGACACATTCATAGCCGTTGATCAGTTCTGTGCAGTCAGCTCCATTTTGACATGGGTTGCTGGAACACTCCACTACTTCATTTTCACAAAAAGTGCCATTGTAACCTGCTGGGCAGATACACAGGAAACCGTTTATCTCTTCTGTACAATTGGCTCCATTTTGACAAGTGTTGTTGGCGCACTCCTGAATGTCAGTCTCGCAATAATCTCCTTCATATCCTGGTGAACAGATGCAAAGATATCCATCGATCAAGTCCATACAGTTTGCATCATTCAGACATGGATTCCCTGAACATTCTTGTATTTCGTTTTCACAGTTGATACCATTGTAACCTGGTTGACAGACACATTCATAGCCGTTGATCAGTTCTGTGCAGTCAGCTCCATTTTGACATGGGTTGCTGGAACACTCCACTACTTCATTTTCACAAAAAGTGCCATTGTAACCTGCTGGGCAGATACACAGGAAACCGTTCATCTCTTCTGTACAATTGGCTCCATTTTGACATGTGTTGTTGGCACACTCCTGAATGTCAGTCTCGCAATAATCTCCTTCATATCCTGGTGAACAGATGCAAATATATCTGTCGATCAAGTCCATACAGTTTGCATCATTCAGACATGGATTCCCTGAACATTCTTGTATTTCGTTCTCACAGTTGATACCATTGTAACCTGGTTGACAGACACATTCATAGCCGTTGATCAGTTCTGTGCAGTCAGCTCCATTTTGACATGGATTACTGCTACATTCATCAAGCTCCATCTCACAGTTTGTTCCATTAAACCCTGATGGACATTGGCAGAAGTACTCATCAATCAGATCTGTACAGTTGGCTCCATTCTGACATGGGTTGCTGGTACATTCTAGAGTTTCAGTTTCACAGTGTTCTCCTTCAAATCCTGGTGCACAGATGCAAAGGTAGCCATTGTTCAGGTCCGTACAGTTTGCACCATTTCGACAAGGACCTCCTGCACAATCTTGGATGTCGTTCTCACAGTAGATACCATTGTAACCTGGTTGACAAACACATTCATAGCTGTTGATCAGTTCTGTGCAGTCAGCTCCATTTTGACATGGGTTGCTGGCGCACTCCTGAATCTCAGTCTCACAATAATCTCCTTCATATCCTTGTGAACAGATACAAATATATCTGTCGATCAAGTCCATACAGTTTGCAGCATTCAGACATGGATTCCCCGAACATTCTTGTATTTCGTTCTCACAGTTGATACCATTGTAACCTGGTTGACAGACACATTCATAGCCGTTGATCAGTTCTGTGCAGTCAGCTCCATTTTGACATGGGTTGCTGGAACACTCCAATACTTCATTTTCACAAAAAGTGCCATTGTAACCTGCTGGGCAGATACACAGGAAACCGTTTATCTCTTCTGTACAATTGGCTCCATTTTGACAAGTGTTGTTGGCACACTCCTGAATGTCAGTCTCGCAATAATCTCCTTCATATCCTGGTGAACAGATGCACAGATATCCATCGATCAAGTCCATACAGTTTGCATCATTCAGACATGGATTCCCTGAACATTCTTGTATTTCGTTCTCACAGTTGATACCATTGTAACCTGGTTGACAGACACATTCATAGCCGTTGATCAGTTCTGTGCAGTCAGCTCCATTTTGACATGGGTTGCTGGAACACTCCACTACTTCATTTTCACAAAAAGTGCCATTGTAACCTGCTGGGCAGATACACAGGAAACCGTTTATCTCTTCTGTACAATTGGCTCCATTTTGACAAGTGTTGTTGGCGCACTCCTGAATGTCAGTCTCGCAATAATCTCCTTCATATCCTGGTGAACAGATGCAAAGATATCCATCGATCAAGTCCATACAGTTTGCATCATTCAGACATGGATTCCCTGAACATTCTTGTATTTCGTTCTCACAGTTGATACCATTGTAACCTGGTTGACAGACACATTCATAGCCGTTGATCAGTTCTGTGCAGTCAGCTCCATTTTGACATGGGTTGCTGGAACACTCCACTACTTCATTTTCACAAAAAGTGCCATTGTAACCTGCTGGGCAGATACACAGGAAACCGTTTATCTCTTCTGTACAATTGGCTCCATTTTGACAAGTGTTGTTGGCGCACTCCTGAATGTCAGTCTCGCAATAATCTCCTTCATATCCTGGTGAACAGATGCACAGATATCCATCGATCAAGTCCATACAGTTTGCATCATTCAGACATGGATTCCCTGAACATTCTTGTATTTCGTTCTCACAGTTGATACCATTGTAACCTGGTTGACAGACACATTCATAGCCGTTGATCAGTTCTGTGCAGTCAGCTCCATTTTGACATGGGTTGCTGGAACACTCCAATACTTCATTTTCACAAAAAGTGCCATTGTAACCTGCTGGGCAGATACACAGGAAACCGTTTATCTCTTCTGTACAATTGGCTCCATTTTGACAAGTGTTGTTGGCGCACTCCTGAATGTCAGTCTCGCAATAATCTCCTTCATATCCTGGTGAACAGATGCAAAGATATCCATCGATCAAGTCCATACAGTTTGCATCATTCAGACATGGATTCCCTGAACATTCTTGTATTTCGTTTTCACAGTTGATACCATTGTAACCTGGTTGACAGACACATTCATAGCCGTTGATCAGTTCTGTGCAGTCAGCTCCATTTTGACATGGGTTGCTGGAACACTCCACTACTTCATTTTCACAAAAAGTGCCATTGTAACCTGCTGGGCAGATACACAGGAAACCGTTCATCTCTTCTGTACAATTGGCTCCATTTTGACATGTGTTGTTGGCACACTCCTGAATGTCAGTCTCGCAATAATCTCCTTCATATCCTGGTGAACAGATGCAAATATATCTGTCGATCAAGTCCATACAGTTTGCATCATTCAGACATGGATTCCCTGAACATTCTTGTATTTCGTTCTCACAGTTGATACCATTGTAACCTGGTTGACAGACACATTCATAGCCGTTGATCAGTTCTGTGCAGTCAGCTCCATTTTGACATGGATTACTGCTACATTCATCAAGCTCCATCTCACAGTTTGTTCCATTAAACCCTGATGGACATTGGCAGAAGTACTCATCAATCAGATCTGTACAGTTGGCTCCATTCTGACATGGGTTGCTGGTACATTCTAGAGTTTCAGTTTCACAGTGTTCTCCTTCAAATCCTGGTGCACAGATGCAAAGGTAGCCATTGTTCAGGTCCGTACAGTTTGCACCATTTCGACAAGGACCTCCTGCACAATCTTGGATGTCGTTCTCACAGTAGATACCATTGTAACCTGGTTGACAGACACATTCATAGCTGTTGATCAGTTCTGTGCAGTCAGCTCCATTTTGACATGGGTTGCTGGCGCACTCCTGAATCTCAGTCTCACAATAATCTCCTTCATATCCTGGTGAACAGATGCAAATATATCCATCGATCAAGTCCATACAGTTTGCATCATTTAGACATGGATTCCCTGAACATTCTTGTATTTCGTTCTCACAGTTGATACCATTGTAACCTGGTTGACAGACACATTCATAGCCGTTGATCAGTTCTGTGCAGTCAGCTCCATTTTGACATGGGTTGCTGGAACACTCCACTACTTCATTTTCACAAAAAGTGCCATTGTAACCTGCTGGGCAGATACACAGGAAACCGTTTATCTCTTCTGTACAATTGGCTCCATTTTGACAAGTGTTGTTGGCGCACTCCTGAATGTCAGTCTCGCAATAATCTCCTTCATATCCTGGTGAACAGATGCAAAGATATCCATCGATCAAGTCCATACAGTTTGCATCATTCAGACATGGATTCCCTGAACATTCTTGTATTTCGTTCTCACAGTTGATACCATTGTAACCTGGTTGACAGACACATTCATAGCCGTTGATCAGTTCTGTGCAGTCAGCTCCATTTTGACATGGGTTGCTGGAACACTCCACTACTTCATTTTCACAAAAAGTGCCATTGTAACCTGCTGGGCAGATACACAGGAAACCGTTTATCTCTTCTGTACAATTGGCTCCATTTTGACAAGTGTTGTTGGCACACTCCTGAATGTCAGTCTCGCAATAATCTCCTTCATATCCTGGTGAACAGATGCACAGATATCCATCGATCAAGTCCATACAATTTGCACCATTTAAGCATGGATTGTTAGCACACTCTTGAATTTCAGTTTCGCAGTTTGTGCCATAAAATCCTTGTAGGCAGATACATTCATATGAATTAATGCCTTCTTCACACAATGCTCTATTTAGACAAGGATTGCTAAAGCATTCTAAAACATCTACAAAGAAAGAAGGATTTAAAGAGAGAGAAAGAGACAAAAGCAATAAGTGGGCCATGTTCTAAATCACCATTGTTGTAAATTGATGACAATTTTGTTAGTGATTGCTATAGCTATATAACATCATCATCAACAAAAACAATCTATTCAAACTCAAGATTGTTTTGTAGACTATGATCTTTACTCATCATTACAAATAAAATGTACTGTTATCATTTATTGTATTTCACACAAGAAAGGGTAACACTGGCATGCGAAAAATTCAGTGTTGTTAATGAGGTGGATACTCAATGGAAAAACATAAAAACAGCAGTGAATATCTGACTAGTGAGTTGAAAAGAAACCTTGAAGAGCAAAAGAAACTAATTTAATCATGCATGTATGACTATCAATGATTACTTTGTAAGATCTATTTGAAGTTATTTGTGCGTAGGTGTTTGGTTTGATTTCATTTTCTGTAAAAAAAATTAAATACATACAAGAATACAATTTACAAATTGAATACAAATCAAAAATTAAAAACGGCAGGATTGCTCTATTCAGAGCCATTATTAAAATGGTTTTGTTATTCCTAGAGGTCCAGAAAATAGATATTTAAATATAGATATAAAACACAAAATATTACGAAGATATTACATACGTACTATAAAAAAACCCTACCAAACCCTCTATATCACATTATGAATATGACTGTTACCAGTGATTCATTATACAATTTAGATCTGCGATAAAACAATGTTCGTTTACAATTATCTGTTTTAGGTTTGGGCAAGACTAAGTCATCGACATTTCTTAGGGCATTATTGGTTTCTTTGTAAAAAGAGATTATTCTGCATATTATCTGGAGTTAAATTGTGGAAAATCTTATACAGTATTATGTACATGTGCTTTTTACTTCTGGTTTTTAGGGATTCCCATTTTAAGAGATCTCGAATCTGATTTGTTGAAGTATGATCATGAGGGTTTATCTTAAGGATTATCCTTGTTGACACTACATTTCCAAAATGTTTTCATGCTTTTTTCTTTCTATTACCCTTCTCCATAACAAATGAATAATCTTAGTGGGTGGTATTCTCGAAAGTTAAATCAGTGGCTTAAACCTGGTTTAAACCATGGACTATCTTTTTTGCTATTCTCGAAGGTGGCCTAAAGATAAGCCAGGCTTAAATACGTCATAGTTCGGCCTAACTTTAGGCCGCTCAGAGGGCAGGTTTAAAAACGTCATAGTTCGGCCTAACTTCGCGTGACGTCACTTTTTAGTTAAATCGACTGTCCGCGGAGAGTGAACGGTAAGTTTTGCATTGAATTTCTATATTTGATTTTACACTCTTTTGTATCGGATAAGCGCTCATGAAAGTTACACCAGCTAATAAAGTATTTTTGTTACTTTCATGTTGATGTACTGGTGATAATCTAAAATGCTTTCAACAGAATAAATTTGGGGGAAACTTCGTAAATGTTCATGGTGTTCGCAGACCAGTCCCATACGTGCAAATAATTGTCGGTTAACATTTTCGTTTCCTGAGATTGAGCAATTTCTTACCGGGTAATTTTTTTCTTGGCACTATTGTACTTTCGTACGCATATGCCACCTTAACACCAACTTAAAACTATCATTGCTAGACGTAGAAACTACTTTTATAGTGGATTTTCTAGACGCTGTTGCCTAAAAGTGGACTAGCACTAGGCCTAAATTTAGATCTAGCTGTCTCTTTCGTTCGTTAGCCACTGATTTGGGTAGGGTCGGCTCCTCTCTTTCAGCCGACCCTACCCAAATCAGAGGCTAACGAACAAAAGAGACAGACATTTCGGTCTGGTATCACCTCTGCCTGAGCTGCAGTGCTAGTTGTGGCTGTTGGTGCGATAATTTTCTACAGGATGATGATTTTCATAACCAACCATCCCCTCCCCCCCCCCTCCCCCAAGAATTTAAAAAAAAAACAATATTACTAGATCTAGACCTAGATCTAAATTTCATCAATAAGAGTCTAGTCTAGACAGGTCTAATAGAAATTGAAAGGAAATGGACAGAAGCTTCCTTTTTTGACATACATTTGCTGATAATGTTACAGTACTTTAGTCTTATAATACTATTAGGTCTAGTTAGTAAACTACAGAGAAAGAGAAATTGTATTTTCTTATCAAATATCAACATAATTAATTTTCATCTTGATTTTCTGCTATTTCGGGTTCTTTTCAATTGATGCATGGGGATGAAAAAAGAAGGCCTCTCCCAAGCTATGGTGTCCCGCCTTGTGAAGTCCATCTCAATAGCCATTGCCAGGAGATCAGAGCAATACATCTCAATTCCTTCAACAAGAGAGGCAGTCCTGCAGAGTGCAGACCCAACATGAATTTTATAATTACTACCATTTCCCTGGCGTTAATATGGTCGGTCGGGTATTGATTGCACCCACATAGGCGCGTCCTGAACAGGAAAAATAGATACTTCATTTTTCTTGGCAAGTCTGCTGGTGAGTAAAGCTGTAATTACTCCTAAATTTTGTAAACTAAAACATGTTTATACAATTTTTATAAAAAAGATCTGCTGATTTCATGAATCTGCAGATGTGTATATACAGGTACATTATGAAGTGATTTAAAATTGTTTTGTCTGATGAATGTAGGTGCAATCTACACTCAAACTTCTATTCATTTTACATCGGCACGAGCTAATATTTTCAGCTCGATTGCCATGGCTACCAGTCACTCCTGACAGTGACAGCTTGGCCTAGACTTTTGGGCGGAACTATCTCTGAAGATAAGACACAAATAATCAACAGTTGATTAACTACTTTAAAATTTGGGTCAGAAGAAAATTCAAACCTACCACTAACAATTGTAGACCATATAAGACTTAACGCCCTACAGACTGCAGTACAGTACAGTGCAGTAAATTTTCATTTTACTTTTCACGAAGCTCATTTTGGGAGATAACATAACAAAGACAATCTTTGGTTATGTTAGATTGAACTAAAATGAAAAAAGTTGGGCTCTAACGATTAGGGCCTTGTAAAATCTACAACCCAGGCTGCGTTTACATCTAGGTTAGGCCAACTGTCGGCTGGTTTTCTAAGTAAGATGTAGACCTCTAGACTTGATTTTAGGAAAGGGACTAACTTGGCTATAGACTTTAACTACTTAGGGCTTTCTTAGGCCATGAAATGGCAAGTACAACTGGGTGCAAGCACATTTATGAGATAGTACTGCAAGAATGTGTATGTTTGTTCTTGACTTTAAAAGAGATACCGGTAGTCATTCTGTAAATCATGATTACTAGTAACTGAGTGGGGAGGGGGTGCCTAGTCAATACCTACATGAAAGGCGCCTTAATTCTTTTTTTAAAGTTAGAATATGATTGACACTATAACTAAGACCAATTATCAATGGAGTAGATCTTTGATATTTTAATGAGGTCTAAACCTTTTTATTTTTGTTTCAGGATGATGTTCTTTTTCAGTAAAATAAATGAAGGCAAATTCCCTGATTATTGAGACTAATTCAGAGAGAGGAAGGAGAAATACTGAGCTGCTGAATTTCTGACAGGTAGGCTGTACGAATAAGTTGTTGTTTGTATGCCCAGCCACTTCAAGGAGGGCATTTGTTCATTCACATTTTCCATCAATACTTTCAAGTAATTGATTATGCACTCCACTTTTACCACAATGTGCATGTAAGTCCACTTTGGTCACAATGTACATGCAAGACCTTTTTAATGTTTAACAAAAATAGGTTTCAATGTGCTTTCTTTCATTTTTTCCTCTTTTTATTGAACAGACATACTTGCAAGGACTATGAAGTTCTACTTAGCCTCTTCAATGAACCAGACTCTTTCTGCTGTAACTGTGACTGCATGGGGATCAAAACCTTTGTATTATGATCCTCATATCATGAAGCCATGGTAACAATCAAGCAACCATTGATAAAAAGTCTGATATGTCCTTGTTGTGTGTATGAACCACAAAGCAACCATCACTCATAAGGATGTTTTTATGTACATCAGATGTTCATTGTTTCACTGGAAAAATTGTGATTTTTTAGTCATTTAAGAAATCATGTTTTATAATGTGTTTTATATTATAGTGCAAGTCATGATATAACAGATTCCCTGCAAAAGAAAGACGGCTCAAAAGTAGACTATGCTTTGTTTTTAAAAATGGGAAAAAGTAATGTAACAAATACATAGCTTTGAATTATAATAATTTCAAGTAGCAGATTATGAGGCTATTGGAGCATAATATTTGACCTTCAATTTTATAATCGTATTCATCGTGAATTACAATCTTTTCTGTTTTAAGAAAAATAAATAAATTGAACATAATTGTTGATATATTATATACACTATTCCTTTCATACCTTTTGATTTTAATGTGCATACTGTTGGGTTCATTGAATTATACATGGAAAAAGTCTTGAAATAGAACAGTGAGAGAAAAGAGAGCGAGCGAGAGAGAGAGATAGAGTAAAAAAAAAAGGGAACCAAATGAGAAAGAACAGTTTAATGGTGAGAGAAATAAACAATGATGTGAGATAGTGTGTGTGAGAGAGATGGAGATAGGGAGAAAGAGTTGGGGGGGGGGGGGTACAGTGCCCCCTTTTTTCAAATGCCCCATTTTTTATAGGAAAGTTCCCTTTTAACTTTGTAAGAAGTGCCCCTTTTTCCATAGGAAAAGTGCCCCTTCCCCTTTTCACCTCTGATAAGTGCCCCTTTAATTTTGACACGCGCCCCTTTTCCTTTGACAAGTTTCCATTTTCCTTTGCAAAAAGTGCCCCTATTCACTTTTGAGAAGTGCCCCTTCACCTCTGATAATTGCCCTATTTAAATTTGAGAGGTGCCCCTATTAACAAAATTATCGGTGCCCCTGTTATTTCAACAAATGCACATTTCCTTTATTTTAAGTGCCTTTTTTTCATTCTCATAAGTGCCCCTTTTAAAATATGTTCAATGCCCCTTTTCAGGTGCGATATATGACCCTTTTCACCTCTGATAATTTCCCTTTAAACAATGATACAATTCCAGCGAGTGCCCTTATTTGTTAGTTCTGCCCCCCGCTTTGGAAGTCGCTCCGCCGCCCCTGGACGTCATATTGCTCAAGTTGTCGAGGTGATGCATCCTCTCCACACTGCGCGCATCCATTGTCTTAGCCCATTGTCTTAGTGCATTGTTACGTCGCAGCTTCGGTACTGAGCATGTGCAGAAACTGTAACCATGGTGAATGATCCATGGACTAAGTTAAGCCAGGTTTAAACCATGGATCAGTTAAGCCACCTTTCGAGAAATGAAAAGGACTTAGGTCAGCGGCCCAAGTTAAGCCTGGACTAACTAAACCACAGACTAAGTTAGGCCAGGTTTAACTTAGGCCACTTTCGAGAATACCACCCAGTGTGTTTACTACTATGCATTGTTCTATTTTAGAAGGCCTAGAAAGCTGACAGCATAGTTGGAAATGCATAATGTATAATCTTGACAAAGAATGAATGGACACAACTTCAAATCACCAAAACAAAGGATTGATAACCTTACCTGTGTCACAAGTCTCTCCAGTCCATCCAGGAGCACAGTTGCATTGATAGTCACCCAATCCATTAATACATGTAGCATTGTTCTGGCAAGGATTACTTTCACATTCTGCAAAACCAGTTCCACAATGAGTACCGTTGAAACGTGGGGGACATACACATATATATCCATTTATTCCCTCTGTACAGTTGGCCCCATTCCGGCAAGGGTTGCTGGCGCATTCCTGAATCTCAAGCTCACAATGATCTCCTTCAAATCCTGGAGCACATGCGCAGAGATAGCCGTTAATCAAGTCCATACAGTTTGCACCATTCAGACATGGGTTCCCTGAACATTCTTGTATTTCAGTCTCACAGTGCGTGCCATTGTATCCTGGTGCACAGATGCACTCGTAGCGATTGATAAGCTCTGAGCAAGTAGCACCATTCTGACATGGATCACTGGAACATTCCAAAATATCTTGCTCACAATTTATACCTGTGTATCCTACTGGACAATGACAAATATACCCATCCCCCAAGTCTGTGCAGTTGGCTCCATTTGTACATGGAATACTGCCACATTCATCAAGCTCTATCTCACAGTTTGTTCCATTAAAGCCCAATGGACATTGGCAAAAGTACACATCAATCAGATCTGTGCAGTTGGCTCCATTCTGACAAGGGTTGCTGGCACATTCTAGAGTTTCAGATTCACAGTGTAGTCCATTGTAACCTGGTTGACAAATGCAGAGATATCCATTAATCAAGTCCATACAGTTTGCATCATTCAGACAGGGATCTCCTGCACAGTCTTGAATCTCGTTCTCACAGTTTACCCCATTGTAACCTGGTTGACAGACACATTCATAACCATTGATTAGCTCTGTGCAGTCAGCTCCATTTTGACATGGGTTGCTGGAACACTCCAATACTTCATCTTCACAGAAAGTGCCATTGTAACCTAGTGGGCAGACACACAGGAAACCGTTTATCTCTTCTGTACAATTGGCTCCATTTTGACATGGGTTGCTTGCACATTCCTGAAATCCAGTCTCGCAGTGTTCTCCTGTAAATCCAGGTGCACATATGCAAAGATAGCCGTTGACCAAGTCCATACAGTTTGCACCATTCAAACACGGATTTTCTGAACAGTCCTGGATATTTGCCTCACAGAATGTGCCATTGAAGCCTGGTTGGCACAAGCACTCATATCCATCAACTAGTTCTGTGCAGTTGGCTCCATTTTGACAAGGGTTGCTAGAACATTCCACAATTTCACGCTCACAGTGCGTACCAAAATATCCAGGGGCACAAACACATAAGTATCCATTCACAAGTTCCATACAATTGGCGCCATTCAAACATGGATCACTGGAACACGTAAAAATACTGGTTTCACAATGTGTTCCATCGAATCCAGAAGGACAAATGCAATCGTAGCCATTTTGCAACTCTGTACAGTTGGCTCCATTCAAGCACGGGTTACTTGAACATTCTTGAATATCTGGAAATAAAGAAAATGTATGACAAATTAATTCACATTTTTATTGTTATCGATTGAGAATGCCTTTAAATAGAAACGCATTACATATCACACATTAAATAATTTCCACGACATATAATACAGTACATTAAAATATCAATATCAATAAATTATCTTTTATCAAAACAGTTATCAATAGCAAAAATAACTTCATTAAAAACATACCTAGTTCACATGTAGGGCCAGTCCATCCAGGTGGACATACGCACTGATAACTTGCTATAGCATCGATACAAGTGGCATTGTTCTGACATGGATCACTGCTACATTCCTGAATGTTCATTTCACAGTTGGTTCCATTCCATCCAGGACCACAGATGCATGAATAGCCCCCCACCAGATCTACACAGGTGGCATTGTTTATGCATGGATCATCCATACATTCAGTCATTTCTGAAACAAATAGAGGCAATGTTGAAATTAAACTGTTAAAAAAGACAGAGCAATGTAATGCTACATAAAACTAAATGTAAAAACAGAACCAAGTTGCATTTCACCAATACCACATGATTAAGCATAATAAATATTGAATTTCAAAGGGTTTCAATTGGGTTTGGATTTAGAACCAGGTACCACTATTATGTACTATAACATTTGTAAATAAATCACTCTAATGATATAATGCTCCTTTCAGTAGAACAGAAACCTGCAAACCAATCACAAATATATGCACATCTATAATGAAAGATCAATTACGCAAAAATACAAAAGTTTCAAATACACGAGTATCAAAAAGACAAATAGCGATTATACTGGACCTAAGTAATTACTTATTTAAACATGAATTGCACACACAAAAATATGAGGTGACAAAGGAATGTATTACTATGAATATCAGCCATTGAAGTAGAAAGTAATAAAATATGAATGCATTAAATGAAAAAGGATCATATGACTCAAATGACTTACACCTTTGGCAATTCCTTGCCATATAGCTACAATGGCACATTATGCAAAACAAATGAAATCTTATTCAATGACATATTTTACAAAGGTAGCTGATTCACTTTCGAATTAATTGAACAGTCACAAGCACCTACAAAACTAAAACTTCAGTCTCGATTAGTAAAATGCTTAGCATGACAAGTCACAGGTAATTATAACCCTACCAAATTCACAATTTTCCCCTGTCCAACCAGGGGCGCACATGCAGAGATATCCAAGAGTGAGGTCAAGGCACAATGCATCATTTTGGCATGGATTGCTATTGCATGCTAGGATTGCCAGTTCACAGTGGATTCCATTGAAGCCTTTGGGGCATTCACAAACGTAGGCGTCTATTAAGTCTGTGCAGGTTGCTCCATTTTGACAAGGACTGCTGGCACACTCCATGACGTCTAGCTCACAGTGGGTGCCGTTCCAACCTCGATTGCAAATACACTGGTATGCATTGATCATGTCAAAACATTCAGCTCCATTCTGACATGGATTACTGCTGCATTCAAGGATCTCAGATTCGCAGTTAACTCCTTGCCAGCCTGGTAGACACTGACATTCATAACTGCCAATAATATCAACACAGACTGCACCATTTTGACATGGAGCGCTGTCACACTCATCAATCTCAATCTCGCATAGGGTTCCAGTCCATCCTGGTGCACAGACACAGTTAAAGGCACCTATGAGGTCGACACAGGTTCCATTATTTTGACAAGGGTTACTGGAGCACTCTTGAATTTCCTCTTCACAGTGTACTCCAGTCCATCCCTCTGGACATTGACAGTCATATCCATTGATGTCTTCAAAACAAGTAGCACCATTCAGACAAGGATTACTGGCACATTCTACAATGTCTATCTCACAGTGAATTCCATTCCAGCCTGGAGGGCACTGGCATTCATAAGAATCAAGCAGATCGATGCAGGTGGCGTCATTTAGACATGGGTTGCTTGCACATTCTAAGATGTCATTCTCACAATGTAGACCTTGCCATCCAGTACTGCACAGGCAAACATATCCGGCAACCAAGTCTATGCAGGTGGCACCATTCATGCATGGATCGCCATCACACTCAATGATTTCTGAAAGAAAGCAAATTATACACATTTATTTCTATCTTGTAATTTAAATACATCTCAGCTCTTTATATTATAGTGTCCTTAACAGCACAAAATATTACAATAAAAATAACTACTTGCAGTAAAACTGGAACCCAGGATCACCTTTCGATTCACGTGTCGACTTCTCAAATAACTTGGTGTTTATCTCCATGAGTGGTTACTAGTAAAACGATATGAATACCATTGTCACAATGTATTCCTTCAAAAAAGAATTTGTTTTTTGCATGTGCATACGCAAACTGGTCCTTAAACACTTTTCCAAATGATACAATAAAACTAGAGTTAAATTATGTTGTGATATACAAACAGTTCCTTCCCTTCTATCTTATCAGTTTGTTTTATCAATTCTAACATAAAAATGTCTTAGTTCTTGTAAAAAAAAATGGACATTACCTTCTTCACAAAGTCTTCCTTTGTATCCAAAAGGACAAGTACACTGAAATCCATTCTCCAAGTCAGAGCACGTTGCACCATTTTGGCAGGGGTTACTAGCACACTCTGCAATATCTGGTTCAGGAGAGAATGTCATATATAGCATTACAAATTCTTTACAAATTCTTAAAAAATGAGAATAATAGTGGAGTATTGTATAGCACTCATAACTGGCATATGGCCACTCATAGCAATCCATTATCTTTAGCTTTACTTATAATGTTACAAAAATTTAACATTAACCATGTATAACGATGAAAAATATATACGTATTATTAAAACCAGGAATGAAATACTTGATTCTACTTTTTCTCCTTCGCACAAAACGTAAACAGACAATTATCTCCAGTATTCCTAAGGCATTTAAAGAAGAAAAAATATAGTGACATCTTGATGGTAGTTTTAGTACATATTGCTTTACATATCTTTGTGTACCTTCTGCACATGTTATTCCCTGCCATCCAGAAGCACATACGCATTCAAAACTTGCTAATCCATCAACACAAGTAGCACCATTTAGACACGGGTTGCAGGAACACTCCATTATTTCTGTTGACAAGAAAACAAAAATAGTGAGGGTTTTAAGGTCAATAACAACAATCATATATCATAACAGAGAATACAATGTGTATACCATCACTCAACTATTGCTTGTCCCATGAAGTCCCCCCTCTCTCTCTCTCTCTCCCTCCCCATCACGCTCATCTCTCTTCCCTCTCTCTCTCTCTCCTTATCATCATCTGCCACTTACAGTACCATACCTCTTATCCTCTTATCCTACATATAATTTCTTACAGAGAAGTGTTTCAATATTTGTGAACAATTGCTAGGTAAAATAAGGGCTTTCATCAAGCGTCTAAAAAAAATGTAATCCTATATATATATATATAGGCCTACGTATGAAAATATTAAATACTAATGGTGTATACTTTCAAAATTTCAGAAAAATATGCCTACAAGTACATACGTCCCACTTCACCCACTCTAAATTATCAAAGTTAAACCATTAATACCTTCTTTAACAAAAACACTGCAATAAGAGACTTTGTTGCATTGTGAAATGCATCAAATTATATCAATTCAATGAAATGTCACCACTTGTTAATGTTCATAGTTACCTATCTGACATGCTTCTCCTTCCCAGCCAGGAGCACACTGGCAGAAATAACCATTGAAGAAGTCCGCACAGGTTGCTCCATTTAGACAAGGATCGCTCACACATTCATCAAAGTCTGCAAAACCATAAATATGTAGAAATTTTAACAGGTTCCAAAACAGAGCAATACTCAAGAAAAAGTAAAGCGAGGGGGAATTCAAATTACCTTACTACTTATAATTTCCTAATCAATTAATTCAATCATTGTACAAATTGAATTAGCTTTTTTTAAATTGTAAAATGTATGTTCTTACCCGATTCGCAATTAGATCCATCCCATCCGAGAGGGCACTGACAATGATAGCCTCCAACCAAATCAAGACAAGTAGCCCCATTCTGACAAGGATCACTGGTACATTCCTGGTCCTCTAATTCACAGTGGATGCCCTCCCAGCCTAAAGCACATTCACACTGGTACCCTCCAATCAGATCGATGCAGGTTGCTCCATTCAAACAAGGATTGCTGGAACATTCCTCTATGTCAGCCTCACATAGTACACCAGTGAAGCCAAGAGGACATTGACAGGTGAACAATCCTATTTCATCTATGCATGTTGCACCATTTTGACATGGATTGCTGGCACATTCCTGGATGTCTACTTCACAGTTGCTACCATTCCATCCTGGAGCACAGATGCATTCATACATGGCAATAAGGTCCACACAGGTAGCTCCATTCATGCAGGGATCTCCAGCACATTCAAGAATTTCTGTATGGATAATGTTAAATGATATTTACAAACATTAAAATGCACTTCTATTTGGACAAAGGGTTAAATATTATACGTATATATGTATCTCAATTTATGATGGTTCATATCAATCAATTTTATTATTGCAATATTTGATATGTCCGATATAGCAGATCATATTCGATGGCTTAGGGGTAAAGGAAATTAAGTAAAAATGTTATCAGCACTACAATGATGAAGCATCTTTGACTTATAACACAAATTCTTCCCCTTTTCCAGGATAGAGGAACAGTGAAATAATTATAAAAAGGAAATGAAAGTGACTTACCAATTTCACAGTTAGTGCCGTTCCAGCCTGGAGCACATTGACATTCATATGTACCAATCAGATCATTGCAAGTAGCTCCGTTCTGGCATGGATCAGAAGAACATTCCAAGATCTCAGTTTCACAGTGTGTTCCTGTCCATTCAGTAGTACATTCACATTGATATCCTGGAATCAGGTCTATACAGTTTGCTCCATTGAAACAGGGGTTGCTCAAACATTCTAAGATCTCAATACCACAGAATTGACCAACCCAACCTTCAAGACACTGGCAACTGTAACCATCTACTTCATTTGTGCAGGTAGCACCATTGATGCAAAGATTTCCATTACAATAATCAATGTTGACTTCACAATTGGTTCCATTCCAACCTGGTAAGCATTGGCATTCATACGAATCAAGAGATTCAAGGCATGTTGCTCCATTTTGGCATGGGTCACTGGCACATTCATCTACATTATTCTCACACTTCAGACCATTGAAACCTGGGTCACAAATGCATTGGTATCCATTAATCATCTCTAAGCACTGAGCTCCATTATGACATGGGTTGCTCTTACATTCAAGGATCTCAGATTCACAGTTCACTCCTTGCCAGCCTGGTAGACACTGACATTCATAACTGCCAATAAGATCAACACAGACCGCACCATTTTGGCATGGAGCGCTGTCACACTCATCAATCTCAATCTCGCATAGGGTTCCAGTCCATCCTGGTGCACAGACACAGTTAATGGCACCTATGAGGTCGACACAGGTTCCATTATTTTGACAAGGGTTACTGGAACACTCTTGAATTTCCTCTTCACAGTGTACTCCAGTCCATCCCTCTGGGCATTGACAGTCATATCCATTGATGTCTTCAAGACAAGTAGCACCATTCAGACAAGGATTACTGGCACATTCTACGATGTCTATTTCACAGTGAGTTCCATTCCAACCTGGAGGGCATTGGCATTCATAAGAATCAAGCAGATCGATGCAGGTTGCGTCATTTAGACATGGGTTGCTTGCACATTCTAAGATGTCGTTTTCACAGTGAATCCCCTGCCATCCTGTACTACATAGACACACATATCCAGCAACCAGATCTACACAGGTGGCGTCATTCATGCATGGATTGCCAGCACATTCAACAATTTCTGAGAAAGAAAACAAAAGAAAAATCATAAAATCTTTGACATACGCAATTGAAAGCAAAAAGGCGTAAATGTACTACCTGTCTATTAAAGCAGAAGAGCAACTTATGTTAATTATTAATTTTAAGGGCACCTGGTGATTAAACTGGTTCATATCAAAAGTAAAAACCAAGTGTCGATCATCATAATGGTTTGGGTGAAAACTCTTCTTTTTCTTTTCTCGATGCATATTCACAGCAGAGTTTGAACACTCGTCTTCTTCACATGTTGATGTATTACAAAAAAAAATTGAGAAATTATTTTCAATCCAATTTTCCTTCTTGTAGTAATAAATACATGGCACTTAGTTCTTAAAGTAGATTGTATAACCTCTCCTGATATTCATTTTGATCATTCAAATATTATCCCAGCTAAAAATGTTCCTTGGTATTTAGTAAATCAGGTGTTTGACATATACGCAAATAAAAAAATAAGCGACGAGCATGATATTGCATGTCATGGAGGACCTAATGGGAAAAGAGAGGGGGCAGACCAACTAGGAATGGACTGACAACATCAAGCAATGGACAGTAATGTCATTTGAGTAGCTAACTAGAAAGGTTAAAGAGAGGAAATTATGGAGAAGCTGTGTCTAAAGGTCCATTTCATTGTAGCCCCAACGGCCTCCAAGCTATGAGACAAAGATAGATATTTCATATAATGTCCTTTCTTCTACTACATGAAAGATATTGCGTACACTTGCCTTAACATATACATACTAAAACAGTAGTCATTAAGATTTACCTTCTTCGCAAAGTGTTCCTCTGAAGCCAAAACGACACACACATTCATATCCGTTTTCCAGGTCTGAGCAAGTTGCACCATTTTGGCAAGGATTACTGGCACACTCTAGAATATCTATTCAAATAATGATACATAAAAATGTTTTAAATATATGCACTTCAAAAGGAAAACAAAGGGGAAAAAAGGAAAATCAACAATGCCAATGGTAATGGAGAGAAGTATTCAACAGCAACTCTGCTAGGTAATGATTACGAGCATCAATTTGACAGTAACACGTTCCAAATTAATTCTAATGTACTTTACACATAAAAATTTACAACATTGTAGATTGATTCACATTGAAAAAGCGTACAAAATGTGTTTTCAATATTAAAAAATGCTCACCCTCTGTACAGGTCACACCCTGCCATCCAGGTGCACAAATGCATTCAAAACTTGCCAATCCATCCACACATGTAGCACCATTCTGACAGATGTTGAAGGAACACTCTAAAATTTCTGTTTACATAAAGCACAAATGGTGGTTATCACCAAAGGAATGTAATTTTATGAAAACATAGAAACATTTGAATACTAAGAGACTACTAAATCTGATTAAGAAATCTTGAATATCAAGATGCAGAATCATTGGTAGCTAGACTAGCTTAAAGTCATTGTTTAACAATGAATGTTTCCAGTTTGACAGATCTGAGTTGTAATATTGAAGCCCTTAAAAAAAAGGGGGCTAAAAAATTATCATGAAGTGCTTCAAAAAAAGTAAAAATCTTTGAGTGACTGGTTTTACCGTACTTGTTTACCCAATAGACTGTAGTGTTATAAAAACCATTGGGAAACAGTTTTTGAAATTTCTAATTCGAATCATAAATATCTTGATGATCAGAAAGGCGATCAGCTTGTATAAGTCAAGGGATTCCTGACTGACCTAATGGTTTATAATTATGATAGCAGATGCACTGTGTCTGACAGGAAATCCAGCATCTTTTGAGCCTACAGGATAATCATTTAACTATGGCTTCGCTATTTCTTTAATGTATGGTTATTTGGTAACAAATTTACTCACCAATTGCACACAAGTCTCCTTCCCATCCTGGGGCACATCGACATTGGAACCCATTAAATAAATCTGTACAGGTAGCTCCATTCAGACAAGGATTGCTCAAACACTCGTTAGATTCTGGAATGAAAATCATAATATAAAGTATTAGATTTAGCGTGTAAAGATGAAGACAAAAACCGAAAACTGACAGGTTATTTTGGATCCTAATAAACATTTCATTTTGATTTCAAGGTATTTCAACCTTCATACCCTAATTTAAATTTAATTACCATCCTTTTATTCCCCCAAGAAAACATGATATTCTTACCTATTTCACAGTTGGTTCCATTCCATCCTAGAGTACACTGACATTCATAACTTCCAACTAAATCTAGACAAGTAGCGCCATTCTGACAAGGATCACTGGTACATTCCTGGTCCTCTAATTCACAGTGGATGCCCTCCCAGCCTAAAGCACATTCACATTGGTACCCTCCAATCAGATCGATGCAGGTTGCTCCATTCAAACAAGGATTGCTGGAACATTCCTCTATGTCAGCCTCACATAGTACACCAGTGAAGCCAAGAGGGCATTGACAGGTGAACAATCCTATTTCATCTATGCATGTTGCACCATTTTGACATGGATTGCTGGCACATTCCTGGATGTCTACTTCACAGTTGCTACCATTCCATCCTGGAGCACAGATGCATTCATACATGGCAATCAGGTCCACACAGGTAGCTCCATTCATGCAGGGATCTCCAGCACATTCAAGAATTTCTGAGAAAAAAAATAATTACCGTAGTATTAAAACACTTATGGTACACTTTGATAAAATCTCAAGTTTCTCAACCAAAAGTATGCATATACATCAATCTTTGCCCAGTTACAACCAATGGTTTTCTTAATTTTGATTTCTTATGCCAATGAGAATTGTTTTTAAGAAAATAAAAGTCAACACTGCTCTTAAAAGCCACTTGTTTTCGGACAAAGATTTCATAAATAATAATTCTCATAGATCACGAAGGAATATTTAGGTATGCACCTCATTCAACACAAAACTTCAGAGCAAATATAATGGCAGTGAATGCAATGTCAATTAACCAGATTCAGACCGATGCTCATATTGAACGGACAACACCTTTTCAACATATTATATAAAAATAAGGACTCGGAAGATAGAAGTGAAGTATAGGATGTAAGCAAAATTTTTTTTTATACATACTGAAGGGATAGATATATCTTCATTTTGTTATTTTTCCCGTTTTTAATGATAAAGAAACATAATCGATCACTTACCTATATCACAGTTAGTGCCATTCCAACCTGGAGCACACTGACATACATATGTACCAATCAGATCATTGCATGAAGCTCCGTTCTGACAAGGATCAGAGGAACATTCCATGATCTCAGTTTCACAGTGTGTTCCTGTCCATCCAGTAGTACATTCACATTGATATCCTGGAATCAGGTCTATACAGTTTCCTCCATTGAAACAGGGGTTGCTCAGACATTCTAAGATCTCACTACCACAGAATTGACCAACCCAACCTTCAGGACACTGGCAACTGTAACCATCTATTTCATCAATGCAGGTAGCACCATTGATGCAAAGATTCCCATCACAATCATCAATGTTGACTTCACAATTGCTTCCATTCCAACCTGGTAAACATTGGCATTCATAGAAATCAATGAATTCAAGGCAATTTGCACCATTTTGGCATGGGTCACTTGCACATTCATCAATATCAACTTCACAGTTAGTACCATTGAAACCTGGATCACAAATACACTGGTATGCATTGATCATGTCAAAACATTCAGCTCCATTCTGACATGGATTACTGCTGCATTCAAGAATCTCAGATTCGCAGTTAACTCCTTGCCAGCCTGGTAGACACTGACATTCATAACTGCCAATAATATCGACACAGACTGCACCATTTTGACATGGAGTGCTGCCACATTCATCAATCTCAATCTCGCATAGGGTTCCAGTCCATCCTGGTGCACAGACACAGTTAAAGGCGCCTATGAGGTCGACACAGGTTCCATTATTTTGACAAGGGTTACTGGAACACTCTTGAATCTCGTCTTCACAGTGTACTCCAGTCCATCCCTCTGGACATTGACAGTCATATCCATTGATGTCTTCAAGACAAGTAGCACCATTCAGACAAGGATTACTTGCACATTCTACAATGTCCATCTCACAGTGTGTTCCATTCCAGCCTGGAGGGCACTGGCATTCATAAGAATCAAGCAGGTCGATGCAGGTTGCGTCATTTTGACATGGGTTGCTTGCACATTCTAAGATGTCGTTTTCACAGTGAATCCCCTGCCATCCTGTACTACATAGACACACATATCCAGCAACCAGATCCACACAGGTGGCATCATTCATGCATGGATTGCCAGCACATTCAACGATTTCTGAAAGGAGAAAGGAAATTGTTTAAATTTTAAAGACACCTTGTTATGACACTTAAAAAACAAAAAAATATTGCTTCTTATACCAATTCACAAAGAATATTTAAACTAGATTGCATTGAACTTTCTTTGTTGAATGCATTGCCTAATAACGTCCAAACCGCTCTAAGTCTTCAACAAATACCTGTATCGGGGACATGTATCTTATATGAGCATATGGTATACAATATGATTATCGACAGGGAAATAATTTAGGTACACCTAAAGTATACCTAAGAACACATAGTTACTTCAAGTTGTAGAACATTGCATGAGATGGTGAGTGTATGTTTGTACAAAACCTTACAGAGTGATGGTATTGTGGCACTGTCGGATCAAATACGAAGAGTGAAATATATATATATATATATAAAGAATGGGATTTTTATATTTGGAATCGAACACCATGGTATATGTACGTCTTTAACACTTATATGTTACAGATGGCCTTCTCCCACATGCATGTCTATTTATGAATTAACTGAACAGTACCAGTAGTCTCAAGGGTCTTACCTTCTTCACAAAGTGGTCCTCTGTATCCGAATGGACACACACAATCAAATCCGTTCTCCAGGTCTGAGCAAGTTGCATCATTTTGACACGGATTACTGGCACACTCTAGAATATCTGTAGAGAAGAAAGATTCATACGTAATGATATATTCATTATGTACAGGTACTTCATAACAACCGATGCAAATCAAATGAGGCAATTTCTAAAAGCAGCATTGTTAAGGCACGTTTGTTGTTTTGTAATATAATAGGAGAAATAACACTCTCCACATCTATAAGAGTACTAATGTGCTTTTCATCTGATATAAAATCACTAGTTAAGAGTTTCATTTCCAAGTCATATCTGTATGAAAGTATGATATTTTGAATATACTAACCTTCTGTACAAATCACGCCTTGCCATCCTGGAGTACAAATGCACTCAAAACTTGCTAATCTATCCACGCATGTTGCACCGTTTTGACAGGGCATGATGGCACACTCAAATATTTCTATAATATTGCAAAAAGAGAGACAAGGCATATATAGTAAAAAATGACCCCAAAAGTTATAAAATATGTTGAATTTAAGAGATACAGTAACGTTATTAGTAGATTAAGTACCAGCTGCATTATTGAAGGCTCATTAGCTAAACAAGAAAATCAGAGAACTTTGTGAAATAGCAATACCATCAAAATATGCCTTACCTGGCACTACTATGAAAAGTTTTAGGAACAATATTAAGTACGCATAAAGTGGTGTTCCATGTATAATGCTCATGGAGGCAGTTTTCATGACAAGCTTTCCACAAGACTAAAATATATATCACTGAGAAAGCCAACTTAATGGTTCTTATAGAGGTCTCCATACATGTTTTAAGCCAAAGATTTGACAGAAATTTCATGAATTTTATATTGCTATTGGCTACTTAATCTTTCGTTTATTGGTGAAAACTATATACCCACCCATTGCACACAAGTCTCCTTCCCATCCAGGGGCACATCGACATTGGAAACCATTAAAGAAATCTATACAGGTAGCTCCATTCAGACAAGGATTGCTCAAACACTCATCAGATTCTGGAATATCAATAAAAATATAGAGAATGAATTAGATTTAGAATGCAAAGAAGAACAGAAAAATGGGCCACTAAAGGGCTATTTTGGATCATAATAAACATTTTAATTTGATTTCAAAACGTTTCAACCTTCATACCCTACTTTAAATTTAAATTGCCATCCTCTTATTCACACAAAAAAACATGATATGCTCACCTATTTCACAGTTTGTTCCATTCCATCCTAGAGTACACTGACATTCATAACCGCCAACTAAATCAAGACAAGTAGCCCCATTCTGACAAGGATCACTGGTACATTCCTGGTCCTCTATTTCACAGTGAATGCCCTCCCAACCTAAAGCACATTCACATTGGTACCCTCCAATAAGATCAACGCAGGTTGCTCCATTCAAACAAGGATTGCTGGAACATTCCTCTATGTCAGCCTCACATAGTACACCAGTGAAGCCAAGAGGACATTGACAGGTGAACAATCCTATTTCATCTATGCATGTTGCACCATTTTGACATGGATTGCTGGCACATTCCTGGATGTCTACTTCACAGTTGCTACCATTCCATCCTGGAGCACAGATGCATTCATACATGGCAATAAGGTCCACACAGGTAGCTCCATTCATGCAGGGATCTCCAGCACATTCAAGAATTTCTGGAAGAGAAAACAACATTTTCTTAGTACATCATGGGAAACTCTGAAATTCTCATGAACCAAAAAGAGTCATTTATCTATGATGCATTTAATAATAATGAATTATCTCTATGATTAATGAAGATATCATGGGGTGTCCTAAATCAGATGCCTTAGTCCAATGTATTTTCATGTCAGAAATCCTTTAGCAACTTCTTCAACTGTAACTTGTGCTTCTATTCAATTCTATTAAATCATCAATGATAAAGAAGAGAAGGAAAAATATTTACAAATACTTACCGATTTCACAGTTAGTGCCATTCCAACCTGCAGCACAGTGACATTCATATGTACCAATCAGATCAGTACAAGTAGCTTCATTCTGGCAAGGATCAGAGGAACATTCCAAGATCTCTGTTTCACAGTGTGTTCCTGTCCATCCAGTAGTGCATTCACATTGATAACCTGGAATCAAGTCTACACAGTTTGCTCCATTAAGGCAGGGGTTGCTCAGACATTCTAAGATCTCACTAGCACAGAATCGTCCAACCCAACCTTCAAGACACTGGCAACTGTAACTATCTATTTCGTCAATGCAGGTAGCACCATTGACGCAAAGATTCCCATCACAATCATCAATGTTGACTTCACAATTGGTTCCATTCCAACCTGGTAAACATTGGCATTCATAGAAATCGATGAATTCAAAGCAATTTGCACCATTTTGGCATGGGTCAATGGCACATTCATCAATATCAACTTCACAGTTGGTACCATTGAAACCTGGATCACAAATACATTGGTATGCATTGATCATGTCAAAACATTCAGCTCCATTCTGACATGGATTACTGCTGCATTCAAGGATCTCAGATTCGCAATTAACTCCTTGCCAGCCTGGTAGACACTGACATTCATAACTGCCAATAATATCAACACAGACCGCACCATTTTTACATGGAGTGCTGTCACACTCATCAATCTCAATCTCGCATATGGTTCCAGTCCATCCTGGTGCACAGACACAGTTAAAGGCACCTATGAGGTCGACACAGGTTCCGTTATTTTGACAAGGGTTACTGGAACACTCTTGAATCTCCTCTTCACAGTGACCTCCAGTCCATCCCTCTGGACATTGACAGTCATATCCATTGATGTCTTCAAGACAAGTAGCACCATTCAGACAAGGATTACTGGCACATTCTACAATGTCTATCTCACAGTGAGTTCCATTCCAACCTGGAGGGCACTGACATTCATAAGAATCAAGCAGGTCGATGCACGTGGCATCATTTAGACATGGGTTGCTTGCACATTCTAAGATGTCATTCTCACAATGTAGACCTTGCCATCCAGTACTGCACAGGCAAACATATCCGGCAACCAAGTCTATGCAGGTGGCATCATTCATGCATGGATCGCCATCACATTCAACGATTTCTGAAAGGAGAAGGGAAATTAATGACATTTTAAAGAAACCTTGTTATGACACTTATAAACAAAAAATTATTGCTTCTTATACCCATTCACACAGAATCTTTAAACTAAACTGCAATGAACTTTTTTTGTTGAATGCGTTGCCTAATAATGGCCAGATGGTTCTAAATCTTCAAACAAATACCTGTATTAGGGACATAACTCGTATGTGAGCATATGGTATACAATCTGATTATTGATACGGAAATCATTTAGGTACACCTAAAGTATACCTAAGAAGACATAGTTACTTCATGTTGTAGAACATTGCATGAGATGGTAAATGTATGTTTGTACAAAACCTTACTGAATGATGGTATTGTGGCACTGTCGGATCAAGTACCAAGAGTGAAATATATATGAAAGAATGGGAATTTCATGCCAAGAATCTGAGTGTTTGGATTTGAATACCATACTATATACGTCTTTAACACTTATATGTAACAGATGGCCTTCTCCTACATGCATGTCTATTGATGAATCAACATAACAACACTACCAGAAGTCTCAAGGGTCTTACCTTCTTCACAAAGTGCTCCCCTGTATCCGAACAGACACACACATTCAAATCCGTTCTCCAGGTCTGAACAAGTTGCACCATTTTGACAGGGATTACTGGCACACTCTAGAATATCTATAAAGAAAGATTCATATGTAATGATAAATTTATATATGTACATGTTCTTCATAACCGATGAAAGTTAAATGAGGCATTTGCTAAAAGCAGCATTATTAAATGGCATGTTTGTTGTTTTGTTATATAATATGAGAAACAATACTCTCAACAACTATGAGAGTACTAATATGCTTTTCATTTGATATCAAATCCCCAGTTAAGAGTTTCATTTCCAAGTTATTATCTATATGAAAGTATGATACTTCGAATATACTAACCTTCTGTACAAATTACTCCTTGCCATCCTGGAGTACAAATGCACTCAAAACTTGCTAATCTATCCACACATGTTGCACCGTTTTGACAGGTAATGATGGCACACTCAAATATTTCTATAATAATACAAAAAGAGAGACAAAGCACAAAAAGTTAAAAAAAATATGCTGATTTTAAGAGACCCAGTACTCTTATTAGTTCACTTAGTATCAGCAGCATCATTGAAGGCTCTTTAGCTAAGCAAGGGAATCAGATTTTTTTTGGAGATAGCAATACCATCAAAATATGCCTTACCTGGCACAACTATAAAGAGTTTTATGAACAATACTAAGTAAGCGTAAAGTGTTTTCCATGAATAATGCTCATGGAGGCAGGTTTCATGACAAGCTTTCTACGAGATTAAAATATATATCAGTGAGAAAGTCAACTTAATGGTTCTTATAGATGTCTCCATACATGTTTTAAGCCAAAGATTTGACAGAAATTTCACGAACTTTATATTGCCATTGGCTACTTCATCTTTCGTTTATTGATGTAAAGTATATACTCACCCATTGCACACAAGTCTCCTTCCCATCCAGGGGCACATCGACATTGGAAACCATTAAAGAAATCTATACAGGTAGCTCCATTCAGACAAGGATTGCTCAAACACTCATCAGGTTCTGGAATGACAATCAAAATATAGAGAATGAATTAGATTTAGAATGTAATGATGAATAGAAAAATAGGCCACTAAAGGGTTATTTTTTATCCTAATAAACATTTTTAATATTTATTTCAAAACGTTTCAACCTTCATACCCTACTTTAAATTTAAATTGCCATCCTATTATTCACACAAGAAAACATGATATGCTCACCTATTTCACAGTTTGTTCCATTCCATCCTAGAGTACACTGACATTCATAACTTCCAACTAAATCAAGACAAGTAGCCCCATTCTGACAAGGATCACTGGTACATTCCTGGTCCTCTAATTCGCAGTGGATGCCCTCCCAGCCTACAGCACATTCACATTGGTACCCTCCAATCAGATCGATGCAGGTTGCTCCATTCAAACAAGGATTGCTGGAACATTCCTCTATGTCAGCCTCACATAGTACACCAGTGAAGCCAAGAGGACATTGACAGGTGAACAATCCTATTTCATCTATGCATGTTGCTCCATTTTGACATGGATTGCTGGCACATTCCTGGATGTCTACTTCACAGTTGCTACCATTCCATCCTGGAGCACAGATGCATTCATACATGGCAATCAGGTCCACACAGGTAGCTCCATTCATGCAGGGATCTCCAGCACATTCAAGAATTTCTGGAAGAAAAACAATGTTTTCTTAGTACAACGTCATGGGACATTCTGAATTTCAAAAATCGTCATTTAACTATGATTGAATAATAATGAATTAACTCTATGATTAATGAAGATATCATGGGGTGTCCTATATCAGATGCCTTAGTCCAATGTATTTTCATTCAAGAAATCCTTTAGCAACTACTTCAACAGTAAACTTGTGCTTCTTTTCAATTTTATAAAATCATCAATGATAAAGAAGAAACGAAGAAAAATATTTACAAATACTTACCGATTTCACAGTTAGTGCCATTCCAGCCTGGAGCACATTGACAATCATATGTACCAATCAGATCAGTGCATGTAGCTCCATTCTGGCAAGGATCAGAAGAACATTCAATGATCTCAGTTTCACAGTGTGTTCCTGTCCATCCAGTAGTACATTCACATTGATATCCTGGAATCAGGTCTATACAGTTTCCTCCATTAAGACATGGGTTGCTCAGACATTCTAAGATCTCACTACCACAGAATTGACCAACCCAACCTTCAAGACACTGGCAACTGTAACCATCTATTTCATCAATGCAGGTAGCACCATTGATGCAAAGATTCGCATCACAATCATCAATGTTGACTTCACAATTGGTTCCATTCCAACCTGGTAAACATTGGCATTCATAGAAATCAATGAATTCAAGGCAATTTGCACCATTTTGGCATGGCTCACTGGCACATTCATCAATATCAACTTCGCAGTTAGTACCAATGAATCCTGGATCACAAATACATTGGTATGCATTGATCATGTCAAAACATTCAGCTCCATTCTGACATGGATTACTGCTGCATTCAAGGATCTCAGATTCGCAGTTAACTCCTTGCCAGCCTGGTAGACACCGACATTCATAACTGCCAATAAGATCAACACAGACCGCACCATTTTGGCATGGAGCGCTGTCACACTCATCAATCTCAATCTCGCATAGGGTTCCAGTCCATCCTGGTGCACAGACACAGTTAAAGGCACCTATGAGGTCGACACAGGTTCCATTATTTTGACAGGGGTTACTGGAGCACTCTTGAATCTCCTCTTCACAGTGTACTCCAGTCCATCCCTCTGGACATTGACAGTCATATCCATTGATGTCTTCAAGACAAGTAGCACCATTCAGACAAGGATTACTGGCACATTCTACAATGTCTATCTCACAGTGAGTTCCATTCCAGCCTGGAGGGCACTGGCATTCATAAGAATCAAGCAGATCGATGCAGGTGGCGTCATTTTGACATGGGTTACTTGCACATTCTAAGATGTCATTCTCACAATGTAGACCTTGCCATCCAGTACTGCACAGGCAAACATATCCGGCAACCAAGTCTATGCAGGTGGCATCATTCATGCATGGATCGCCAGCACATTCAACGATTTCTGAAAGGAGAAAGGAAATAATTGAAATTTTAAAGACCCCTTGTTATGACAATTAAAAAAAAATCAATGTATTACCTCTTATCCTCATTCACACAGGATGTTTAAACTAACTGCATTGAATTTTCTCTGTTAAATGTGTTGCCGACTCATGGCCAAACAGCTCTACAACCTGAAACAAATACCTTTATGAGGGACATGTATCTTATGTGAGCATATAGTATACAATATGATCATTAAAATGAAAATTATTTAGGTACACCCGAGGTAACCTAAGTGCTCAAGAGTAATTTCATGTTGTAGATTATTGCATGAGATGTTGAGTGTATGTTCGTACAAAACCTTACAGAATGATGGTATTGTGGCATTGTCGGATCAAATACAAAGAGTGAAATATATATGGAAGAATGGGATTTTTATGATAAGAATCTGAGTATTTGGATTTAAATACCATGGTATATGTACGTCTTTAACACTTTTATGTATAGATAGCCTTCCCCTACATGCATGTCTATTGATGAATCAACACAACACTACCAGAAGTCTCAAGGGTCGTACCTTCTTCACAAAGTGCTCCCCTGTATCCGAACGGACACACACATTCAAATCCGTTCTCCAGGTCTGTGCAAGTTGCACCATTTTGGCAGGGATTGCTTGCACACTCTAGAATATCTATAAAGAAAGATTCATATGTAATGATAAATTCATACATGTACATGTACTTCAGAACAACCAATGCAAATCAAATAAGGCAATTGCTAAAAAGCAGCATTGTTAAAAGTCATGTTTGATTTGTAAAATAATATGAGAAACAACACTCTCCACAACTAAGGGAGTACACATATGTTTTTTCATCTGATATTAAATCACTATTTAATTTCAATTGATAAGTCATTATCTACATGAAAGTACGATACTTTGAATATACTAACCTTCTGTACAAATCACGCCTTGCCATCCTGGAGTACAAATGCACTCAAAACTTGCTAATCTATCCACACATGTTGCACCGTTTTGACAGGGCATGATGGCACACTCGAATATTTCTATTATAATGCAAAAAGAAAGACAAAGTAAATAGCCTAAACAGTCAAAAATACTATAGGTTTTAATTTAAGATATACAGTACCATTATTAGTAGCTTTACTATCAGCTGCATCTATGAAGGCACATTAGCTAAAGAAGAGAATCCAAGATTTTTTTTAAAATAACAAAACGATTAAAATATGCCTAACCTGACACTACTATACAGAATTTTATGGACAAGATTAAGACTATAAGTGTAAAGCTGGTTTCATGACAAACTTTCCACAAGACTGAAGTATATATCATGAGAAAGTCAACTTAATGGTTCTTATAGATATCTCCATTCATTTTTTAAGCCAAACATTTGACAGATAAATTCATAAACCTGTACATTGCCATTGGCTACTTCATCTTTCGTTTATTAATGTACACTATATACTCACCCATTGCACACAAGTCTCCTTCCCATCCAGGGGCACATTGACATTGGAAACCATTAAAGAAATCTATACAGGTAGCTTCATTCAGACAAGGATTGCTCAAACACTCATTAGATTCTGGAATGACAATAAAATTATAGAAATTGCCATGGAAATTTAAGACAAATTTTAAGCAATATGTAAAAAAAATCATTGTTTCACTATAAAGGTTTTATATGACGTAATACATTTTCTGGACAATTTAACATGTTCTGACTGACAATTAAGCATAATGTACCTGTAGATTATCCTTGTCCGGTGCAATAATTCATCCCAAGTATGCTTGAATTATTTTTTGCCAAACAATAAAGAATACTGAATATTAAATCTGTAGTCCTCTAAACTACCATTTACTCAAGTACTGAAGATTAAAAAATATAGGGCCGACTTGCTGACTATCGGGCAATAGAATCAGTCATGCTGGTAAATTATTCTGCACCTTACACATAGTCAACTCGTAAAAACAAATGAATACTTCACTGCTTTTGGGAGGGTGCGAGGCCTTGGCAATGCAGCATAGACATTTCTACATGAACAACTACACAAGGTCATTATGGCCTAAGATGTTAAAAGGACAACAAGCATTTCTTTCTCACCTATTTCACAGTTTGTTCCATTCCATCCTAGAGTACACCGACATTCATAACTTCCAACCAAATCAAGACAAGTAGCCCCATTTTGACAAGGATCACTGGTACATTCCTGGTCCTCTAATTCACAGTGGATGCCCTCCCAGCCTAAAGCACATTCACATTGGTACCCTCCATTCAGATCAATGCAGGTTGCTCCGTTCAAACAAGGATTGCTGGAACATTCCTCTATGTCAGCCTCACATAGTACACCAGTGAAGCCAAGAGGACATTGACAGGTGAACAATCCTATTTCATCTACGCATGTTGCACCATTTTGACATGGATTGCTGGCACATTCCTGGATGTCTACTTCACAGTTGCTACCATTCCATCCTGGAGCACAGATGCATTCATACATGGCAATCAGGTCCACACAGGTAGCTCCATTCATGCAGGGATCTCCAGCACATTCAAGAATTTCTGGAAGAAAAAAACAATTTCCTATGTAAAACTTCATGGGACATCGCATAGTCATTTAATGATGATGTATTGAAAAATATGATGATATCATATATATATATATATATATATAATAAAGATATCATGGGGGTGTACTAAATGCGTGTTCTAAAATCAGATACCTAAGTCTAGTGTATTTTCATGGAAGAAATCCTTTTGCAACTTATTCAGCAGTAAACCTGTGCTTCTTTTCAATTTCAAAAAATTATAAATGATCAAGAAGAAAAGGAGTAAATATTCACAAATACTCACCAATTTCACAGTTAGTGCCATTCCAGCCTGGAGCACATTGACATTCATATGCTCCAATCAGATCAGTGCAAGTAGCTCCGTTCTGACAAGGATCAGAGGAACATTCCAAGATCTCAGTTTCACAGTGTGTTCCTGTCCATCCAGAAGTACATTCACATTGATATCCTGGAATCAGGTCTATACAGTTTGCTCCATTGAAACAGGGGTTGCTCAAACATTCTAAGATCTCACTACCACAGAATCGACCAACCCAACCTTCAGGACACTGGCAACTGTAACCATCTATTTCATCAATGCAGGTAGCACCATTGATGCACATGTGACTAACGCAGTCATCAATATTTATTTCACAGTGTGTTCCATTCCATCCAGGGGAGCAAAGACACTCATATTCCGCTATTAGATTATTGCAAGTAGCCCCATTCAAGCATGGATTACTGACACATTCATTGATCTCAATCTCACAGAAGGTTCCATTCCATCCTGCTGCACAGATGCACTCATAGCTGTTAACAAGATCATTGCAAGTGGCACCATTCTGACAGGGATTGCTAGCACACTCAACAGTTTCTGTAAACAAAACAAGAAATCGATTTATATACAGAGCACTTTAAAAGGTCCGACTGAATAGAATATACCATAGAAAATGGAAAATAATGTAACTATATTATTCTTTAAAAGCAAAATAAATCCGAAGTGCACCATAGGCAATTTTTTCAAATTCCATAACTAATTGTAAGAACAGAAATATATTATTTACATAATTTGATTAAGGGAAGGGTCGATTTTACAGAAACTTCTCTTAGTTCGTTACAACAAAAATGATTATAAGTTATAAATATTGCTAAAATGTTTTAAATCTATATAAGAAGTTAAATCTATATGAAAAGTTAAATCTAATGATAACTTGTTCTAATTGTTATTTTGTAAATAGGTGAAATTTTCAATGTATTAGGAGATGGCTAAGCTAATTATTTTCTATTCTATTTTATGACATGATTGCTCAGGTAGATTAGATCACATCATACATGTGCATTGATTGAAATTGTGACTTTAGAACAGGCAGGTTAAACACACACTAAGGTTTGTTAAAGACCCTATACGATCAAAATACAACTTTATATAAATAGAAAACTGAATGAATGTAGAATACAAATATAAAGAAATAAAAAGTATTTACCCTTTCATTATTGCACAAAGCAAATTAAAACCTCATTTTCCGCACCCCTCAAACTTATGGGTCAACATGGGTCAAATTTGCCAAAGTTACAGTGACGATATAATAATAATAATAATAATAATAGCCTAATAGTCCACTCCAAATTTTATTAAACCGAAACGGAAATTCTTTTTGCCCAATTGATCGTGAGCCCGGCAGCCACTGAGCAGCGCCAGATCGACGTTGCTCTATCCCCTTATTCAATTCATTTATTGTTCAACCATCAATATATATATATATATACAATCAAAATAAGTTACATCAAGAATTAGAATAATGCAATGATGGTTTGGTGACCCCGGAGAAAGCAGAGCTTATAAAAAGGGGCCACCAATACATAAAAAGATCAACATTAATTATACTAAAAAATATCAACATCGAACATTAAATATAAACAAGAAAAAAAAAGAAGAGAAGTTTGAACGCCAAACAAGGTAGCAACAACTCCCATCTTTTAACATGTGGAAACCCATCGGTTCACCTATATAGCTAAAGCGGTGATTGATGCAAAGTCATTGTACATATGCGTAAACCACATAAAATAATGTCATCAAGTCGATAGCAAGTTTTTTAGGTTGACAATACTCCTCTGACAATTGATATTATTGTAATCTATGGCTTATAAGCTTTCTGATGATATATAATTCATCTATTTCATTTTTCAGTTCGGATATTATCTTTAAGTACATAAAACATACCGGGTACTTACATGCATTTTTATCGTACACTCACAGAAGATTAAGAACATGCTTTCAATCGACAATGCATGCTTTGTTACCATTCATCAGTTGTTAGAGGTTGTGCACACAACAAACGAGCAGTGATAGGTCTTATATTGGTCATTTGTTAATATCATCTGAAAGGATTTCAGCAATTAGTAACAATGGATTGGCTTTTTGAGGCTGCATGGAATGGACATACAATGCATCAATATATTTGTTTATTGGTCAAGAGGAAGAAGTAGTGAAAGATAAACATCACTTCACGTCAGAATTTAACACAAGTTATTTAGGAATGAAGAAAACTTTTTAATCAAATTTATATCAACAATGCTGTGTCTTCAAGTCGAGAAATTAGGGGTAGAGGGTAGGCATGCTGTTTACATTACATAGAAGTAATAAGGGTGGGGGCAAAAAGCATCATGCACTTTAATATCACAAATTAAAGGGTTTTGTGTTCACATTAGTGTAAATAACTATTAAATAGTGCACATTTTCCCCGCCAACTATATTCCATGCAATTATTATCTATCATCATGCAAGTAAGTTGGGAAATTGTTAACTAAAAGTGGGGTGGCTCTTTAGGGTTACATGGAATAGACATACAATGCATCAATAAGTTTGTATGCAGTTAAAGGTTATGATTGTTTTTTTTTAATCCTTTCCCAATTCAAAAATTATAAGTGGAAGAAAAAATATCAGACAGAATAACTATTCATAAATTGGGCTGTTGCTGATAACATGTTTTTATTATATTTAAGTCAGACACGCCTCATATAATCAAGTTCCAGCAGGATTTTTTTGTTATCACTTCAGGAAATATTTTACCAAACAAGGCTATCTGAATCATTCTATCATCCAAATGTAACAGCAAATAAAACAGTATTCTTTTTTTTTTTTTTAACATGCAGAAATAAAGTTGACAATGTACAATGTGGGGAGCCTAAATAAAAAGCATAGCTTATATGTGAATAGGCTTCCGCACTGAGTAACATAATATAGAAGGTCTGAATTAAAAAGATATAATAGACGGCGAAAACAGAATAGGTATAGTGGAAAATGGTAAATATTTAAACAAATACACTTACAACAGATATTACTAAACACAGCATCAGTAGAAGAGTGACATTTATTGAGCAACAAATACACATTCAGAAAATTAAAACAAAGATCATAACACATGCAAACATAAAATAATGTCAGCGTCATGTTACACATGAAAAAACGAACAAAATTTACAGGCACATTTTTACACAATCTATTACAAATAATACAAACACATATCATAATTTTATTAAAATGTCATAAAATTGTTAAAAAATACAATATCAAATATGGCACTTTTTATTCACATTTAAACTACATGTTGTTCCTGTGATCAACATAAAAATGCTTAAACCACCACCACCACACTAAAATAAACACAAAACTGTTTGGCAAAAAACTGTCACAACTCACACTTAGGGTAGTACAAATAAATCAAACAAAAACATGCAAACTTCATTAGAAAGTTATTGAGGTGCGTGTAAAAACTCACAATGTGAACTAAGGGTTGTACAAATAAATCAAACAAAAACATGTAAACTTCATTAGAAAGCTATTGACCTGTGTGAAAAATTAATGATTAAGGTGATTTCTCATACTGTGTGTGTCAATGTCAAGCATATCCACAAAATATGAAACTTACCTTCTTGGCATGCTGTGCCATTGAAGCCTGGTGCACAGACACATAGATAGCCATCGGTTAGCTCCTCACAGGTAGCACCATTCAAACAGGGATCACTTGAGCACTCAAGAATATCTTCCAGAGAAAATTTATACAGAAATGATAGCAATGCTTTAATTCACCCCTTCACCAATTTCATATTGGCCTTTCAGTATTGAAAAGGGAACCCTAATCAATCTTGTCATTGTAAATGATGATTTATGGATTGTCTAAACTTCACATTTTCATTCCTTTTTACCTACTTACACTTCAAAGAAATCATGTTGCATCAAAATTAAGTAAAGTAATTAACAAAGCAAACTCAACAAATTTTGGAGTAGACTATGAAAAACAGCCATGTTACAAAATATGAGCAAAGTCATGAAAAGAAAGCAATAGTCATAATGATATTAACGAAGCACTGAACGCCCGGTTACCTGCTTCACAGTTGATTCCAGTCCAGCCAGCAGGACATCTGCATTCATAGGGTCCAATCAGATCAATACATGTACCACCATTCTGACAAGGGATGCTCTCACACTCCATGATTTCTAAAGTATGATAATATAGAAGAATATGGAATGGAAACATGTATTTAATAGGACATTGCATTTCAAACAAGCATTTCCAATTTCTCTTTACTTCAAACTTTATCTCTTCTAGCAAAAAAAATATTCCCCTTTACACATAGAATTCATGCATCATCACATTAATGTACCTTCTATTTTGTGTTTATTGCTTTTTATCATATCATTATCACTCCAAGCAAAATAATTTTTTTTCTTGATTTAATGAGACAAAAATATACTAAATACCAAACAGTTGCATTAAAATAAATTATCTATTGTGTTTAGCATAGGGCGCAAAAAAAAACAGCAATACCTTGCAAAATTGTGTTTTTTTTTATAAATTCTTTCCAATTAAGAATAAATTTTGGGAATGTGCATGAATATAACATTGTCTGTTTTGTAATAAATCTATGAACGAGAAACTGACCTGATTCACAGAGTGTCCCTGTCCATCCTAGAATACATATACACTGATAGCCATTGGTGAGGTCAGTGCAGGTTGCCCCGTTCATGCAGGGATCACTTTCACATTCTGGGATATCTGCATAGAAATGATTACAACATTAAGTTATAAATATAAGTCTGTACATGTTTGAGCTGATTATGCTAACAAAAAAGAGATAACGGTCAAGCAGAAATCATTGATGATTGTACATTAAACTTGGATTATATAGAAATTCAAACTTGTCAGTAAGGCATTACTAGAAAGCAATAATCAAACAGCTCTTGCTGTTATACTTATAATGACCATAACTCAAGATTGATTTGAACACCTGTAAATATCTACTTCCAGAGGAATCATAGTTAATTACATGTATAATCATATTTCCTTTATTTATTTAAAAACTTTCAACATTTCTTGTAATAAATAATAAATTATTTAGACAATATCTAGACAGGCCTCTTATGTTTAGTGAATCATGTGGATAAAGACCGAAATGAAGTTTCTTACCAGTCTCACAGTGCCTGCCTGTCAATCCCTGGGGACACACACATTGATAATCATCTACTTCATCCACGCATGTCGCACCGTTCTGACAGGGATCACTACTACATTCAAGTACATCTAATAGATGCAAAAGAAACAAAATTGTCATTGCACATTGAATGACAAGTCAACTTTTATAATGCTCTGCATATTAAACAGATACATGCAATATGATTGTTACCCATATGGAATTCGGCCATGATTTCTTAAATACTCTAGTGCACTATTAACATATTTTTAGAAATATTTTGTGGTAAAATTGTATATAGTTTCAAGCCATTAGACAAAAAGATTTATATAGAAACAAAGAACTTAGAAGAATGGCAAGCAATACTTTAATTTAATTAATGAATAAAAGAAAATAGACAGTCAAAAGTTAAGACAGATAAAAATGTACTTGTTTCACAGAAGAGGCCTTCAAATCCAGGTCGACAGAAGCAGACAAAGCCAGCAACCAGATCAAAGCATATGGCTCCATTCATGCAGTTCATCCGTTCGCATTCATCAATTTCTGTCTCACAGTTCATGCCTCTCCAACCAAAGTCACAGATACACTGGTAGCCATCACTGCTGTTGACACACGATGCACCATTCAAGCAGGGGTTCTGATCACAGCTGATTGCAAATTCACAGTTTAGTCCGTTGAAACCCATAGCACACTCGCATAGCAAACCATCAGTGTAGTTGTAGCATGTGGCTCCATTGAGGCAAGGGTTAAGAATGCATTCCCTAGATTCTGTAGAAATGAATATGACAACAATGAATAAATGAATCAAATGGTTTCAAAGAAAATCACTTGAAAACAAATCACACACAATTTTCTCTCTTTACGAAGACTTTGGATCAAACTTTCAATCATCCTAATAAAACAACAGTAAAAACTGATTTACAGGGACAACATTGCTAGAATATCATTTTATTATAGAAAATTTCTTTGAATCAAGATGACCTGATACATAATAAATGAGATATACTTCACCTTGTTCACAGAGTGACCCAGAGAATCCCGGTGGACAAACACATACAAAACCCTGATTGATATCCATACATGTAGCTCCATTCACACAGGGGTCACTGGCACATTCTTGGATATCTGAAGATTTTAAAAATGACGAATGATTTTATTTGTAACATTCAACAAAAGCACAATTGACCATTACAATTACAACATTCAAAGGACCAAGGTACCAGAGGAGATGATCCTTGTATTTGTTGATAATAATAGTGGATTAGAGTTGCATAGTACCAAATATACTTGATATCAAATGCTCAAGGCGCACTATTGCAAAGGTGCTATTTGAGCATCATACAACATAGAAAGAGAAAAAGGAAGAAAATGTACAATTAATATGTATACAAGATTCCATTTACTGATGTACACTGTAATTACCTTCATCACATGTTGTTCCAGTCCATCCTGGAGCACATGTGCATAAGAAGCTTGCAGTACCTTCTGTACAAGTTGCTCCATTCTGACAAGGGTCAAGATCGCACTCATCAATATCTAAAATCAAGGGATATACATAAAGTTTATCATTACTATCACAATATTAATCGATTAAGCATACATGTATGTAGGTTAGGTCAAATGGCTATCGAGCTAATAAACCGTCCTAGATTACAGCAAAGAAGTAGGTTACATATATTCCTTTAGAACTTATTTTCAACAAAATCTTTATATCATTCTTGAATCTTGAATCTTGAATTCTTTGCTGTGCATAATTTACTTTTTTTCTCCACAAAAATGTGACAAATTATGAAAAATGTGATATTGATTATAATTAATGGTATTACCTATTTCACAAAGTGAGCCATTGAAGCCAGGTTCGCAGACACACAGGAAACCATTGAAGATTGTTTTGCAGGCCGCTCCATTCAGACAGGGATTGCTCAAGCATTCGTTTGATTCTGGTATGGAAGAATATATTAACATAACTTTCATTTACCCGTGTGTGTCTGACAGCAACACATCTTGTAAAACAAATTCAATCACTTTAACACACGCTTGAATCATCCCCTAATTTTAACAGGATCAAGTAATTCAATCATGAAAGAATCAATTGAAATGAAGACACAATTCCAAGCTAACTACAAATAAAAGTGTCCTGGATAGTGTTTACGACTATATGAATCTTACCTTGTTTTTCTCAACAAAAAAAATGCATTCATATATAATCGCATCAACAAAATAAGTCCTCTATCAATGTTAATACGAAAAAAAATATTGATCATGATTTAGTGTACGACATCATTCGTTTACACATGAAATTCCTTGTTTCATTGAGGAGACATTGTAGAAATCAATTATTTTCTATGACTCACCAATCTCACAATTGGTACCATTCCAGCCTTCAGCACACAGGCATTCATATCCTCCAATCAGCTCCACGCATGTTGCTCCATTTTGGCAGGGGTCACTGCTACACTCAAGGACCTCTGATTAGGTATACAAGCATGGCATTTATTTCATAGTGATGTAACCTCGTATTTACAATGTACATTATAAGACTTGCATAAATGAACTCCTGGGGAAATTAGCAGTAACTTTCTAAAACCTTTTATTTGGTAAATGATTTAAAACTGCAAAGGTTTGACTAACATGTACAGTATATATCAAAGAATTCTAAGGAAAAAGTATCTGCAAACTCTTGTTGTTAAGCACATTAAAATACAAAGGATTGAAATCAATTGAAGTTAATAAGAAGTTGTTGCACTCTAAAACAGAAAAGTGAGACAGTGAAACTCAGTAGGATGTGTGCAAAAGCAAAATAGACGATCAAGGCAAAGTGAAGTGGATATTTTGCATTTTCTCTTCTTTATCGATGTGAACTGCTTGTGTGAACTACCTATCACACATAACAGTTTCAAAAGAACAAAAGAGTACATATAGATAACTTTGAAGGCATACCATTTTCACAAACTGTGCCATTCCATCCTTGGGGACACTGACATTCAAAGCCAAGAGTGAGATCTCGACAGGTAGCTCCATTCAGGCAGGGATTACTAGCACACTCCAAGATGTCTAAAGCAGCACAGCAAACAGTGCATAGGATTTAGTCATGAAAATGACAGGAAAGGGTTGGCAGAGGTGGAGTTATGTGAATTTAAAGATTCAGATTTAGAGGAAAGGGTGAAAGGCTTCCTGTACTCAAGAAGTTAAGCAATTAACTATAAATTAAATGCGTAAAAGAACAAGATCAATATTTGCATCTTAATCACAAATCAACTGAAGACAAAGTGAGCATTTTCTACAAAGGCAAAGATAAGGAGCAAATCTGTTTGAAATGCTTTGAAAAAGGATAACACCCCCAAAGCATGCGAAATAGATATAGCTCTTGATTATAACACAAGGCAGAAATTAAAGAAATAGAAATTTGCAAACCATGTAATAAATACATATAAGCAGCATGCTTCTTTTTGGTTATCATACAGAGTAGCTACCTCATCAATATAAAGTTCATATCAGGGCAAAATATACATACGCTGTAGTAGTAATGCAGAATAAATGAAAAATAAATCATGCAGTAATTTTGCATCAAACATAGTTTTTCAAGAAGGCCTCATGCATTGAGAGGATTAGAAAGCAGAAGTGCAGCTCGAAGAAAATATTAGCTCACAAACAGCAACTACAGTCAACCCTGTCTATAGCGAAGGCCCAGGGAAACACAAAAAGTTGTCTTTGAAGACAGGTTCTGTTAGTATGTGGTCTTTGTAGACAGGTGGTCATTAAAGCAAGTTTGACTGTACATGTATGTAGCACTCATACCCTATATTCAAGTTTGCTGACTTACCCAACTCGCAATTTGTACCATTCCATCCTTCTGGACATCTACATTCATACCCTGGCAGTAGATCAACACAAGTAGCACCATTCTGGCACGGGTTGCTCATGCACTCCATGATTTCTTTCAAAAGAAAATGACATCATAATGAATACTTTTTGTTTTCTTCTACAAAATGTATCAACATATCTCATTATCAGGGATGTCCATTTTGAGCAGTCATTAAGATGTCTTAAAATAATTTGATACTTTGCATAATTTACTGTAAATATGGATTATTTGTACCTGGGCAGCGTTCATGAAACCGTTGATCCTATTGAAACGCGTAAATAAAATCTAACACATGTTTAAATGGGATGTCGGTAAACTTGAAATGATGCCCTGGTCTGTGCAGGAAAAAAAAGACTCCTTTTTATGACAATAATTACTTGAAACACTACATCCCAAAATATGCATATTGATATTGTTGTTAATATTGGGAATGTCAGGTTGCACAATAGCAAAAACATAATTGTAATAAATGTATATAAAGAAGGGTAAACTAGACTTGTTTGTAGAATTTTTAACAATTTTTTGTAAACAAAAAACCGAATTGCTTGCATTACATACCATCTTGACAGTTTGGACCAGTCCATCCTGGTGCGCATAGGCAGCTATAACCATTGACTTGCTCCACGCACGTACCTCCATTCTGGCAAGGAACACTTGAACATTCCAGTACGTCTATATTTGGGGAAAGATTTTAAAACATCACACAGAATGAATATACTTCAGTGATAATGTAAATCTGTACATAATTGAAATGTTAAGGTGTTAAGGAATTTAAAAAACATGTAAATAGCTGTAGTAGATTATTGAAGAGATTTACTACAAGAAAGTATAAACACTTTTCTGACATTATAAACAATTGTAACTGTCATTTTAATAAAGTGGGATATTAACCATATCAATTAGTACTAATATTATTTTTGTTAAATTTTCATCACGTGTAATCTTAATTGTACACACAATTTGTCATGATACACTATGAAGTACACCGTACCTTCTTCACATAGAGCACCCTGCCATCCTGGGGCACAGACACATTCAAAGCTGGCTTCTCCCTGGACGCAGGTTGCATCATTCTGACAAGGATTTGGGTCACACTCGTTCACATCTGAACATAAATCAAGAGTTAAAAAAAAAAAAAATTGTTATGAGGTAATGATAACATGAAGGCATCAAAGTAACAATTGGAAATAAACATCTTAAAAGACACAGGACTATCATAATGTTGAAATTGTTTTTTTTTATATTTTATCGTGATATTCTACATACTTTGACTGATCAAAAAAAATTATAAAACAAATCATGCCTTTTATCTAACAACACAAAGTCAGATAAAGAATCAACCACAGATAATGTATTCACAATGTGTGTACAAGGACTTAAAGAGAACTTCTCTTGAAAGGTCTTACCTTGTTCACAAAACGTTCCCCCAAACCCTGGTGGACATTGGCAGAGGAAACCAGAGAAGAAGTCGATGCAGGTAGCGCCATTCAGGCAAGGATTGCTTTCACACTCATTGGTTTCTGAACGGTAAGAGATGAAAACATTTAAAGATAATAGGTATGCATTTGTGGAAATACATGATTTAGGCATTGTATCAATGATTCCTCTGCAAAAACCATTAATTTATAATTTGTAAACTCTAAAGCATATTTCAAATAAAAAGTGATCATTATAAAACATTGTTCCATTCATTATGCACCTGAGATATCAAAGACATGCCAAGTATATAGATGTAAGAAAATAACAAGTAAATTCTGTCCCTATTACCCACACTTCCAGTAACATAAATGAAAAGTACATATTAACAGAGTAAGTGTGAATGTGATTAACACTTACCTAGTTCACAATTTCTGCCCGTCCACCCTCCTGGACATGTGCACTGATAGTCATCGTCGAGATCCAAACAGGTGGCTCCATTCTGACAGGGGTCATCACTACAGTCTATGATCTCAATCTCACAGTTTGTGCCTCGGTAGTCTTCAGTGCAGTTGCATTCATATCCATCCAATAAATTGACGCAGGTTGAATTATAAAGACACGGAGAGGAATCACACTCATTGATCTCAACTTCACAGTTGGTACCAGACCATCCAGAAGGGCAGCGGCATTCATACATTCCAATCAAGTCCAAGCAGGTAGCGCCATTGAGACATGGATTGCTCATGCATTCAAGACTCTCCAATTCACAGTTGATGCCTTCATAACCAACAAGACATTGGCACTGATACTCTCCAATGAATTCAAGACATGTTGCGCCATTCTGGCAGGGACTGCTGGCACACTCGTTGATGTCCAACTCACAATGTACACCATTGTATCCTTTGACACAGACACACTGATATCCATTTGTAAGCTCGGTGCAGTTAGCTCCATTCTGGCAGGGATTGCTACCACATTCTGGAATGTCAAGTTCACAGTTCGTTCCAGTCCAGCCAGGTGGGCACATGCACTCATATCCACCATCTCGGTTGATACAGGTTGCGCTGTTAAGACAGACGTCATCAGCGCATTCATCGATGTCAAGTTCACAGTTTGTGCCAGTCCATCCAGGGGGGCACTGACATTCATAGCCGTCTGTAAGCTCCAGACACAAGGCACTATTCTGACATGGGTTGCTCTCACATTCCAGAATATCTGAAATATTAAAAAACAGCAAATATACATTTAAGAATATCCTTGCTGGAGTTGCTGTAAATATCAAGTTTTAGGCAAAATTTTATACAGCGAATCTTATTCACATGAATTCAACAAAACTTTTTTTATTATGTACCTCATCAGCTAATAAGACCTATCACAGTAATAACATTAGTAATTCAATATTCCATTAAACTATAATGTATATCCAATTGATTTCGTGAATTATGACACCCATACTGAATTTAGAAACTTAACTCAACAATCAAGTCATAAATCTAGGAATATAACTTCTTTTAGAATGCAGGAGATAAAAGCATACCAATTTCACAATTCTCGCCTGTCCATCCATCTGCACATACACATTGAAAGCTTGGAAATACTTCTACACAGGTTGCACCATTTAGACAAGTTGCATTGGTGCAGAATATCACTTCTACCAAGGGAAAAGAGGAAGGTGGAGGCAAATGAAAAAGAAATATTGCAGGGAGTTGTTAGACGCAGAGAGTAACAGCATATAAGATTTCCAGAGCACAGAACCGTGTATTTATAGGAGGTATGATATATTAACTAGACCAAGCTTTTTTAATATGTTATTTCATAAAAAGCTATGTCTGAGATAATCAATTTAGTATTTGAAATGGAAGAGTTAAATAACAAGCAAGGAAAGATACCATCTAGTGGAAAGCTTAATTTTGAAAAATAAATTGAGAAATAATCATAATTATAAATAAAAAGCAGTTTTAATTTAGAATATGATACACATTAGTTAAGAATTAATAATCGGTGGTTCAGAATTACATTTAGGAAACTGCGATTTAGAATTAAGGAACATCTACCAAAGGAGATACACCCAGTTTATAAAAGGACACAAAATATGAGGAAGGCTAAATTTATACGTCGAAACTACAAATCAATGAAATATAGATTACTGAAAAGAAAACAAGATTTTTACCTTGTTCACAATTAGTTCCATTCCATCCTGGAGCACATATGCATTCATAGCCAAGTAGATTATCTAAACAAGTTGCACCATTCAGACAAGGATTGCTGGCACATTCGTTGATGTCTGTGGAATAGAAAATGTAAGAAGATCAATACAAATAAACAACTTTGTTTGCTAGTTAAAGCCCAATTTCTGTCAAATCCCACCCATTCTCACTTTGTATTTAATTTAGCTCTCTGAACCTACACAACCACAATTTTAAGAAAATCGCGGATACAATGAATCGTTTTCATAATTAAGGTGCTATAATTCTGCATGCATAAAAAACAGGTTTTTAGTAAATGTTATTATTCATATGGCTTGCTGAATACATTGCAAGGTCACATTCTCACCAGATTCGCAGTTTGTTCCTTCATATCCTGCCGAGCAGACACACTCGTAGAAACCTGGGTTGTTAACACATGTTGCTCCATTCAAACAATAGTCGACTAAACACTCATCAAGGTCTGTAATAAGAATATGACAAAACCGAATGGTTTAATTGCATGTTACATTTTGCAGTTTGGAAGCCTCATGATTAATTACCTGGTTGAAAACCATTGCTGAATAACATAAATGATTAAAGGCATCATTTAACAATGTTTCCTGTTTTACAAATCCGAGATGCATGGTCCTACATGTTATCCGTGTCTGTGATAAGGTGTAATATTGAAGCCCTAAACAAATTGCGCTTCAAAATGATCATGCCTCAAAAAAAGAACAAATCTGTGAGTGACCAGTTTTACCATACCCATTTTTCCCAATAGATTGTAGTGTTAAATTTCGATTTCCAATCATAAATATCTTGATAATTAGACTGGCGATCAGCATGTAAAAGTCATGGGATTCCTGACTGACCTAAAGGTTTATATATAATTATGATTGCAGCATGAGCTAAATCCAGGATTTCGTTAAGAATCTGAGAAAGAGATACCCATCCCTTTAAAAGAGGAAAATAAACCAGTTTGTGTATCATTGCTAATATTCAGTTGAACGCAGTGCAATTCCTTGTGGCAGATTAACCCTGTGCTAAACAAGTTATCCAATAAAGTCTACTACTATTAAAAAAAAATCTTACTCATGATATTACAAACGTTCCAGCACATCAAGTTAAAATTATCTAATAATAAGATTTTTATACATTTTAAAATTTAATCACCACACTCTAGAGCACTATTTTTTACCAGTTTCACAGAGGACACCAGCAAAGCCTTGAGGACAGAAGCATTGGAATTGAGCCAGAAGATCTACACATATTGCTCCATTCAAACATGGATCTCGATCACATTCGTTGATGTCTGGAAAAAAATGAAATCAAATGTTATTGTTTTATATATACCCTGTGTGTCACCGATCATCATTGCTATTAATATTAAATGACTTTGATTTCTCAATATCAGATTAGTTCATAATGAAATAAAAAATCAAAGCCATTTGACCAAGTAAATTGTTAGCTGCAACTCATTTTGGGAACATTCTACCAACCACAATACATTTTTTTTAAAACTATGATCATCATAGCTATATCAAATAGCAAAATCAGAAATTCATGTATGAATAAGGTTGTCATATGATAATAGGATGTTTTCTATATTTATTACCTTTTCGAAGTACAGTGATGAAGACACTTAATGCAAATTCCTTAACTTATTTACGATTCCTACATGTAGTTCTCTTTGATTGACATGAGGCAGTTATTTGAAATGCTAATGAATGTGTGCGGTTCTCCCTGTAAACCTATACAACCCATATAGATTTATACCAATGACATTCTACACTTACCAATTTCACATAAATCTCCTTCCCATCCTGCTTGACATTGACAGAAGAATCCATTCACAAAGTCCATGCAATTAGCACCATTCTGGCAAGGATCACTTCCACATTCACCAATTTCTTTGAATTTGGGAGAGAATAAAAAGTTTTAAAAGTAATACACAAAGAATTGTTTACTGTCGAAAGAAAATATCATGAACTCAAAATCTCAGAAAAAACAATAGAAAAATCTGTGATACAAAATGTTATTATACTTGAGCACTAGCTCCAGTGTCCCTAATTGTTACAAGCAAAACACAAATTTTGTCCAATGTACGGAGAACACAATTTAAAAAAGATTTTAAACAGCTCACATTTTATTGAACTAAGCGCAATCATGAAAGCTTTCTCTAAACTTACCCATCTCACAAGTCACGCCTGTCCATCCAGTTTCACAGATACAGCGGAAGCCGTTGATTTCATCTAAACACTGTCCTCCGTTCTGGCATGGCATGCTGTTGCACTCATTGAGTTCTGATGTGGGAAAGACAGGGTGATGGGGGACAAGGACAGTGGGTGCATGAGTGATGAAGGTTGTATAAAGTAATGGACAGTAGTGAATGCAGAGGGGTAGGTGAGGTGTTTCAGTGTGTATGACCGAAATAACAGGAACACAAAATACCCAACAAATAGGAATACCACATCAACATAGATGAGACGAAGGCAGAATATTGTAGGGTAAATAGAAAGTTGATAAGAAGAAGAAAAGAGGCAGAATAGAAATAAGTCCGACAGGTGAATGTCAGGAAGTTCATTCAAGTGTAGGGAACAAATAGTGTAGGGAGAAAAGGAAAGTACTACATTGTTAGGTATCTATAAAATATATGATTAAACATGCATGTGGATAGTGTCATGAGTAGCATGCTTTCAATGTAACAATCAATACATTTCATAGGAAATAGTTTTCTTACAATGGCATATAAATCCTCTTGCAAAATCTCTGGAACTCTTGAGAAGAAAAAAATCAACAAATTCTGAGAGCGCATTGAATACATGTATCAACAGAATGCCATCTAGCACCAACAATCCATCAGTATAATCATTTAGTAAGGAATAATAATAACAGATAAGAATGTATCTGACGGGAAGGATAATGTAGCTTACCTGTTTCACAGTGTACTCCAGTCCATCCAGACGGACAAAGGCATTGATAGAAACCGATGTTATCAATACAAGTAGCCTCGTTGAAGCACGGATTGCTAGCACACTCCAGAATTTCTGTCAGAGTCAAATGAATTCAAGAACAAAATGTGTATCTATGGTTAGCTCTCCATTTGAATAGAATAAACCATGGTATCAGTGAAGAGTACAGAAAATGAAATTATGAATGCCACTTTTTGCGACTGCAGAGCACACAAGAAATTAGTATCGCCTCTAAAACAGTAATAGAAGATGGCACAGTGGGTCAGAGAATAAATACGAAAATGGCTCATGAAAATGGCTCACAAAATTTGTAAGCACAACATGGTTTTGCTACCCAATTCAATTCAGAGAAAGTGTAGAAAGGCTGCTGCGGTATTGTAGGAAATGTGGATCAAACCCATGAGCAAGAGAGGGAGGGATACATTGTGAATTTAACAGTGAAAAATCACAAGTATAAAAATGATTGCCATAAATTACTGTTTTAAATACAAGCATGCTACAGACACTGTGGAATAAAACAAGGGCTATAAACCATTCATAATTTGACAGATGAGGTATTTAAAATAGTGTGCTAATGAAGAATAAATTTGATTAATGTACTTGCCTGTTTCACAGAGAGTGCCTTCATAGCCAAGGGCACAATCACAAGTGTACCCATCTACAATGTCGATACAATTTGCTCCATTAAGACAAGGGTCACTTGCACACTCATCAATATCTGAAATATAAGAATATCAATATTGATCTATTATTTCAAAACACAATGTAGGTTAAATATATTGTCAAACGAATCAATCTGATTTAAGTTATTATTAAGCAGGAAGGCACTGGTAATTTACAAGAAGCACCCTGTGTGTGGCAGCTTTATTGTATAATACTAATTAAGTAATACATAACAGTGACAAATCATAGACTCCGGATTCCAAACGACCTGCATGTAAGAAAAAGACAAGTCAAGCACATTGTAATTTCACTGAAACTGTAATTGTTTAAAACAAGAAATGATATATTTCTTACTTATCTCGCAGAACTCTCCTGTCCATCCAGAATCACAGGAGCATGAGAACTCCCCAATCAGATCTATGCATGTGCCTCCATTCATACATGGGTTACTGGAACATTCAAGCACCTCTGGAAACATGATTAAAAAACAAACAATATACATGCTGTGTCGTAAGAATTCAATTGAAGATATCCATGCACAAAGAAAGAGACATGCACTGTATTTTCGGAACTAATTTTAAAAAGTTTTGTTAATAAAAAAAGGGATCACATACATATACATATAGAAATTAATACAAAATCTATCATTAATGCTAATAAAATAACTAATTTAACTGTAACAGTATATTCAGTACATCCTCTGTGAATCAAACAAGCATTTGGGCATACTTTTCAAATTGGATATGTTTTTGTACATATGAAGGTTTAAATACTGAAAGCAACCCTATGACAAATTGACAATACACCCTCCTCTCAAAAAAAGTACCCATACATATCCACCCAACCCCCCCCCCCCCCAACAAAAAAAAATCTTCCCAAAACATTTGACATGACAAACCTTGTCCACAGTTGATACCAGAGTACCCATTAGAACAGATGCAAATGTAAGAGGTAAACAAGTTGCTGCAAGTACTTCCAAACGCACAAGGATCCGATTCGCAAGGATTTAGTGCTAGAAAAAATGAAATATAAAATTAATTTTCAACTGTGTCAATAATATTTTTTTATGATCAAGATGGTAAATTTGTTATACATTTAGAAATTGACAAATTGCTTTTCCCTTTGGAAGATACACTTACAACAATGGCATCTTGAAAAGAACATAGCAAAGAATTATCAAACATTTACATATAACAAAACAGCTTATCTTCTTTAAAGATTTGTTCATTTATTTTTTCACATGAAAATATATAATAGCCAAATACTTACCGATCTCACAGAAGTTGCCAGCATGTGAAATAGGGCATTCACATCGATAACTGTTGAACATATCAATACATGTTGCTCCATTCAGGCACAGGTTCCCAACACAATCATCAACATCTGAAAAGAAAAGAAAATCCATTCTTGTGTAAATAATTGTTTCTTTTCTCTTTCCACAGCAGTTAGACCATATAAAATTGTATCAATGTACAGTATATACAGCTAAAATGATGAATGTTACATGTTCACACTCTTATGCAATGAATGGAAATTTAAAGATGATGAAAGGTCATGTATTTTTTTTATTTTAAACATGTATACTTTTCTCCATCATATATATTAGACTGAAACTGTATGTAGAAACCAAAGAGTTACATTATCAAATGCCAAAACAGTGACACGAACATATCTGAATGAAGAAGTTTGACTATTTACAATCATATATACAAATAGAAAACAATACAAAGAGTAGGAGAGAATAAAACAAATATGACGCAGTAGTCATCAAAATGACAACCGCTGGCAATCAGAAAATTGGCAGCTTACTGCAGTCTGCCAATTTGCGTCTGAGGAAGATGTAAGAACTCTAGACATCGAAACTGCTAAAAATACTTTTTCCTTTTGGATGTAATACAAGAACTCTTAAACCAGTGTTACAGCCATCCTGATGAAACTCTTTCACAAAAACCAATTTGTGTTTACCATTGTCACAGTTGGTTCCACTGAAGCCGGGAGGGCATGTACACTGGTAGGTCCCATCGAGATTAGTACAAGTGGCTCCATTCTGACAGGGGTTCGGGGTGCATTTATCAGTATCTAACACACACAAATAAAGACAAAAATACATAGAATACATATGTAAATGACTGAATCTTCATGTGCATCCCCCTTTCTTTTTTCTTCTTTTTTTTCTGTCTTTTTCCCCTTTTAGCAATATTTTGTTCCTCCATATTTGTATTATTATGTATCCTTTGAGGGTAGTCATACTATCAAGCTTTGCTTACTTTGTCAACCCTCCTGTTTGAGGTTTTTGATTAGTTACAGCCAGCCTTACTTTATTCTACATATGTTCTTTTGTCATGTGTAAATTTGCAATGTTTGTTTGTTATATATTTGTAAAAAAAGAAAGAAAAAGAAAATCAAACAGAAATAAATAAATCAAATCAAATAATGGACTTGATTTTTACCTTGATAGTTTCTTGAATAAAATCTGTGCCTCTTAAGATTAACATTAGTTCATGAATCAACATACATAACTGATAAAGTACTGGAAGTTAATGTGTACAGGCTGTCATGATTGTTATTTGTCTTTTTAATTCTGTATTGTATTGTTAAGAACCAATAGTAAAGTTTGAACTGATAGATAATCATGTAAGGGTCATAGGAAAATGTACTATGCAGCAAAGTAACTTTCCCACAGGCCTAGATGAGACAAACCTCAAACCTATAAACAGATTTAAATTAACCTACCAATATTGCAGTTATCTCCTGCGTAACCAGTAGGGCACAAGCAGTCGTATGATCCAAGCAGGTTCTGGCAGGTTGCATTTGCAGAACATGGATTGCTGTCACACTCATCGATGTCTAGAATAGGAAAACAGAAACATATTCTTCATCAATATAGGCAAGCACTTTTATATACATAAAGTTGGATTTTGTTCTTGCTTCTTCTCTTTTATAATTACATTCAAAAATTCATATATAAAAGCTTTCTAAATTTCAGGTGTTTCATATGTGGGAAAACAATAAATTTTTCACATACTGTTAAAGAAATAATGTGATGTTTTGTCAATCATAATAAAGATCCTTTATACAATCATCCAGAGATAATCAGGTGACTAGTAAACTCGTTTCAAGTTGTAAAAATGTACACAAAATTCAACATGCAGAAAAAAACATATGACTTATATAAATACATTTTATGCTATTCATAGATACATACGTAACTTAAGATGTCAAATTTGATAAGGTTGCAATGGAAAGAATTTTACTGACCCATTTCACAAATATCGCCTGTCCATCCTCCAAAACAATTGCAAGCAAAGCCATTGAGTTGGTTCACACAGATTCCATTATTCAAGCAAGGGTTGCTTTCACATTCATTGATATCTGGAAGGCAAACAGGCAACAAAATATCAAAATCATTGTCAATGAGATGCTATCGATAAGTTCAAAAATAATTTTGAAATGGATGGTTATACTCCAACACATATGTCTAATTTACAAGGAAGGGCTAGAATTCATCAAAATCTTCTACAATACTTTTCACCGTTTAATAAATCAGAATCTTAATTGTTAATTTTCTGACGATTGAGCACTGCATATCAGAACTTTGAGGCATTGTTTTCTTCAGCATAACCAGAGTTAACAGAAGTATTCAACATCTTCAATAAAATAAGTACCCAGCAATATATAAAAGAATAACTAATGCAAATTTTGATAAGTTGTTTGCAAAGTGAAAGCCAAAATCACAGTATTTACTTTTATTGGCCACCATTGACCATTCACCAAGCATAAATAAGCATGCGGAATAACATGAATCATTAATACTGACCGATATGACATATGTCTCCTGTCCATCCTGGCGAGCAGGTACACACCACATAGTCAAACTGGTTTGAACAGGTTGCTCCATTACGACAGGGGTCTCCAATACAAGCATCCTTTTCTGTTTGATTCACAGTAAGTAAATTGTAGTTGATCAATGCAAATTCTTGACCATACAACAGTATATGAGTAAGTTGGCACGTACATGTAGCTAAACTTTCAATGTCTCCAGCTAAAATTGTATAATCGCCAGACTTAACATGCATAACATCTAAACTACATGTATTTACTAATATTTTAGTCACTTTGTGAACAGATGATAATATAGACATGCGTTTAAAGAGTTATGGAGCATGATAACAACAACATGTTGCCAGTGTCAGTTTTTGAACACTGAGGAATAATGAAATCACTGATTTCAAAACTATTAATCATCTTCACAAATTTTACAAGACAACGAAATGATCTTCAAAGGTTACCTGTTCTGCAATCAAAGCCTGTCCAGGCTATTGGACACTGGCATTCAAAGTGGGTTGAATTTCCACTGCACAACCCTCCATTGTAGCAAGGATCTGAGTCACATGCACTGAATGCTATAACACGAGTAGAATGACAATGAGTGTTTGATGGAATGGTAATGAATTGGTTATGGGAACCATGCACGGTCAGGACGATAGCTTGGACGAAAATGGATGTCCTTTATTAACTACACATATTCAGCACAGGTTAACATGTACGACCTCATTTCCGTTCAGTAAGTGCTTTTATGCAGTTAAAGGAAAGCATCTTTTGTCTTCCATCTATTTCTGTCTCCCTGCCTGAGGATGTAACATTATTTATGGAACATGGGAGGACAATATAGTCTAAGAGCTACTACATGTGCACAGATATACATTAATGAGAAATGGGAACGAATGGAGACAATATAAATGATTACAAGAATACTAAATGGTTCCTGCGAATTGATGGAATTGTCAGATATTCTATTATCGGATATGTGGCTTCAGCTTGAAACAACATACTTTTTGAATAACCCACTCTGTACTTTCAGGTTGAACAAATATTGGAAAAAATAATTCGACAAAATTTTCAAGCACACTTCCTGCATATATCAACAAAGGATTGGAAGTATAACAATTTGTATTATTCTATTTGACAACAATATTACTCATGGCTACATATCGATACGCTAGTCTAGTGAACAATCGTAGAAACGTTACAATTCTACTATGAACTGTCAGTACATGATCCTGTCATGAAATTAAACAATGAAATATTTTATCACTACATTCACCATTCACTGTTCATCAAAGACTAAATAGATGATTAACTTACGAATTTGACATCTCAATCCTATATATCCATCAAGGCATTCACAATCGAAGCCTCCCAATGTGTTTGTGCAAGTAGCATTATTCTGACAAATGTCCATGGTGCACTCATCGATATCTGGAAATATAAACATGTTTCATTGTAAGAAGTGATACTACAGGATTGCTTGGTAGTGTTGATAAACCTATTTCATTACAGTGCTAAACTATAGCCTCTTTATCCTTTGAATGCAATAAGCAGAATTACACTATAAGAAGGAGATTTTTTAGAATACAAATATGGTATTGACATGCATATTATATGACGTATGCTTTCTGAATGACACCAAAGCGATGAGCGAGTGTTTTAAATGTACAATAAAGTATGATTTCTTTTTTGTTCAGTTGATAATTTCAACCTGTAGAAATTCTTGACAGAGTGTAATGAACTTTGGCCAACTTTTGTCACTGCTCATCTCTTACAGTTTAATAGGCATTCATAGCTAGTTTTAACTTTCTTATCTAAATGCATAGGATTGGGGGCAAGCATTCAATAATGAAATGATTGCAAGAGATGATTAAGTTTGTATTTTACCTTGTTCACAGTTCTGGCCCATGATTCCCATAGGGCAATCGCAGGAGTAAGAAGTCCTGTGGTTGGTACAGCTTGCATTATTCTGACATGGGTCAGAAGCACACAAGTTAATTTCTGTAAAAGAGAAGAGTAGAACAAATTAGGAATAAGATGCAGAACAAGAGAAAAGCACAATGTAATGTACATGTGCGTGTGTGAATGTACATTCATTGAATGATTTAAATATTACAATATGAAATTATCCTTTTTTAGACAAAAATCTTATCATTTGGAATAAATAACCAATCTTACCAATTTCACAGAAGTCCCCAGTAAATCCGGGTAGACAGACACATGTGTAGGCAGTACCATTGAGTGCACGGCAGGTAGCGTTACTTTGACAAACACTGGATTCACATGGATCGGAGATGCCTGAATGAAATAAAAGGATGCAGTATTTTTCAACACGGTCATGGAATTGTTGTGTTATTGTATTAAATTATTGTCCATCTCTACAATACACAAGGATGTAAATGCACTTTGTAAATGTTTTGATTTATATCAATACCAGTTTGCGAAGACACTAGCTGATTGTCTCAAAATAACCTACCCATTTGAACACGATTTTGAAATATTGTATGTTAGAGCATCATTGAAAATAAAAATATAAGAAAACAAAGTATCACTTAATTAACTCAACAAACATTATAAGCAGGAGTTCATCTTAACACGAAGCATTGCCAAAGCTATATTACAAAAGCATGTATTATCTATTTTCTTACCAATTACAATGACTGCGAAGGCACAAGACATGTCATTCCCTGCTTCGTCTCTTGCAACATGAACAATTCCAGTTGAACCTATAGGGAAGTCAGCTCCTGGAGTAGGGCCAGCTGTCTGCTGCACAGTGACACTGCCACTGTTGTCTGTTGAGGACGGTGGAGTCCACAGGGCAATGGCTGAAAGACCACCTGGTGCAGTCTGTACAGTTACATCGGTAGGGCACATAGCAAAGACTGGGTCCTCGGTATCTGTAGATTAACAAGGTCAATAGTCAATGACTATTAATAAGTTGTAGTCTCGCCATGCTTTCCAGATGATTAAAATGGCATTGACAAGGTATCATACTGAGTTATTATGTTATGAAGGTACTTATGTAAGATTAATAAGGTCTCGAAATAGGTTTCGGAATTCTGTTTAAAATCATTTGTTGAACAAATCATGAATGAAATATCAAGTTAACCAGTCTGCATATGTACACAAATTATATTTTACATTATCAGTTTGTATATTGTAATACATTGTTAGGTATTCGTATTTTTCAAAGTATCGATTGTAATAGTAAATTCATTCATTTTGTTTTGTTACGTTTTCTAAATTGATTTGTACCAAAATCCTTTGTTTAGCTGTTTAAGGGGTTAGGCTTGACTAGTATTCATTAGCAATTATCTGGCCCCCTTTACCAACCAATAATTTCTCTTCTTGTATATGTAAACACATTGTATTAAATGTATTACTGTATTGGTGTTGGTAAATAAAATCAATCAATCAATGTCATCATTTTTAGAAAAGGAATGGTGAGCCAACATTTTTAGGGAATTTACAGAAGATGTTTAATAGCATCAGATGTAATTATAAGATAATATACAAGTAATAATAGTGGACAGGAAAGATCTTACCGATGACTGTAACAGAGAAAGTACACTCGACTATGTTGCCTGATTGGTCTACAGCAAGGTAAACTACTGTTGACTCTCCAATGTCATACGACGAACCACTGGTAGAGTCGGTGCTGAGGCTAACAGGATTGCCAGAATTGTCCTCTGCAATAGGTGTTGTCCAAGCCACTGTAGCAGTGGGAAGTCTCAAGTCTGTATTGGCGATGATGTTTCCAGGACAGAAGATGAAGGATGGACTCTCATTGTCTGGAGAAGAAACAAAATATGATTAATTCAGAAATTGATATCAACTTCTTGTCCTATTACTTGTAACTTCTTAGTCAAAATGAGGATATTAAGATTAAGTATTTTAAAGAGTAAATAATAGCCAGTTGTACAGTTTCATATTAAATCAAGTTGAGGAAATTTGTTTTTCAGCTATGCAATGTTTAGTTAAAGTAATACATACTGTGTCTTTCTTTTATACCTATAACTAGAATCAGGATACATACCTATTACAGTAATGGGGAAAGTGCATGTGGCTACATTGTTGGCTAAATCCTGGGCTATGTATGTCACTGTGGACACTCCTATGGGATACAGGTCCCCATTCACAGGAGCAGACACTAGATTCACTACTCCAGAGTTATCCGAGATGGTAGGCTCTGGCCAACTAACAGTGGCAAATGCAGATCCAGCATCAGTATTGAGGTTTATATTGGTTGGGCATCCAATGATTAAAGGAGGCATCAGATCTATAATGATAAAGGAAATGAAATGAAGGATATGAAAGTAAAGAACAATTAAGTCATTTAATGATACCTGGTATGAATTCTTACATGGCACAATGAATTAATATTTCAAATGCGATCCTAGTAAATTCCAGGGCAGGATTAGTAAAATTAAAATAATGATGCCTTGCCAAAATTGAAATCAGCCCCATAGCCAATTGGCATCTCCACTGGACCATCACACTTTACCCTAAATGTACTGATCTATCAGATGACTTGGATTCAGTTATTCACTATCTTGGTTGTACATGAAACATTACTAGTTCAAATGATATCATTCACTATCCCTTCAACTGATAGCAGTGTGGGACATTGTGATACAAACAATTACACAAAACAAACATTTGGTTGCTCCTACCTTGGACAGTAATATAGAATGTGCAGAATGCGTTGTTGCCTGCGTCATCTGTTGCGACATAGGTGACCTCAGTTACCCCGATGGGATATAATGCATTATTGATAGCATCCGTTGAGAGTGTCACAGACCCAGAGTTGTCAGATGAGGTGGGTTCAGACCATGAGACAATAGCAGAAGGGGAGCCAGGGTTATTGCCAGTTGTGATGTTTGGAGGGCATCCAAAGATTGCAGGTATGGCGATGTCTAGATTTATACAATGGGGAAATAAATGTTTGTATTCACAATATATTTCCTAATCTATTCAAAGAATGTTCTACTCTAATTTTATCCCAAAATCCTATATTCTCAACTGAGACTCCCTAATTATCTTCCAATGCAATTATTTGTATTCAATAGCTTTATTCAATCAAAAGCAATCAGAGTATCCAATCTCTCTAAACAAAAATGACAGCACACCATTTGACTAATAAGTCATACATGTGTTTCAGTTTGTGCCCAAAGTCATACCATTCATCAAACATTACATGAACATCAATTTCTAACATAAACCACAAACTACTTGTAAAAATGCACTGATCTGGACACCAACATCATCATCAAACCACTGAAATCAAAGCATGTATAGTTCAAATACAACTTTGATATCTGTTATATATTTGACTACGACTATTAACCTGTTTCACAGATGGTTCCACTATAGCCGTCCACACAAAAGCAAAAATAAGTTCCCTCCTGGAATCCTTCGAAGCACGTTGCATTGTTTAGACATGGACTTGTAAGGCAAGTTCTCAGGTCTGTCAAAATGTTAGATGTTATGTACGAAACAAAACAAATGTTTACATATGATTACAGACACAAATGATGAACAGAAATACAGTTGTTTTTTACAGGAACAAAACATCAACTTATTGCTATATTTGCTCTAAGATTAGGACTGATACAATGTCATGCACATTTTAATACATATCAAACAAAATACAAAGTTAATGAAAACAATATAAACATGTACTAAAGGGGCTTTCCAACCTTTGTAATATGTGTATCTCTATGAAAGCAGAACAATAAGAAAAACAGAATGGCGAAAGTTTGAAGTATCCCCCTAAATTTATGTGTTTTTTTTTTGTTGTCATTTTGTGTGTAGAAACAAATGGGAAAGTTTTACAACACTTCATCACTGTGTCATTACCGATTCAACCAATTTAAAGGGCCCATATGTCATGTACATAGTTTTCAACTTTTTAATTTGTTGTCCGATTTCATTCAAATTTTCATAATTCTACTGATTTTTCTGCTTTCTTTTCTAATAGGTGTTTCATAAAGTTGGATTTTTTCTGTAAATATGTTTATCACTTGTAAGCAATCTTGTGTTTTAATTGATAATTCAGAGTAGGCGCTATGAAGCTCCATTCTTAGGAAAGATTTGTATTTGCATCAGTAATAATCCGAATAATCCAAATGTATTGTATATGTGTGCCACGTATTTGGAACGTGTGCTTCCAGTAGATGTATGATATCAGTATACACATTTTCCCCCTCTCAAACAGTTTCTTCAATATATTTTAACTGTCGTTATTAAAATGAGAGATTATAAAAACTGACAAATGGCAATCGCATTTTGACATATCATTTGGGTGAACCATGTATATTTGACACCGGACTACCAACATCAAATTCTGCATACATGTATACATTACCTACACATATATACAGACAACACGCAAGCAATATTACAACGAGACTGTTACTTGTTTTACAAAAACATTGAGTAGAATAGACAGAAAGCACATCAACTTTATCTGACCTATTTCACATTGCCTGCCAGTATATCCGGGAGTACAGAGACACACAAACTCATTGCCGCCATTTTGCTCCAGGCAGGTTCCATTGTTGAGGCACGGTTGGCTGGTGCATGACATAATATCTGTGGATGAAGTGACAAAGGAGAAATATTCAGCATTTTCATTGCATCTAATCAAATACATGTCATAACAAAGTCAGTTAACAAGTTTAAGATAAGTCCTCTTAACTTTCGAATGAAGCAGAAAATTATTCAAAGACATAATCTGTTAATTCAACAAATTACTCTTGGTACATTTTTCCTAAAAAGGTAAAAAAAATTATATAACACTCTAAAAAAATGTGCAATAGGAACCCAGAATTAAATTTTAGGTTAATTTAATATGTCGAATGTGACATTGATAAATCTAAATGTTCCCATCATTTGAATTTATTATAAAACTCTAGTACACATACAAATTGACTTGAACTTTTGTAAAATATATAGATGAGGCAAATGAAAACTATCAAGCAGGAGCAATTCTAAGGTGTATTTTGTTTTCTTACCCAATTCACAGTCTGTCCCTGTAAAGCCTTCTGGACACACACAGAAATATCTATTCTCTGAAATATGTTCAAAGCACGTTGCTCCATTCTGGCAAGGATCGCTCTCACAGGAAAGAATTGCTAAAAAACAAACAAAAACATCACTTTAGATAAAAACTTACCCCTTAATTAAATCTAAGTCATCTACTTTAATCAGAATGAATATTGTGCAGTTTTTATGACCACACAGAATCGCTTCAGATTTATCTATAATAATAATACGCTAAGGCTCCGCGGGGGGCGCGACGTCTCGGCGAGCCTTTGTATTCTATTGTTTTTTAATGAGATCGCCGACCGAAGTTGGTGCGGCTATCTCCTCCTGAACCCTCCCCTCGGGGTACCCGTGCCCGGTGCCATCGTCCGCGGGAGAGTCTACTCTGTGGAATTGGCTATACTCCGCCCGAGGTCCTCCTCCGTGTCGACGTCCAGGGCGAAAACAGACGCGACATGCATAATGCAGGATATGCGTGACGACAGAGATACCTCATGGATATTCAACATTGCATCCGTAGACACACGACCGATGACTATCCACTCACATTAAGTTGCGTATTAAATGCACGACGCACAGGGTCGGGCTTACCCGAGTAAAGCATCATTCTATAGGATATCCTTTGTATAGTAGCTGCACGGCCACAGAGATACACACAAAGCTTCCCGTCCACGTCCAAACTTAGGGACCTATTTCCTTCATTATTGCCGCGATTTTTATATAGTTTTCATGAATGGAGGTATGAAATGAAAGCTTATTTTGTGATTATTACGGCCATATGCTACTACATTTTGATTATCATTTTCTAAAGGAAAGTTTTCACAAGAAAACCATTGGACTGACAATTCAGTCGCAAGCTGCCTTCAGTCCTCACACATACTACACACAGTGCAGTGTAACACCGGCACCGCGCACCGCAGGCTTCCGAGGCCTGCGGCGTCGGTGTTCGAGCTTCATGGAGTTACGCTGGAGTGTGTGCGAGTTCGATCAGCTGAGCTGAGCTCGAGTCGAAGAGATTTGACACTTTGAAATTGTTATCTGTTGGTTTGCATCACGATTTCAATATAGTTTCGTGAATAGATTTACGAAACCTGAGCTTAGAATTAGTAAAAGTATTACTAATGTCTACGTTTTTAAACGACTGTCTGATTTTCTTGTGAAAATTTTACTTTGAAAAATGATTATCGAAATTCATGGTCAGAAATAATCACAATCTAGATCTATTAATTATGTTACAGTTCTTGCATCAAAGCAATGCATGAAAACTTAGTTATTGAACTAGAAAAATGTTTTTTTTTTAAATAGGCAATTAGACCTATGAAGTATTAAGCCTGGAACCTTTGCCTACTAAACAAATCTCAACAAAGTGTAGGCCTATCCTTTTATGAATTAATGAAAAAGTAGCCCCAGAAAAAAGAGCCACCGAAAGTTGAAAAAGTAGCCCCCGAAAATTTCCCAAAAATTTGAAATGGAGCCCCCGAAATGAAAAAACTTAATTTTTTGCCTGCGCCCCCCCCCCCCCCCCTCTAGAATCCCGCGAATTTCCGCGGGTCCTGAGTTGAGTGTATATATAATATAGGCGTGGGGTCCACGGGTTTCAAGGGGCCATAAACACCCAAAAGCTCGGGGGTTACGTTCTTCAAAGTTGGGGGGGGGGGGGGGAGAGATCAGATCGCGGCGAGTTGAGTGTATATACAATATAGGCGTGGGGTCAACGGGTTTCAAGGGGCCATAAACCCCCGAAAGCTTGGGGGGTTTAGGCGTTTAGGGTCAGATGAGCATATTTTTAATACTTTATTTGTGACACTTGCGGGTCACTAATTGGCGTGGGGTCAATACGTAGAGTTGCGTAGTGTTGTGTACCAACTACGCTGGCCTACGTTACTATTATGCTGAGGGACGGAAAGAGGTATGCAAGATGAACGAAAACAATTCAACATGTTTAATTTTTTTCGCGTACTTTCGGCGTAGAAACTTGACGCAGAAAGTACGCCTTTTTACGCAACAGTACGCTACCCTACGCCAGATCGTCTAATTTCTGCGTAGTCGGTACGCCACACTACGGAACTCTATGCAGTTCCAGTGGCTTAAAGAATAACTACAGGTACAGTTGGATCGTTTTTTTTTGTTTTTTTTATATATATAAGGCCAAATTTAAAAAAAAACATGTTTAGCTTCCTGTTTTTTTGAAAAATGGGAAGGAGGAGGCCCTTTTTTTTTCTTTTTATTTTCTTTCAAAATGGTCGCTCCGTACATTTTTCCTGACATTCAGGCTATTTTTGAAGATGGCGGCCGACAATTTTTTCTTTTCTTTTTTAAAATCAGAAATACATTTTAGCAGTGCTTTTCATGTTTTTTTTCTTTCAAAAAAAAATAAATAAATGAAAAAAAAAAAAAAAAAAATAGGAAGCGGCCCCCAAAAAGGAAGCAGGCGGGGACGCTGTTTTTTTTTCTTTCAAAAAAAAAAAAAAAAAAAAAAAACTTTTCAAAAAATTTCAAAAAAAAAAATAGGAGGCGGCCCCCAAAAAGGAAGCGGGCGGGGACGCTTAACATGTAAATTTCTTAATGGCCTGAATGGCAAATAAAATTCTTGGTGGTTTTAATTTAGACAGTCTCTATATATATATTTACACCCCCCGCCCCCCTCTAGGATCCCGCGGATTTCCGCGGGTCCTGCTAGTAATGAATATATTGCACTGAAAGTAGTCAACTGTTTATAAATGTTCCACATATTCTACCCATGTTTATCCATTTCTGCAATGTGGTACTGATTTATATGATATCATTTCTGGAGACATTGAATCGTCATTATATATCTGACAGGCTATTCTGTACACTGTTGGCTAATGTCAACAATTAAATATTAGCTATCCTTGTTAACATGATACATGAAATGTTGTGCAATACACATGAATAACTGTAATAGATTCAACATTTATGCAACATCTTATTCCTTCAAAATACACCCCCTTTTTACATATACCGGTATTCTAAATATAGTGTAAATACAAGATACATTCAAAACACTTTGAGTAGGTTGCAGAGATTCAAGAATTAAATCAGATGTACCATTGTAAATAATGAAGGCTCAAAGCATCAGTAAAAGAATTGCAGGAATAATACAATTTTTAAAAGAAGCCATTTTGTGCGAAAAGATTTGATATTGCCAGGCATATGTACAGGCTCCATTTGGTGTTATAAAGATAAATTTGGATTCTGAATGAAAGTCTAGATAATCTTTATTATTGCGCATTGCTAACCAAAGAATGGCAGTGAATAATGACACACTAGGTTTTTCAAATGCTGTAATCTTGCACTCATCAGATTAAACCGCAAGAATAAACAGAAAGCCGAAATTGGACAACATGATTTCAAAGTACAGGAAAAAGTGCATTAAATCTATTTTTTAGAAGACTAGCACTGTACCTGTACTGTACCTGTTATTTCTGACAGCCAATTGGAGCCCGTTATATTTCATACAATTTATTTTCCTTTAGTTTCCATAGAAGTATTAACCACACCAATCATTTTTTATGTACAAATAATCTCTTTAGTATTGCTTATTGTTAACGATTCAATCAGAAAAAAGGTCAAGCATTTATTGTGCAGCAGAGGAAAAAGCAGAAAAAGTTACACATTCCCGATAAAATTAGACTCGCATTACCCGATTCACAATTATCTCCTTCAAATCACATAGCACAGGCACATATTTAGCCATCTTGTGCTCCATTATCAATGAAGCAAGTAGCTCCATTCAAACAGGTTTAGGATTTTTTCCTTTAGTTTCCATAGTAGTATCAATCACCAATCATTTTTGTAGTACAAATACTCTCGTTAGTAACATTGCTTATTGTTAGAGATTCAATCAGAAAAGAGGGAGATAAAGGATAATTATTCAAACATGAAAATAAAAAATGCAAATTGCACTATTGAAATAATCCAACACCAAGCAAAACATCAAGCAAATAGGAAAGTCATTTATTGAGCAGCAAAGGAAAATGCAGAAAAAGTAATAAGTGCAGAAATGCATTAGCTTCAACACAATGTGGTCCGGTGGTAGTAGGTGGTAGTAGGTTTAAACCCTCTCATGATATATGAATTTGCATATCATCAAAGAAAGATCACACAAAGGTACCCGATTCGCAGTTGACTCCTTCAAATTGAGCTGTACACTCGCACTGGTAGCCATCAATGAGCTCTATACAATTTGCTCCATTTAAGCATGGGTCACTGGAGCATTCAAAGATGTCATTCTGGCATTCATTCCCCGTCCAGCCAGGAGCACAGATGCACACATAGGCATTGATCAAGTCAATACAGGTTCCATCGTTTTGGCATGGCTGGCTCGAACATTCCTGGATTTCAATTTCACAAAAAGTTCCAGTCCATCCTGGCCCACACTGGCAGCTGTATTCGTTAGTCAGTTCGCGGCAAGTGGCACCATTAGCACATGGGTTACTGGCACATTCAGCTATGTCCTCATTACAAGTGGGACCAGTCCAACCACTGGCACATTGACACATGAACCCATTGATGAGGTCAGTACATGTTCCACCATTCAGGCACGGTATGCTTAGACACTCCATGATATCAGTCTCACAGTGTGTGCCTGACCATCCAGGAGCACACCTGCACTGGTACCCATTCACATTCTCTATGCATGTTCCTCCATTCATGCAAGGATCACTGAGACATTCTAGGACTTCAGTTCCGCAGTCGTCCCCTGTCCACCCAACAAAGCAGATACAGCCATAGCCATCCACCATTTCTGCGCATATTGCTCCATTCAAGCATGGATTACTTAAGCATTCTTGTATCTCGATAACACAGTCATTTCCAATCCAACCTGGTGCACAACTACACACATAGCCATCAAACAAGTCGACGCATGTTGCTCCATTTTGACAAGGGTTCGAGATGCACTCTTGGATTTCAGTTTCACAGTTGGTACCTTCGTAACCAGGTGCACAGAGGCAGACATATTGTCCAGACCCCTCTATACAGGTACTTCCACTGAGGCATGGGCTACTAGCACATAGAATGATTTCTAGTATGAATGAAACAAGAGTCCAAACATTGTAAACGAAAACAGATTTCTTTGATTCTCCAAATGACTCAACATTGAAATTTTCAATGCAATTAAATCATCTATCATGAATGTCACATTGAATTTGGTTACCGGTCTATTGCATTATACACCTATATTTGCAGTATCATACATGTTCATGTAAAAGTCTGTAAAAGTAGGCAAATATTGATAGGCATGTCATAATACCCATCTACATTGCTATTGTTGTACTAGTCACTTTCATTTCATGGTACCTATTACTTTTTGCACTTGTCATTACATGAGTCTGCACAGTTGTCAATAGAGATCTCCACACTGGTTACTGATGACATCATCCATGGTATAGTGCCATGGTATAGTGCACTATACCATGGATGACGTCACGGATACATCATAGCAATGTTATATTTGGTCACATGATGCTATGTTGACCAATCACTGAACAGGATTTCATTGATCAAAAATATAATACCTATTACTCTTTGCACACTGGTTACTGATTAACATGAAGGACTTTTAACATACCTGTTTCACAGTTAATTCCTTCATATCCTTCGGCACATATGCATATGTAACCTCCTAATGCAGCATTGAAGCATACAGCATCATTCTGACATGGAGTACTGGCACAGGCATTAGTTTCTGTAGAGATTTATAAATAGAAAATAAATGATTACGAGATATCTTTCACTAAGTAAAATGCTTTTACATGTAAGATTCTTATCTTTACCAGAATACATCAGTCTGGAAATCAAATGGGAAAAAGTCAATATAGATTCAAGTATTGATAAACACAGCATCATTAAAGTCAGTGTAATAATATTCAATGCATCGTGGGAAAACAGATGTATAATATCATAATGTGTACTGTTAAGTTACATGTAAAATCAGAATATAATGATCACTGTTATTATGAAGAACCGTAAGCACAGTGATCAGTGCACATAATATAAGGAGCATTTCACATAATCTTTAAAGTTATTTTCTTACCTGTCTCACAATTTACTCCTTCAAATCCATCTGCACAAAGGCAAAGATATCCGCTTGAAGCTCCATTGAAACACGTAGCTTCATTTTGGCAAGGATTACTCTGACATGGACCAAGTTCTAAAAGTAATTAATTAATAAATATCAATGACATATATGAAAATTGTGATTTCATCATATGATAATACAATTTGCAATGCTTCACTGTTCAAAGGATAACACATATGTACAATTAAATAAATCTGAGTAACTAAATATAAACTTGTACAAGAGAGGATTTAGTATTTTGCAAAGCAAAATAATAAGTAGTACTACATACAAAAAAGACAATATAAAGCACATGCATTACCTAATTCACAATTGAGTCCTTCAAATCCTGCTGGGCAGAAGCAAAAGTAGTTCCCTTGAGCTCCCTCAAAGCAAGTGGCTCCATTCTGACAGGGATTGCTATCACAGACTGGCATTTCTAGAGTGATCAATAATGGTATCACGGAGGCATAAATACATCTTCAGTGGTTACATGTAAGTTTCATGACAACTATTCCAATCATATACTGGCATTTCTAGAGTGATCAATAATGGTATCACGGAGGCATAAGGACATCTTCAGTGGTTACATGTAAGTTTCATGACAACTATTCCAATCATATGAAATATTTGACTGTGTAGATGAATGAAGCTGTAAAATATTCACAAAATACACGTTACTGATAAAATAAGACAGGAAATTGTATCCTGTAATAGTGTCAAGTATTAGACCAGCATTACCTGATTCACAGTCATCTCCTTCAAATCCCATAGCACAGGCACACATGTAGCCCCCTTGTGGTCCATTGAAGCATGTAGCTCCATTCAAACAGGGGTTGCTCCCACATGCAGATATAACTACAATTCAAAAAATAATTATGACAAGGTAACAATATTACACTACTCCATCATAAGCATAGCTTGTATTATCTACTATACTCGAACTTGAGCAATAACAAGCATGGAGAATTGAGTGATAATGATTAATCGTTAGTCAAACAGGATGTGATTAAATCAACATTAAAAAAACAAGCACATCTATAATCTACATTTACGCAAGGGTTCACAGCACACACCATGGAATTAGTTTGTAAGAAAAAAATGGGCTGAAAATATGTGGATTATAATATAAGGCATTACAATTTCTTTAAAGAACACGTCTTGTCTCAGATATTTTGCAATGAGTGCCCTGTCCATAGCCATTTCTAATATACCAAAATCATCTCCTGCACCAGTATGATGTTAAAGAGATGTACACAAAAATTACTTTGTACGCCCAATGAACGGGTCCAAATATGTTTTATTAAAATCAGTATTGTAGTTTCACAGTAGACGCCAGAAAACTGGAAACTACAAAGAAATCCACACATGTTGCCCCATTAAGACAGGGATCGAGTGCGCAATGAGTTATTTCAGTCTCACCGTGTGCTTCAGCATATCCTGGAGGACACTGACAATCCTCTACATCCTCACAGATCCCATTATTTTGTAGTGATCTCATTTCAGTTAGATTTAAAACAGTAAATCCAGTTAGCCCATGCCAAGTTTTTCACTCCAAAATTCAACCATAATGCCACATCAAACAAGAGAAAAGTGTTAGGTTGTAAGACAAAGCAGTACCCGTTTCACAGTTGTTTTTGGGGGGGGGGAATTAGGAGAGGATTAAGGAATATGTCCTATTTGCATCCATTATAGCATGATGAAACATGCATTTCAAAATGTTTTCATCCAAAGACATGTATGTAACAATTGTACATTCATTTTGCTGAATGTCCAACAAACTTTTTAAATTGATTTCCGTTGTAAATTTTCAAGTATGCGAGAAATATGACAAGTACCAGTTTCACAATTAGTGCCTTCATAGCCTGCTGGACAAAGGCATAAATAGCCAAAGTTGCCATTCTGCTCATAACAGGTTGCACCATTCTCACATGGATTGCCAGTACAGACGAGACTCTCTAAATGGGATTGTATTAAAGAAAGGAAAATAGGCTTGGGATAGGATAGTATGCTTGCCATGAAAACAAAAGGAAACCACAGGTTTAGGTATATACTTGTTTACATATGAATATAATACACCCAAATATATATGAATATAACAATCTATGAATATATTACAATGATAATTAATATCGACATAACAATAGGATGACAATAGAAACATCAAATGAAAAGATGGCTATATGGTACACAAAAAGAACATTCTTTGATTCTAAGGACTGTGGACATAATTCAAAGCTGTGTATATAAATTTCTAATTGCAGATGAGCTGCACATGTTTTTGTTTCAGATCTATTTTTACACCATACAAATATAAATTACAAAAGAGAAAACAGAATCAAAGAGACAATCTTTTGGGAAATGAAAGAGAATATTACCAATTTCACAGTTTGTTCCTTCAAAGCCAGTCGGACAAATACAGATATAGCTCTCACTTCCATTATGATCGAAACATGTTGCTCCATTCTGGCAAGGACTGCTTGAGCAGCCAAGAATTTCTGTTTCAAAAATTGAAGTTGAGAGGTATGCATTATATTTTATATTGTGATATTTGTTACCCGCTGATCTAAATATTAACCAGCACAGTCCTGAATTGCCTGAGCAAAATACAACTATGATGTGTAGCATCAATCAGGAAACACATAATTGAGGGAAAATACTAATAAGATATGAAAATCTAATGCTTGCATTACATGAAAAAAAAACACTATGAACACAATATGCAACACGCTTTCCAAAAACAATTTGATCCCCCAGGTGATGTATTTATACATATTGAAACTACTATCATGTCTAATCATTTTTGGGAATTTCCACTCAATCATAATCTAAAAAGGGACTTTTTCAAATATGCGTATCAAATCATTTCACACTAGAAATGCAAATCATGTAAGAGTTACCATTCTCGCAATCAGTTCCTTCAAAGCCAACAGGACAAAGGCAGACATAACCACTGCCACCATTGCTATCAAAACAGGTTGCTCCATTCAGACAAGGGGTACTGCTGCAGGAGAGTATCTCTATAGAAGTGCAATGTAAAAAGACAAGCAGGTGAGAAGACTGAATAAGTGAAAGAAAAGTTTTAAATCTATGATGATAAAATGAAATATTTAGTAACTTTATTCAAATGATTTGGAGTCTTTGATAATATAATAACAAAACATGGTTGAAATATAGATTAAGAAAATGCAGATCAGGACCATTGTCAGTTTGAGCCTTAATGGCCTAAACAATTAGATGGTACGTGTAACCGATATTGAAATCACAACAAAGAATTAGAATTCTAATGATTTAATACAATATTGAAGAAATATTTAAAAGTAAATATATGTTTAAATTAACTGGAACAGTTAAGTGTTTGGATTGATAGGATACACAGTTATATTTGAAATAAATACATGTAATTAAAAGATCAAAGCCAAGGTTAAGAACATCACATACCATTTTCACAGTTTGTTCCTTCAAAGCCAGCAGGACAGAGACAGGCATAGCTACTGCCACCATTGCTATCGAAACAGGATGCTCCATTCAGACAAGGACTGCTGGCACAAGCAAGCATTACTGGAATGTGAGAGTATAGCACAAAAATATTGTTAATCTATCTAACCACAAAGGTACAATGAAATCAAAATAAAATGATATATCATCAAGTTTTTTTTAACTCTTATGGTAACTAAAACCAGAATATGAAACTAGACGGAAGTTTATATCTATCATTTTGATATTTGTTTTTGATAGCCAGCAGGATGAGACAGACAAAACTATTTTCTCTTGTGTGATAACAACATGGATTTAATCTAGCATACATGATAATTTCTAACAATGAAATAAATACAACGATAATAATGCTTAGTATATTTCACCTACATATATATATATACATATTAAAAAAAACGTTGTCACCTACGTATATGATTCAATGCAAATAATTGTTTAAGAGGATTAAGTGAAAAAGAGAATAAGAGGATAGATGTTGAATTTACCATTTTCACAGTTTGTTCCTTCAAAGCCAGTAGGACAGAGACAAGTATAACCACTGCCTCCATTGCTATCGAAACAGGTTGCTCCATTCAGACAAGGATTGCTGGCACAGACTAGGATTTCTACGGTCAGAAAAAGAGGACAGACAAGTGTATATACATACATACAAAATGGTTGAAAAGTATGAATGTATTTTTAACCAATAAATGAGGTGTGTAATAAATTATATTCACACAAGAATTAAAAGAGGTTATATTAATCCAACAATCCAAAAATTAAAAAAGCATAGAAGAGGGATCGTGTACCATTTTCACAGTTTGTTCCTTCAAAGCCAGCAGGACAGAGACAGACATAGCTACTGCCACCATTGCTATCAAAACAGGTTGCTCCATTTAGACAAGGGTCGCTGGCACATGAAAGAGTTTCTGAAGAATAAAATATTGAGAAGCAAAATAGTCATAACATGAAAATAAAGGAAAAGAGCCAGTATCTCTCATTATAGACTCACAAAAAATCATACACAAAAATGCTAACAAATACCAAATTATATATATTGTGGCATTTGTAACACATCGAATGTATTTCATTAGACACAGTGAAATCACAATATGGTACAAAATGAGTGAAGCCCATTAAAAAAGGAAAGTACAAAAAACAGTACAGTAGGGAATAAGAATTTGCAAGAAGCCAAAGTACCATTTTCACAGTTCGTTCCTTCAAAGCCAGCAGGACAGAGACAGACATAGCTACTGCCTCCATTGCTATCAAAACATGTTGCTCCATTCAGACAAGGGTCGCTGGCACATGAAAGAGTTTCTGAAGAATAAAATATTGAGAAGCAAAATAGTCATAACATGAAAATAAAGGAAAAGAGCCAATATCTCTCGTCATAAACTCACAAAAATCATACAAAAATATTTTAACAAATACCACATTATATATATTGTGGCATTTGTAACACAGAATGTATTTCATTAGACACATTAAAATTACAAAATGGTTCAAAACAATAATCGTGATAACTGTAACTGAAGCAGTGTAGAGTGCAGTGAGAGCACCGCATACGGCAGTACCGCGACCGATAGCACATTGATCTTGATCGATCGCATATATATGACGTCATCCATGGTATAGTGCTATGGTATAGTGCACTATACCATGGATGACGTCACGGTTACATCATAGCAATGTAATATTTGGTCACATGATGCTATATTGACCAATCACTGAACAGGATTTCATTGATCAAAAATATAATACCTATTACTCTTTGCACACTGGTTACTGATTAACATGAAGGACTTTTAACATACCTGTTTCACAGTTAATTCCATCATATCCTTCGGCACATATGCATATGTAACCTCCTAATGCAGTATTGAAGCATACAGCATCATTCTGACATGGAGCACTGACACAGGCATTAGTTTCTGTAGAGATTTATAAATAGAAAATAAATGATTACGTGATACGCGTCACGTTGGCCATCACTCCCACGCAGACGACATCCAACATTTTATCTCCTTCCCTCCATGTGGTCAAAATTTGATGTCTGTCATCAAGCGTCTGGAAGAATGTGTGGTTGATATCGATGGGTGGATGACATAAAATAATCTAAAGCTCAATGGTGGGAAAACTGAGTTTATGATTTTAGGCTCAAAGGTCATGCTGAACAAGATCCTGGAAAGTTTCATTACAGTTTGTAATGATCAGATCAGCCCTACAATTAAATGCCGGAACCTTGGTGTTGTCATTGACTCGAACTTGACTGTAAATCATCATGTATCTCACACATGCAAAGCCATTATATTCCAACTCCGCAATCTTTCGCACATCCGAAGATTCCTGACACGTAAGGCTACTGAAACCATGGTTAATTCCCTCATCTCTTCTCGCTTAGACTTTTGCAATTCTCTTCTGATACATCTTCCTGACTACCAGCTGCAACGCCTCCATCAACTCCAGAACTCTGCGGCCAGACTTGTAATGCTCACTAAAGGCACCACTCACATCTCACACATCATCCAGGCACTGCACTGGCTTCCTGTCCGCCAGCGCATCATCTTCAATGTCATTCTTCTCGTCTATCAAGCTCTTCACTGCACTGCACCCTCATAGTACACATCTATGAACCACCAAAACTACTCCGCTCTGTTCACACCCAACTTCTTTGCATCCCACGTTCACGGCACTCCTGGGGAAGGCGATCATTTTCAAGTTCTGGCCCTGAACTGTGGAACTCACTCCCTCCTCACCTCCGAAATGAGAACTCCTACTCACAGCTCAGGTCTTTGTTAAAAACGTTTCTGTTCTCAACATATTAGTTTGTTTAATTATGTCTTACATTGTACTACCCTTATATAACTTGTATTACTGTAATATGCTTTGCATTGTATTGTAATATTGTATTATTGCAAATTATGTCCTGAAATATGTTAAACTGTAACTTATATGTATTTTACTTTCTTTCTTGAATTACTTGCCCACAATTATACAACTTCCACACAACTGCACCAGGAGTGTCTTTTTTGACAGAAATGGCGCATTATAAATGTTCACTATTATTATTATTATTATTTTCACTAAGTAAAATGCTTTGACATGTAAAAGTATTATCTTCGCCAGAATACATTCCAGAAATTAATATAGCATAGAAGAAGCATGATTTACCATTTTCACAGTTTGCTCCTTCAAAGCCAGCAGGACAGAGACAGGCATAGCTACTGCCACCATTGCTATCAAAACAGGTTGCTCCATTCAGACAAGGATTGCTGGCACATGAAAGAGTTTCTGAAGAATAAAATATGAGAAGCAAATTAGTGATAACATAAAAAAAATAAATGAAAAGAGCCAATATCTCTTTGTTATAGATTCACACAAATCATACAAACATGTGTGAACAAATACCACATTATATATATTTTGGCATTTGTTCACATAGAATGTATGTTATTAGGCACAGGGAAATTACAATATGTTTTCAAACGAGTGAGGCCCATTACAAAAGGAAATGGCACAACAGTTTAGTAATGAATAAGAATTTGCAAGAAGCCAAAGTACCATTTTCACAGTTCGTTCCTTCAAAGCCAGCAGGACAGAGACAGACATAACTACTGCCACCATTGCTATCAAAACAGGTTGCTCCATTCAGACAAGGATTGTTGGCACACGCTAGAATTTCTAATAGTAGAGTGGTACAAAAGAAGAAAAAAAAAGAAGTAAATAATGGCACTGCATTCACTAAAACAGTAACAAGAAAAGTGAGAGTACTAAGGTAATATACAATACATTTAGAAATACATACAGATAAAAAAAGGATTTCATTTGTTTTATGGAAATATGCAATAAAACAAACCTAGTTTACTGAATGAAACTTAATAATCAATATAGAATGATGAAGTAGTAGAAAACACTATTTTTGGAAGATAGGATATACATTAGAGAGAAATAAAACAGGACATGACTGAAGGTAGAAAGAGCATTGTGTACCATTTTCACAGTTTGATCCTTCAAAGCCAGCAGAACAGAGACAGACATAGCTACTGCCTCCATTGTTATCAAAACAGGTTGCTCCATTCAGACAAGGATTGCTGGCACAGGCTAGGATTTCTAATAATGGAGTGGTAAAAAAGAAAAGAGAGAAGAGTAAATAATGGTACTGCATTCACTAAAACAGTAACATTTACATTGAGTATACTGGGGTCATAAGAAATACATGCAGTTGGAAATATGTCAAGATCAAGGAGGAGTGGATTTGTTTTATGAAATTACACAATAAAACAGACCTAGTTTACTGAATGAAATTTAATAATGAATAAAGATCAATGAAGTGCATTGTAGTAGAGAAAAACTATTTTTGGGGAAAAGGATATACATTTAAATCAAAGAGAAGATAACAAAAAAACAGTATATGACTGAAGGTAGAAAGAGCCTCGTGTACCATTTTCACAGTTTGATCCTTCAAAGCCAGCAGGACAGAGACAGACATAGCTACTGCCTCCATTGCTATCAAAACAGGTTGCGCCATTCAGACAAGGATTGCTAGCACAGGCTAGGGTTTCTAATAGTGGAGTGGTACCAAAAAAAAAGAGGGAAGAGTAAAGAATGGTACTGCATTCACTTAATCAGTAACATTTACATTGAGTATACTGGGGTCATAAGAAATACATGCAGTTGAAAATATGTAAAGATCAAGGAGTGAATTTGTTTTTTGAAATTACACAATAAAACAGACGTAGTTTACTGAATGAAATTTAATAATGAATAAAGTTCAATGTAGTGCATTGTAGTAGATAACGCAATCACGAGAACGGGACGTACGGACGTACAGACAGACGGACAGCCCGAAAACATGTCTCCGGCTAGTTCGTAACGTAGGCATAAAAACAGCACATGACTTAAGGTAGAAAGAGCATTGTGTACCATTTTCACAGTTTGTTCCTTCAAAGCCAGCAGGACAGAGGCAGACATAGCTACTGCCTCCATTGCTATCAAAACAGGTTGCGCCATTCAGACAAGGATTGCTGGCACAGGCAAGGATTTCTAATAGTGGAGTGGTACAAAAAAAAAAGAGAGAAGAGTAAAGAGTGGTCCTGCATTCACTAAAAAAGTTGAGATGAAAGTGAGAATACTGAGGTCAAAAGAAATACATGTAGTTGTAAATATGTAAAGATCAAGGAGTGGATTTGTTTTTTGAAATTACACAAATTACACTGAATGAAATTTGATAATGAATAAAGATCAATGAAGTCCATTGTAGTTGAGAAAAACTATTTTTGGGGAAAAGGATATACATTTAAGTCAAAGAGAAGATAACAAAAGGATATACATTTAAATCAAAGAGAAGATAACAAAAAAAAAGCACATGAATTAAGGTAGAAAGAGCATTGTGTACCATTTTCACAGTTTGATCCTTCAAAGCCAGCAGAACAGAGACAGACATAGCTACTGCCTCCATTGCTATCAAAACAGGTTGCGCCATTCAGACAAGGATTGCTGGCACAGGCTAGGATTTCTTATAGTGGAGTGGTACAAAAAAATGAGAGAAGAGTAAAGAATGGTCCTGCATTCACTAAAACAGTTGAGATGAAAGTGAGAATACTGAGGTCAAAAGAAATACATATAGTTGTAAAATACGTAAAAATAAAGGAGGAGCGGATTTGTTTCATGAAATTACACAATGAAAATAATAAAGACTATAGAATGATGTAGAAGTAGAAGACACTATGTTTGGGAGATAGGATATACATTATAGAGAACAAAAACAGTATATGACTGAAGGTAGAAAGAGCCTCGTGTACCATTTTCACACTTTGTTCCTTCAAAGCCAGCAGGACAGAGACAGACATAGCTACTGCCTCCATTGCTATCAAAACAGGATGCTCCATTTAGACAAGGATTGCTGGCGCATGGAAGAGTTTCTGAAGAATAAAATATTGAGATCAAAATAGTCAACACTACTATCTCTGGTGTGATAAAACCATGTGAATCTAATCTAGCATAGATAATAATTTCTAACAAGGAAATAAATCAAGCAGTACTAAAGCTTAGTTTATTTCTCCTACTTATATACAAAATCAATGACAACTTCATATATGATTCAATGCAAAAATTGTTTAACAGGATTCAGTGAAAAAGCGAATAAGAGAAGTGATGGTTCATGTACCATTTTCACAATTTGTTCCTTCAAAGCCAGCAGGACAGAGACAGACATAGCTACTGCCACCATTGTTATCAAAACAGGTTGCTCCATTCAGACAAGGATTGCTGGCACAGGCTAGGATTTCTGATGAGTAGATTGGAAAACAAAAAACAGTCCAAGATTTAGAATTCTAAATTGCAGCTTTACCTAGTTTGATCAATATCACTGGTCCATGTAAAAATTAGCTATACTAAATAACAGACATATCTATTTCTCATAAGTTTGAACCATCAGGTAATGCCCAGGGTCATACTTACTTTGGTGTGCATTTCCCAAAACGTACACAATAAATAATAAATACTATGAGATATATTAAATTTAATGGATTAGTTCTTTATGACCCCAAAATATTTCATTTACTTCAAGGCCAAGATTGAGGGGGAGGGGTAGAATCTGCTCCTTCCCAACTGAGATATCACCGAAAATAACCTGACCGATTGGAGTTTTTATCTGACTTCAATAAAACATACAATACATTTACAAAATTACCCATTTTCAGTCTTGTTTGGCTCCATGAGAACCCTTTTAACACTATCACAGACTAATTTTAACCCTGGAAACAGTTAATTACTATTAAAGCCTTTGGTGTATCTATCCCGTGATATTTACAATGTGGTACAGGGAGGTTGTAATTTCTATAATATGTACGTCACAAAAGCAGACATTACCATTTTCACAGTTAGTGCCTTCATAGCCAGCTGGACAAATACAACCGTAAGCAGAGAATTCCTCACGATCCATGCAGGTAGCTCCATTTAGGCAAGGGTTGCTGTCACAAGCAGGCATTGCTATATGAACAATAATGAAGACAAAAATGTATGAAAATCAAATGTATGAAACTAACATTTCTGTATGTGCTGTATGTGGATTCTTAACAACAGTATTTGGCCCTTGGCTACACTTATACAATGCCTTTGGAAATAACACTTAATGTATCATACACAAAATACAAAGAGTAATTTTAAAAGGTAAAACAAGGAATAAGTTAATAAAAACACACAACTTGGGTGGGTATTTATTTTTTTTTACAATACAGGCAAATTAATATGACCAACATTTGCAGGATTATAATAGAGACTTTTAGATTTGCATGTCGACAGCTTTGACTGCAACGTGTGACATCATGTTAAGGCACTGCGCATGCATTACGTCGTCTCAGTCGGTGATCGAGAATGCGTCAACCTTGATTTTCCCTAAACCTAGTACATACATAAATATTGATATTTATATAGCGCCTTTACATGCTCAAGGTACTAGTATGCCGCGTGCGCATAAAATATACAGTTCCTCAGGTAGACAAAGGAACATCCTTTCCCTGCTATTATGTAAAAATGTGTAGAACAGGTGTCACATGCATATTCACCTGTTCTACACATTTTTACATAATAGCAGTGAAGGAAGGTTCTTTTGTTGAAGGTAGAATGAAGAACTGTATATTTTATCCTCTTTATTTGTCTGTGATGTTCATAGTCATAGTGTTACTTCCTGCATGCATGTATATTGTTGAGTGCAATCTAAAAGATTTCTAATTGTAGTCAACATGGGCAGTTAACTACGTTGACACGCATGATCAGTCGGCGTTCGTCGTGTTCTCGTCCACTCAATCTAAAAGTCCCTAATGTCTGTACTTCCTACCATCCAAAATATATGTAACTTATGAAGTATCCATAACTAGTAGTATGATACAGCACATTCATGCTTTTGAAAGTTTACTGTACATATATACTTATATGTCTAAAACAGCTTTAATATTAACATTCAATAGCTATTATGTCATTTACCTGAAATGTTTTCACAGTTATTTCCTTCAAATCCAGTTGGGCAAACACATGTATAAGCCTCTCCATTGCTATGTGTAAAGCATGTACCATTGTTGACACATGGGCTGCTGTCACAGACTGAAAGCTCTATAGGAGGAAGATGTCAAAAATTGATAGCAGTACATTATAAAATACCACATGTAACGACAGTTGCAATAAAAGTCTTGTCATCATCATGTATTAAAGTTAGCATTTTCTCTCTTATTAGGGGTTGACTTTCACGCCTTGATGACACCCCCTCCCTCCTCTTCTTCTTGTCTTGAACATCCTCCTCATTTAGACCAACTTTATACCTTTCTTTCCTCACCATATCTTCCCATGGAATCCTTGGTCTTGTATTACACAAATATTCCTTTAAAAAAAGAAATATATATATATATATATATATATATATATATATTTAATCCATATTTTTGCATTCTAAGGTACTACATTCTCTTTATATACTCAATGATTTTTTTTATTTTATTTTTTTTGGGGGGGGAGGAGGGCATTACATTTTTATAAGATAAAGGGCTAATGAACCTGTCCCATAATAGATCTAAACTTACCAATTTCACAGTTTGTTCCTTCAAAACCAGCAGGACAGAGACAAGTAAAACTTGCCCCATCTGATTCAAAGCAAGTTGCTCCATTCAGACAAGGACTGCTTATACATGGTTGAATCTCTGCATGTACAAAATGACATATGCATATATAATCAATTATTACAAACACACGCAATGTTTATCATTAAATCTTAATTAGTTTTTATTGTGGCACATTTCAAATGTCGATTATAGTAGTAAGAATACTGGTTTAGATCATGCCGAAAAGTAAAAAGATTTTTCAAATACAGTAAGAGGAAATAATAAGATTGAAGCATCAAAATGAGTTTATTTCCATTTCAAGGTTTGCATTTCCAATTCATAATCCTTTGGACATGGTACGCTAGCATACGGTTGAAATACCACAAGGGTGAGGAATTTCAAAGATCATATTTGGAGAATCGCGTTGAAAAGAGCCATACTAAAGATCATAGTACATATTATGATGAGTTCATTTAAAACACAACTTGATAAAATGATCATGCCACTGATGAGAACAATATGCCGAGAATTACAAAACATTTGAAGTTGTCTATAAGGATTTCACAAGCAAACCTACTTTACAAGATGACTGAGTAATAGGGTTACTCAGTCAAATGATAAACCACTATGGGAAAAAAGGAGAGTGTCAATGTACCAGTTTCACAGTTTAGTCCTTCAAATCTAGAAGGGCAGAGACAGGTATAGGTAGATCCACTAGATTGTGTGAGGCATGTTGCACCATTTTGACATGGGTTGCTGGCACATGGTTGGATTTCTAGGAAATAGGAAGAGTAATATATTGAGTGAGATTGTAAAGTGATGTCCAAGCATAATATTACGTCCTCATACCTAGAATCACTCAATAATCATACTCCACTATTTAAGTCTTTACTCAGAGCCACAAATATGTGTGGGTTCCTTATGTAACAAGGACACCAAAAATGTCACAAAGTGGGTCACTAATTTATGGAATTACCCATATACAAATGTTTCTAACTGGCCAATTCCAGCTACCGTATAAATAACCATCCACATTCAAGGTTTTACTACAGTGAATTACTGTAAGTTACTGTAAATATGAAAATAACAGTCACCATCTGTATTATTTTTAACAATGAAACCAAAATTGATTGAATTTAAATTAATTTAATTTAATAGATGCTAATAATATGGAAATTTTATAAAATCAATTAGAAATGCATTCAAATTTGAAGATACCCAGAACACTATCAGAAACAGCCTTGTAAAATGAGATGCATACCAATTTCACAGTTGGTTCCTTCGAATCCCATTGGACATAGACACGAATAGCTGGTACCCATAGGCTGAGTAAAGCAGGTTGCTCCATTCAGACAAGGATTGCTTTCACACGGCTGCATCTCTGTGATTGGGAAAAGTGGAGAGATGATTAAATGAGGCAGGATGTTACATTCATGTTAAAAGGCATATGCAGATAATAATCTAAATGCCTAGTTTACAGACATATACTTCATATTAAACAGCCAAAGAGACTAGCAGATGAAAAGTTATCAATGGTGCATGTATACACATAGGAAATGGAACATATTTTACTACCTTATTATATTCTAAGGCCTAACAAGATTTAAAAATGATCACTGAAGAAAGTTGATATGTACCATTTTCACAGTTTGTTCCTTCAAATCGAGCCGGACACAGACAGACATAACTACTGCCTCCATTGCTGTCAAAACAGGTTGCTCCATTCAGACAAGGACTGCTAGCACAAGCAAGGATTTCTGATAGCGGAATGGTTAAAAAAAGAAAGAGAATAAAATGGCATTGCATGCACAGCAGGAGTAGGGAAATGACGCTTTTACAAAAATGTGATAGCTCTAAAGAAAATGAATAGTAATTCAATAGCTTTGTGAATGTTAATGTTTAAGATTGTAATGAATAAGAGCAAAGGCAAGAGTTTAACACAAATGATATCAAGCTGAAAAATGAATTGTACCATTTTCACAGTTTGTTCCTTCAAAACCAGCAGGGCAGAGACAGGCATAACCACTGTCACCATTGTGATCAAAACAGGTAGCTCCATTCAGACAAGGATTGCTGGCACAGGCAAAGATGTCTGAAAGTGGAATAATAAAAAAAGAAAGAGAAAATAATAGCACTGCATGCACTACAAAAGTAGAAAAATGAAAAAATAATAACGATGGGATAGCTCTAAAGAAAATGAATAGTCATTCAATAGCTTTGTGAATGATGATGGTTAAGATTGTAATGAATAAGAGCAAAGGCAAGAGTTTAACACAAATTATATTAGGCTGATAAATGAAAAGTTTACCATTTTCACAATGTGTTCCTTCAAAGCCAGCAGGACAGAGACAGATATAACCACTGCCTCCATTGCTGTCAAAACAGGTTGCTCCATTCAGACAAGGACTGCTAGCACAAGCAAGGATTTCTGATAGCGGAATGTTTAAAAAAAGAAAGAGAATAAAATAGCATTGCATGCACAGCAGGAGTAGGGAAATGACGCTTTTACAAAAATGTGATAGCTCTAAAGAAAATGAATAGTAATTCAATAGCTTTGTGAATGTTAATGTTTAAGATTGTAATGAATAAGAGCAAAGGCAAGAGTTTAACACAAATGATATCAAGCTGAAAAATGAATTGTACCATTTTCACAGATTGTTCCTTCAAATCGAGCCGGACACAGACAGACATAACTACTGCCTCCATTGCTGTCAAAACAGGTTGCTCCATTCAGACAAGGACTGCTAGCACAAGCAAGGATTTCTGATAGCGGAATGGTTAAAAAAAGAAAGAGAATAAAATAGCATTGCATGCACAGCAGGAGTAGGGAAATGACGCTTTTACAAAAATGTGATAGCTCTAAAGAAAATGAATAGTCATTCAATAGCTTTGTGAATGTTAATGTTTAAGATTGTAATGAATAAGAGCAAAGGCAAGAGTTTAACACAAATGATATCAAGCTGAAAAATGAATTGTACCATTTTCACAGATTGTTCCTTCAAATCGAGCCGGACACAGACAGACATAACTACTGCCTCCATTGCTGTCAAAACAGGTTGCTCTATTCAGACAAGGACTGCTGGCACAAGCAAGGATTTCTGATAGCGGAATGGTTAAAAAAAGAAAGAGAATAAAATGGCATTCCATGCACAGCAGGAGTAGGGAAATGACGCTTTTACAAAAATGTGATAGCTCTAAAGAAAATGAGTGGTCATTCAATAGCTTTGTGAATGTTAATGTTTAAGTTTGTAATGAATAAGAGCAAAGGCAAGAGTTTAACACAAATGATATCAAGCTGAAAAATGAATTGTACCATTTTCACAGATTGTTCCTTCAAATCGAGCCGGACACAGACAGACATAACTACTGCCTCCATTGCTGTCAAAACAGGTAGCTCCATTCAGACAAGGACTGCTGGCACAAGCAAGGATGTCTGATAGTGGAATAATACAAAAAGAAAGATAAAATAATAGCACTGCATGCACTACAAAAGTAGAAAAATGAAAAATATAATAACAATGGGATAGCTCTAAAGAAAATTAATAGTCATTCAAAAGCTTTGTGAATGATGATGGTTAAGATTGTAATGAATAAGAGCAAAGGCAAGAGTTTAACACAAATGATTTAAGCTGAAAAATAAATTGTACCATTTTCACAGTTTGTTCCTTCAAAACCAGCAGGGCAGAGACAGACATAACCACTGCCACCATTGTGATCAAAACAGGTAGCTCCATTCAGACAAGGATTGCTGGCACAGGCAAGGATGTCTGATAGTGGAATAATAAAAAAAGAAAGAGGAAATAATAGCACTGCATGCACTACAAAAGTAGAAAAAATAATAACGATGGGATAGCTCTAAAGAAAATGAATAGTCATTCAATAGCTTTGTGAATGATGATGGTTAAGATTGTAATGAATAAGAGCAAAGGCAAGAGTTTAACACAAATTATATTAGGCTGATAAATGAAAAGTGTACCATTTTCACAATGTGTTCCTTCAAAGCCAGCAGGACAAAGACAGGCATAACCACTGCCTCCATTGCTATCAAAACAGGTAGCTCCATTCAAACATGGATTGCTGGCACATGCTACAATTTCTGCAGGGAGAAATGTAAAGTGGTAATACAACTTTTTAATTTTAATCTTGCACAAGACAAAACAAAGATGAAAAAAGGAAAGTTAAAAATTGTATAATTTACAGTTTGTGCAATTAAAACAAGTTTGAAAGAGACAGACATAACTTCCTGCATATTGCTCTTCGAATCTGCTTGCTCCATTCTCCGATATATTAGGGAAACAACATGGGATTTCTTAGATTTTTTTATATTTTTTTTAAAGGAGTTCAGAGAAGGTTTAAAATGTAAGAACTAGTTGTTTTTTTTTATCTAATAAAATATACTGACACAAGATCATGAAGAACAGAAAGTGGTTAAAGTTTCCCCAACTCATCAACTAATTGTAACATTTAAATATTAAAGCAAGGAAGTAGGATATGAGTACCATTTTCACAGTTGGTTCCTTCAAAGCCAGCAGGACAGAGACAGGCATAACCACTGCCTCCATTGTGATCAAAACAGGTAGCTCCATTCAGACAAGGACTGCTGGCACAGGCAAGGATTTCTGTAAGCGGAATGGTAAAAAAGAAAGAGAAAAGAATAGCACTGCATGTACTACAAAATTAGAATAATGAAAGAATAATAACAATGGGATAGCTTTAAAACAAATAAGTAACCTTTTCAAAGCTTTTTTAAATAATAATTGTTGTAATTGTAAAGAATAAGGACAAGGGCAAGAGTTTAACAAAAATGATATCAGGTTGAAAAACAAAAAATGTACCATTTTCACAATTTGTTCCTTCAAAGCCAGCAGAACAAAGACAGACGTGACCACTGCCACCATTGCTATCAAAACAGGTTGCTCCATTCAGACAAGGACTGCTGGCACAGGCTAGGATTTCTGATAGCGGAATGGTAAAATAAGAAAGAATAAAATAGCATTGCATGAACTGCAGAAGTAGGGAAATGAAACAATGATAAATTACTCTTTTAAAACAATGCGATAGCTCTAAAGAAAATGGATAGTCATTCAATAGCTATGTGAATGATAATGGTTAGGATTGTAATGAATCAGATCAAGGGCAAGAGTTTAACACAAATAATATCAGGATGATTAATGAAAAGTGTACCATTTTCACAATTTGTTCCTTCAAAGCCAGCAGGACAAAGACAGGCATAACCACTGCCTCCATTGTGATCAAAACAGGTCGCTCCATTCAGACAAGGATTGCTGGCACAAGCAAGGATTTCTGATAGTGTAATGGTAAAAAAGAAAAACGAATGACATTGCATGTACTTCAAAATTAGGAAGAAATTGAACTGCAGAAAAAGACGTTATAGGCCCAACATTTGGGTTGGTTTCATGTTAACCCTGCTTATTATTACAGTACCCTTGCTGTGGTTTGTGAGTGGTTTTTATAGATTCAAGTAATCATCACAACATACAAATCAGTATGTTTAATAGCTTGATGTGCTAGATATACGACAGATAATCAATGCAAGTGTCATCAATTAGATACCTAAAGCAAATTTAAGTAATCAGATTATAAAGTGAAAGAAAAAATACAGGATATGTACCATTTTCACAATTTGTTCCTTCAAAGCCAGCAGGACATAGACATGCATATCCACTGCCTCCATTGCTATCAAAACAGGTTGCTCCGTTTAGACAAGGATTGCTTTCACATGCAGGGATGATTTCTAGGAGTAGTGAAGAAAAAAATAATATATGAAGATAGATATCTCTATTTCAACGAGAGTAAAATAAGAGGTAAGATGTTAACAGGTATAAAGCTATTCTATGAACTCTAAAGAAACAAAAGATGAAAGAGCACATTGCAGAAAAGAGTGTAGCTGTGTATTTATGAAAATTAATCAAAATGAATCTTCAAAAGTTATGCAACTAAAAATGTTTATACCAATAATTGAATATATCATTGCTGAAATTAATTATTGAGATGAGTGGTTGATACGGTAAAAGATTATTTCTAGATAAAATACCTGATTCACAGTTTGTTCCTTGGAATCCATCAGGACATATGCAGGAGTATGTTTTGTCTCCTGTATCCTCCACACACGTTGCTCCTTCTAAACAAGGATTGCTAGCACATGCTGCAGCAACTGCAGTAGAAATGAATGTTAGGATTACATATAGTTGTATGTACTTGTATCCTGTGTAAACATAAGGAATAACACTGTGATGTTGCACTTTCGAAGGTTACATTCAGTTCTGGTATTTGGAAAGAGTAAAATAAAATCTACCACCAACTGTTAAAGTGTTGAAAAAGAGGAACATTTTTAATTCCATCACTGCTAAAGTAGAAAAATGAAACAATGACAAATCATTTTTTTATAAGAAAAGGATAGCTCTATTTAAAAACAGTCGATAAGTCCAATAGCACTTTTTGTGAATAATAATGGATGGGAATATGGTATTCAAGTTTGAAATTTCAAAAACATATCTATAAAAGGGAAAGTAAAAAGTTGTACCATTTTCACAGTTCGTTCCTTCAAAGCCAGCAGGACAGAGACAGACATAGCTACTGCCTCCATTGCTATCAAAACAGGTTGCTCCATTCAGACAAGGATTGCTGGCACAGGCTAGGATTTCTGATAGTGGAGTAAACCAAAAAGATAGACGAATGACACTGCATGTACTACATAATTAGGAAAATGAAGCAATGATAATTGACACTTTTAAATGATGGGACAGCTCTAAAAAAAATGAGTAGTCATTTAATAGATTTGTGAATAATAATGGTTAAGTTTGTAAAGACTAAAGGTACAATTTTCAGCCGTTCCTTCAAAGCCAGTAGGACAGATACAGGCATAGCTATTGCCTCCATTGTTATCAAAACAGGTTCCTACATTCACACAGGGATTGATGGTACAAGTAGTGCTGTAAGTCAGACGCTATGTTCGTGTTCGGTTCGGTTCGGCAGAGTTCGGCAATTTTTCACCCGAACTTGGTTCGGTTCGGGGTTCGGTAATATTATAATAGCAAGCAGCGTTATAGCCACGGCGGTCGGCACTGGGCGGGCTGGCTGGCCGAGCCCGACCAGCATGGAGGACTTCTGCACACTGCTTCCGACCAGCATGAATTTCACCTTAAAAAACTGCTCTAAACGTAATTATTTGTGAAGAAAAATACTACTCACATTCGTATTTCCGTCTTGAATCATGTTTTATTTTCAATTTTAAAAGAATCATGTTTTCAATTTGTCAATAAATGATATTTTGTAAAGATTTTCCGAGACGGTTGTTGTCTATTGTTAGAGTCATGAAAGCTGCCATCTTGAATGGCTCGTCAAGAACTTTTTTTTAAAAGTTTTTATTTTCAATAGGAAAAATATAAAATCGCTATTTTTCCTGAAAAAATAAATACCACACTGTATTATATATTTATTTCATTATTTATATTGTAAAATTTGTCCGATATTGTTACAATTAAAATATTAATTTTTTGTTCAGCTGAACTTGGTTCGGTCACGCACATGTATTCTTGTTTATGGCTTGCGATCGCGACGTAGCGTGGTCAGGATTTGGGATTTAAATGGCGCCAGTGAAGTCGCGCCCACCACTGGATAGGCATAAATCACAAAGGCGGAAAATGGAAAAAAGTAAATATAAAATGAGCAATCATGACATGAAAATTAGGTACAAAATGACTAGTTTATTAGCTTGCAAAAATGTTTACATTTTTCTGCCGAACATCCAAACCAGGCCTTTGCGTTCGGTTCGGTTCGGTTCGGTTCGGAAGTGCCATGTTCGGCGAACTTTCGTTCGGTTCGGCGGTTCGGCTACAGCACTAGGTACAAGTATGTCTGATGAAAAGGGGTTTTAAAAATGGCAATTTTGGATCCAACATGATACAGTAAGGAGTAATTAGAAGAAGGTTGGATATAGAATGGAACCAAAGAGACAAAAAGTTTCCAAAATATATAACACAAATATTAATGGTGGGAATTCAGGCAATTGAAATGAAACTGCAGGAAAAAAGGCCCCACATTTGATTTGGTTTCAAGCTTACACTGCTAATTATATAAGTACCTCTTCTGTGTTTTGAGGATGATCTTTAGATTAAAGTAATCACCACAAGATACAAACCATTAAGTTTAACACATTGTTGTACCAGACATAATTCAATGCCTGTTAAGGAATCAAATAATTCATCTAGGTGCAAGAAAGCAGGCACTTAAATGCAAACGTAAGAAATCAGATAATTAATGCAAGTGAAAGAAAAAAAATCAGGATAAGTACCATTTTCGCAGTTTGTTCCTTCAAAGCCAGCAGGGCAGAGACAGGCATAGCTACTGCCTCCATTGCTATCGAAACATGTTGCTCCATTCATGCAGGGATTGCAGGCACATGCCAGAATTTCTGCAGAGAGAAATGTAATAGGGTAATGGAGTGACAAGTTGTAACATTTTCATAGTTGTGCCATCAAAACCAGAAAGAATTAGACGGACATAATTTCTTGCATCTATCTTATTTAATCAGGTGGTTCCATCTCCACATGCATTAAAGAAACAAGTTTTTTTTTTATAGATTAAACAATAAACGTAAGAAACATTAAAAAGAGTTCAAAAAAAGGTTTAACAAAATAAAAATGAACAAAATCATCTGATTTAAGAGAACAGAACATGGTAAGAACAGGAAATGATGATAGTTTTCTCAAGTAATCGATTGTGACAGTCAGATATTTAGATAAAGATAGAAGGAATGAGTACCATTTTCACAGTTTGCTCCTTCAAAGCCAGCTGGACAGAGACAGGCATAACTACTTCCACCATTGCTATCGAAACACGTTGCTCCATTAAGACAAGGATTGCTGGCACAGGCTAGGATTTCTACGGTCAAAAAAGGAGGAGAGACAAGTTTATAGGCAAAATGGTGGCAAAGTAAAAAAAACTCTTTCCATCTATACATGCGGGATGTTATACATTATATTCATACAAAGAATAAAAATACATTACGTTAATCTAACATTACAAAAACTAATAGAGCATAGAAGCATCGTGTCACAGTTTGTTCCTTCAAAGCCAGCAGGACAGAGACAGACATATCCACTGCCTCCATTGCTATCAAAACATGAAACAGGAACATCAAAACACAAGCAAGAATTTCTGCAGAGAGAAATGCAATGTGATAATCAAGTTGGGACTTTCAGTCTTGCACAAGACCAAAAACAAAGAAAGAAATAAAGAAAACAGAAGGAATTAGATAGACAGAACTTCTCTAATCTTGCTCTTTCAATCAAATAGCTCCATTCTCACATGCATTGGAGACACAAGGTAGAATTTCTTAGATTACCCAATTAAAGAAAACAAAATAGTTCAGAGAAAGGTTTGAAACGAGAAAAAAATTGGTCTGATAACGGCTACTGAAAAGAGATTGATAAGAAAAAGAAATGTTAATAGATTTCACAACCAATCACTAATTGAATCATTTAGATATTTGAGTAATTAAAGAAGGAGTACCGTTTTCGCAGTTTGTTCCTTCAAAGCCAGCAGGACAGAGACAGGCATAGCCACTGCCTCCATTGCTATCAAAACAGGTTGCTCCATTCAGACAAGGATTGCTGGCACAGGCAAGGATTTCTACGGTCAGAAAAAGAGGACAGACAAATGTATATACATGTTTAGGCAGAATGGTGACAATTTTTTTTCTATCTATACATGCGATATGTGATATATTATATTCACACAAGGAATAAAAATTGATTACGTTAATCTAACATTACAGAAATTAATAGAGCATAAAAGCATAGTTAACCATTTTCACAGTTTGTTCCTTCAAAGCCAGCAGGACAGAGACAGGCATAACCACTGCCACCATTGTGATCAAAACAGGTAGCTCCATTCAGACAAGGATTGCTGGCACAGGCAAGGAGTTCTGATAGCGGAATGGTACAAAAGAAAGAGAAAAAATAGCATTGCATGCACTGCAGAAGTAGGGAAATGTAACAATGATAAATGACGCTTATAAAACAATGTGATAGCTCTAAAGAAAATAGCTTTGTGAATGATTATGGTTAGGATTGTAATGAATAAAAGCAAGGGCAAGAGTTTAACACAAATGATGTTAGGCTAAAAAATGAAAAGTGTACCATTTTCACAGTTTGTTCCTTCAAAGCCAGCAGGACAGAAACAGACATAACTGCTCCCACCATTGCTATCAAAACAGGTTGCTCCATTCAGACAAGGATTGCTAACACAGGCAAGGATTTCTGAAATGGAGTGGTAAAAAAGAAATAGAAATGAATGGCATTGCATGCACTACAGAAGTAGAAATAAAATGAAACAATGATAAATGACGCTTTTAAAACAATGCGATAGTTTTAAAAAACATGAAGAGTCATTCAATAGCTTTGTGAATGATTATGGTTAGGATTGTAATGAATAAAAGCAAGGGCAAAAGTTTAACACAAATGATGTTAGGCTGAAAAAAATGAAAAGTGTACCATTTTCACAGTTTGTTCCTTCAAAGCCAGCAGGACAGAAACAGGCATAACCACTGCCTCCATTGCTATCGAAACACGTCGCTCCATTCAGACAAGGATTGCTGGCACAGGCTAGGATTTCTGAAATAGTAATTGAAGTGTAGGATTACATGTAAGATAATGTGTAAGGACTATTTTTGTATCAATTTTTCTGTAAATGAAAAAACATAAAATTGAGAGGAATTTCTGAAGTATGAAATCTCTTTTGCAGTGAGGAAGTTAAGAAACAATACTATGACCATACTTAACTAAATTTAGTGATGATTTGATTTTAAAGGATTTACCATTTTCACAGTTTGTTCCTTCAAATCCATTAGTACAGGCACAGGCATAACCACTGCCATCACTGAGGTCAAAGCAGGATGCACCGTTCATACATGGATTGCTACCACATCCAAGGATTTCTATAATTGCAAATAAAACAAATCATATATAAAAATTTGAAAACACATCAAAAATATGTATTACTCTCATTTTCAATAATTCATATGGATTAACATGCCATTGTATTTCGACGCCTGTGTAGTACTTTTTTCAAAGAATTGACAGACGGACATACATACCTCATCGTTAAAAACATGATTTAAAAAGAAAACAAGACAGATGACCAATTCAATGATAAAAGACAGAATAAAAGTACATCAATACAAAATGCATACCATTTGCACAATTTGTGCCTGCAAAGCCATCAGCACAAAGACAGACGTAATTGCCACCACCATTCTGATCATAACAGGCTGCTCCATTCTGACATGGGTTACTGTTACATCCCATAATTTCTAATGCAAAGAAGAAAATTGTCAATAGGACATTAATCAAATGTAGCTGTAGAAAAGTTTCATTTCAGAGTATGAAACATAATCTCTTTATACAGATAAACAGCAATTTCATTGCAAGACTAAAAATAATGTTTGTCACACTTTTTTAACTTTACAATAATTGTTGTACCTAAATGTGTCTTAAACTATTTATCCCTCTCTCTTTCTTTTTGTCCTTCTCGCCATATCTCTCTTCCCTCTCTCTCTTACCTTGTTCCCATCTCTCCAGATTCATAAACAGTAACACAAAATATAGATGTTCATATACTTGATACAGCTATGGAGATACGAAATGTGTCTCCCCTACCCCCCCCCCACACACACACACACACAAAGTAAGGACACACTGCATTGAAATATATACCTCTCCTACATAGATTACCAATTTTCTACAGTGCAATCACTATCTTATTCATGGATCAGAAGCTGCTTAGACATTCCGATAATCGGCACTTTAACACGTGTGTAATAGACATACCCTGTTCACAGTTTGTTCCCTCAAAGCCAGCAGCACAAAGGCAGGCATACCCATTGCCACTGTTTTGATCAAAACATGTAGCTCCATTCTGACATGGACTGCTGGAACATGCCGGTGTTTCTGTGCACACAAAAAAGAATTAAGTTTGTACATTCACAAGATGTTCAAGTTTTTAAGTTTGTTAGATCAGCATTAAGAATATCACTCATGATATAAAAATAGGATTGATTTGACTAAAACAACATTCTTTATTGTATTCTTTATTCTAGATGACATGGATCTTATTTATGAAATTGTACTAAGTTAGTTGCAAACAATTACAAAGGCCATAGTACATACATGTAGTTAGTTGACAACTAGCTCAGTCAAATTTTATGAATGTTGACCCAGAACTGATTCCTTTAAGTTGCAGAAAATATATAGGACAATTTATATTGATGCTTGTTGTATTACATGGTACTTGTATATAAAAGAAAAATTACGAGGATATCCACATGAGATTCATCATATAAAAAATGAAATTGAGGACAATATTATAAGAATAAACATGATCAAATTACCTGATGCGCAAGTGACACCCTCAAAGCCGGGTACACAGATACAGATATGACCTTCACCATTGCTTAGTTCTAAACATGTTGCTTCATTGAAGCATGGATCACTTGCACACGAGATGATTTCTGCAGTCATATACAAATAGTAATAATATATGCTTCACTTAAAAATGAAGAATGTAGGTGAGAAATAACGTAATCTCATCATTGTGCGAGCAGTCAAAGTCACAAATATAATCCATTATCTTATAGAGTCATTTTGTAATTAAACAAATTGGTTGTTAAAAAAGATATATATCTACAACTGGTAATATGTATCACAAATGTCTGCATAATTTCATAGATTTCAAAAAAACATGTATAGCTTTGAGACTCCCTATAGACAGAGTCCCTATTTCTTATACTCACAGTTCGTTTTTGAGTGTAAGGTTAATGTTAATCTACTTTGAAATAGTATGCATGTAGTGTAAAAAATAAATTAAAATGTAATGATTAAAGCAACATAAAACATTTTTTTTATATGAAAGTCGATAAACAAAACTTACCAGCTTCACAATCGATTCCTTCAAATCCTGCTACACACAGGCAAACATAGGTACCACCATTGGCATGCTCGAAGCATGTGGCTCCATTCTGACAAGGGTTGCTGGCACAAGGCAGGATTTCTATTTAAAAACAGCGGAATTATATTTCATATCTTTCCTAAAACAGCAATATATGACAAACGTTGTCATCAATACCATTCTACATACATCTTTTATCATAGCATGTCCCTCTTCTAAATACCAATGTAAATTGAATACTACATGTGCACTGAAACCAATGATGGAATTAACTAAAAGGTAATCTAATTGGATCCATAAGATATTATGAAGTTGGAATTTATGAAAATAGATTAACATTACTTACAATCTTTTATCTTACACATTAACAAAGAAATAGCTTCCGTTTGCATTTATTTTGCATTTAGCTTGCAGTTTAATATATGTTTTAAACCACCTGAATATCACAGAGGTATTTTATCAATCACTGATTTGCTTGAACTTGTTAACTCACTTGCATCTGTTAATTTGAATTGCACAATGATGAATTCAAAATAAAATTATTTATAGATCTCAATGTAATATATGAGTTTTAACTGATATGAATATATATGCACATTATCTAATTATCTAATTACTTTATCATATATTAGATTAGACAACCGATTGAATACATGTATGATCACCAATGAGGAATTGGAAGTACCATTTTCACAGCGTAAGCCCTCAAAACCAGGTAGGCACTGGCAAACAAAACTGCTTCCAGTTGAGTGCTCATAACAGCTTGCTCCATTCATACAAGGGTTGCTGGCACAGGGAAAGACTTCTACATATGATGAATAGAGTGTGAATGATACACAAGGGCATACATGAACATTGTCCGAGTTATAATGGAGAGAAATGTATTAAAGCATGAAAGGAATGGCACCTATTTTTCTAGCCTTACAATTGCAATTTGTTTAATGAAGGGAGGAAAGGAATATAGCAATATATTAAAAGGTCATAAGTATTGGATCTAAAAATATGTTAAGCAAGTATTCTCTCAATGTTTTGTGATGATTCCCAAGAATGAAAATATAAATAAAAATGAACTAGGGCATCGAGCACCAGACATATAATCTAGAACCACTTCACCATCTTAAGTATAGATTTGACATACATGTAGGAAATCTATAGCATTAATTTAAACACCAGTAGAAATAATAAATTGAAACAGGTATATGATTGCCAATTACCAGATGGTCATGTTGCTAAGATAAGAGAGAAAATAAAATTGTGATAGCTATATGATATCCAATCACCAAAGTCAAGGTAATGGTGATAAGATAAAAAAGAATGTACCATTTTCGCAATTTTTGCCATCATAACCTGATGCACATAGACATACATAATTGTCCAGGCTGAGATGTTCAAAGCATGTACCTCCATTCTGGCATGGGCTACTATCACATGGGAAAAATTCTGATTGAAAGAGTATATATAAAACGATTTTGAATTTGAGTTTGAGTTTGAGTTTAAGTTTGATTTCATATTTCACATGCAGAAATAATACAGATAACAAAATATACATAAAAGACATAGGGTGGTATTCTCATAAATTATGCTGCGACTAAGTCCAGACTAAACTAGAATTCAAGTTCACACTTCTATGGGATACTAGGTTTCATCTTCCTCCTTCAATATTCATGACAAAGATAATCTATCAAAGACTTTGTTGAAATTCAGTTCATACTCATATTATCTTTTTCTTCCTATTTCAATGCAAAATTTATTTTTTGGACACTTTTCATTGAAGGATTAAAATAATCTGTACAGGGTAAATGAGTTGGCAACAGGCACTCCATAAAAGTGTGGACTAATTAAGCACGCGCTAACTTAGTACGCCCTACCGGAATACCACCCATATTGTTTCATAATTTAAATTAAAAAATCATTATAGTAATTGATAAGGTAATCAGACTACAAAGTTACATGTCATCACATTTGTTTGACAACTAATATCATTTAAAGGAAACCCAGACAAAAGTACAAACTGTGAAATGTGCAGGAACCTATAGAAAAGCAGAGCTTGTAAAGAATAGGTTCCTGGGAGACTTGAAAAAATGACAGGGACAGAAAATGTTTACTGTAGAGAGAGGTACACAATAAAAATTAAGACAGCAGTAATTTGACAAATAATTGTTGAATAGTGTGGTGTAGAAACTTTTAAATTCTGGCACTTAAAAGGACAAAGAATCTTCCCCAGGAAAAGGAAGTTGATCTATCATACACAAATAAAGGATGGAGTTGGATGTCAACAGAAATGCTTTTTTTTTAAACCTTTGTGAAACGGGTAACTGCTAAAGCACAACCACAGCAAATCTTAGTAAAATCACATCAATTCATTGAGTCTTCACAGCAAAATACATGACACTTAAACAAAAAGCATATAATGATAATATGAATGGCAAAAAGTTTGCTCAGAGTTATCAAAAACATAAAAACAAACAATATTTTTCATGTAAAAACTTTCACTGCGTTCACAAAGCCAGAAATATTACTTGTTTACTTCAAATATTAATGTAGTAGGAAGGGCAATATTTTATCTTGCCTCATGAAAGGTTTTATTACTAATATGATATACATTGTATGATTTATAAACTATATAGCTAGTATTCTGAAGGCTTTGCTACTAATGCTTGACATTGGAAATCAATTTTGAGCGAATGTGTACGAGACGGTAAGCAATGAAAGGTTTCAGGCACAATATGAAGTCAAATACCTGTTTGGCAACGATCTCCTGTGTAACCTATTTGACATTGACAGAAATAGCTTGTAAAGTCATCTTCGCCTGCAAAGCATATACCTCCATTCAAGCACGGGTCAACAGTACATCCAGTTGTGGTAACTAGTAGATAAAAGCAGTCATCAGTACATGTTAAGTAGGGGTAGATAATTAGGGTTGAAATATAAATTAATAAAAAGCTTTCAAATTGTGTACTAATTCTACTCTGTTATAAAGGAAAAAGACACTAATAGAATAAAATATCTTTCTTTGCGATTACTTGAGATGAATATTTCAATGCACACTACTTTTATGATATAAACATGATCAATTTCATTCAACAGAAAAGCTTAAGAATTCTTGACTTGCTATCCATACTACCTAAATCAATGCTTTAAAATAGCATTTATTACCTTTGGTACTTCGATTTCTAAGGTCCAAGGAGTAAAGCAATACAAAGAATAAAAGCATGTGTTTACCTAGCTGACACAGAGCACCAGCGAATCCCTCTGGACAAGCACACTGGAATGTATTCAGATGGCTGGTACAAGTTCCTCCATTCATGCAGGGGTTAGGATCACAATTATTCTGCAGAGGTTCAGCACAGGTAGGCCCTTGCCAATCAGCTGTACAGCTACAGAAGAAGTTTTCGCCATTGACATCCTCAAAGCAAACAGCTCCATTCAGACAGGGCTCACTCATGCAGGCTCCAATAACTACAATCAAGAGATCATTCATAAATCTTTAAATTCTGAAGTTACTGGTACTTTTATATTTAAAAAAAATTTTTAAAATAATTTTATATAGAACATGTGTAAGGTATATTCACTTCCTAGAGAAATACAATTCAATTTTGAAGTATGGGCAAGTCTAAGATACTTGGTCATTTTTTTCTTCCATACAATACCAAGAATTGTGGAGTATTGAACATGACCCAACTTCCAAAGCTCTAGTAGGGCTATAAACGTAAACCAATCATCAGACATAATAAATTCTTACACACGGTTGGTAATGTACGGGACGGAATAGCTTGGACTTGCCCATATATATTTTGATCAAAGCATTATTATACATAAAATTATAAATTACCGTTTTCACAGAGATCTCCAGAGAAGCCTAAGCGGCAGAGACACATGAACTGTGTTCCATCTTCCACACAGGCAGCACCATTACGACAAGGATCAGGATTGCATGGTGTTAGAGCGACCTCACAGTTATCTCCTTGGAATCCATCAGGACAGAGGCAGTAATACCCAGACTCGTTTGTCTCCTGCTGGAAACAATCCGCTCCATTCTGACAGGGTTGGAGGTCGCACGCCATTTGGACTGGAAGAGCAAGTGAAGAGAAACAAGATGAAATCAAAGTGGAATTATTCATTTACATATTTTTTTCTTGTAAATGATCACTGCCAGCATAAAATGATGATAAAGTTTTTTACAATGTATATATCCAATTTGTGTAATTCATGTGCAATTCAGTTGTGAAACTGCCATTCATGAAAGATGCAATAAAATACCATTTATCTATCTATCTATGCCTATGCAAGCACTTGGAGGTAAAGAAATTCAACAAGTTTCTCCAAATTGCCTTTGAGCTCAACATAAGGCAAAATTCTGTTTTTATGAATTAATTAGTTGGTGGATTGGAGTAAGGGATAAAGACCACAATGACAACATATCCAGCTGTAATCTTTGTATCACATCTTACCATTTTCACAGTTAGTTCCAGTAAATCCAGTTGGACACTGACAGAAAAAGCCATTGTTGTTAGATGCCTCAAAACAAACTGCTCCATTCTCACACGGCATGCTGGAACAGGACTCCAATGCTGTAAATGGGAGAAAATAGAAGAAAGAGAACATATTGAGTAAACATTTATAAATGTTTCCACACTCACCTGACACTTCAGCAATATTTTCAAGATAAACAGTACAGGAAACAATCAATAAATAATTTCAAGTACTATTAAATGCCCAGATTAAAAGAAATCACAGCCAAGTACGCTCCCATTTAGGGAAAAGAACTCAGTTATGTTGGACATCAACGGTTATGAACAAAAATTAAATAGTGAAACTCTCTATCGAAATTTAATTTGCGTCATGAACTTATGGAATTATGATACATGGTGTATCAAATAATTGCCAATATTCACATACTGCAGGATGATCAAATTAAAATCCAAGGATAATTTGTCTCACCTGTTTCACACATAGATCCAGTAAATCCATCTGGACACTGACAGAAGAATGAAGTCTGTTGGTTGACACAGGTAGCTCCGTTCATACATGGATTTATAGGTTGACATGGGTTAGAAGCCTGACTACAATCCACTCCTTCCCATCCTGGTTCGCAGAGGCATATGTAAGCTTGACTACCACTGCCCGACACGAAGCAAGTGGCTTCATTCTGACATGGGTTGTTCGTGCATCCACTTATTGCTACAGGGATAGCCAAGATTAATCAAGTTTTAAAATCACTGGTTAAATACGGTAGTATTATTAATACAAAATTGTTACTTTCATTATTGTGTGTGCTGTGGATATAACTATCTGGATAACCAGTTCATATTTACCCTACAAGTGTTGAATTCAATCATATTCAGTTTTTATTTTTCATTTTCCTAGGTGACATTCATGCATAAGTCATATATACAAGACATGGTCCAGGAAAATATATTATGAAATCATTTAGATTCTTAAAGCAAAATGAATATTATCACAACTGGCATGTCACACTCCACTCTCCATGAAGGTTAATTCAGATTTAAGATAAATATTGCAAAAGTCTGATACCACAAATGAAAACTAAGGAAAGGACCTCTCACCTGTTTCACACATCATTCCTTCAAATCCATCAGCACACAAGCAGTTGTATGATGTCTGAAGGTTATTACATGTAGCTTCATTCATACATGGGGAAGACGCACATGCATCTATGGCTACTTCACACATAGATCCTTCCCATCCGGCTTCACATAGACAGAAGAAACCTCCACTAGACTGGCCACTCTCAAAGCATGTTGCACCGTTCTCACATGGGTTGGTTGCACATGCTACCAGGACTATGCAGGAAGAGAGTGACAAAGTCCAATAAAGCCTTAATTACAAAATGCCACTGCCTTTCATTATAGCATAAATACCATTGCAGTGCAAAAGATGTATCTATCCTTGTTTTCTTACTTACTGTTTAAAATGAGATTTTAAGAACATATTTCGGATCAGCAAATTGTTTATCTTAGTAATAATGTAAATACATGATGCTTCAGTTACCCATGTTTGGATAAATTAAATACATAACATTGATCATTGATACAAAAAGGACTACCCCCCCCCCCCAGTCCAACAAATAGCAAAAGAAACCAATGAAATAAACGTTTTAAAAAAATAAACGCCTCTACAACAATTTTACAAAATATGACAACACACAATGAACTTGTCAGCACATCAAGAATATCAAGTTTTGACCTATTACTCATAAGAGCTCATACCTGTTTCACAACTTGCCCCTCCGAAACCATCAGGGCATGTACACGTAAAGGATGATTGAAGGTCGTTACAGGTAGCACCATTGAAACATGGGTTTGGATCACAAGCATCTATAGCCATATCGCAGTCTTCACCTTCCCAGCCAGGCATGCAGAGACACAGGTATGATGTAGATTCGGCGCTGACAAAACAAGCAGCATCATTCTGACACGGCTCAGCATTGCATGGTGATTCCACTACAGTTAAATAGAGATACAGCAGAATTATCATTTTGTAATCAAAATGGTAAAAAAAAATTAATTTGCACGAAATAATTTATTCTCAACTTCTTGTAGAGATAAAGAGGTATATCAATGAACTTGAAATTATAGAATTGCACATAAAAAAATACATGAAATGTGTACTACATGCACAAAGTCAACCCTTTCAAGGTTGCTACATTTATGTGCAAGCAAAATATGATGTTCATAGCTGTATCATGTCACAAAAGGTGATTTATTAAGATCATGATTTCGTGGCAATTTGGAGTAAACAGCAATTCAACCTACCATCTTCGCAATTCTGTCCTGTAAATCCTGCAGGGCATTCACAGGTGTATGATGTCTGCATGTTGGTACAGGTAGCTCCATTCTGGCATTGTGAGGGGTCACAGAGGTCCACAGGTGTATCACAGACGGTTCCTTCCCATCCAACGGGACATATACAGACAAACTCATTCACATAGGCACCTTCAAAGCAGATTGCTCCATTCTGACATGGACTGCTGTTACAGGCATTGATTTCTGTAACAAGGAAAACTTTGTAATGAGCGTGTAAGAACTACATGATTTACAGGGTAAAATGCAGCAGGTTAAGAAACTGAATATATCAAAATATCAACTACACTAGAGAGCATGATTCCTGATTTCAACTCTTTTAAACCTTATGAATTATCACATTATATAGGAAATTGGTGGCCATGTAGCTATCCTAAGCTCAGTGATGATGGCCTTTAACTAATCAAAACCTTTCGAAATTGGAAAGAACTTCTCTCAAACTGACACAAGTTGGAAATACTGATCTGTTTCTTGCCCTACCGATATGACAATGTACTTACCTGTCTCACAGTTAGCTCCTTCATATCCAACAAGACACCGACATACATATCCACCGTTCAAACCATCAAAGCAAATAGCATCATTCTGGCATGGGCTGCTAGCACAGGCTTGAAGGACTGGAATAAGCAAAAAATAAGTATAAAATAATAAAATTGCATTTGGTTAAAGATGTATGTATACAATTTAATTTCAAATAATAAAAGCTTGTATGCATACAACTACTGACAAAATGGTAGTCAATTTTTATCCACAAAAGCTTTTCTTAAAATTTTAAAGCACATTGTAAACATGCATCAAGAAAAGTACCAATTCAAATCGTTTTTGAATGTGAATGCTTTTATGACATTGATTTCAGAACACCAAACAAATTTACATTTCATTTCATTTATTTCATTTCATTTATTTTCCACATTAAAAACCAGAAGAATATACAAGGTAAGAAAATACATTTTATACATCTGACACAGAGCAAATGAAAAACAGAGACATAAGCATAAAAGAACAATGAAAATCTACATCAGTTAACAAACATCATCATTAAAACATAAAAAGGTGAGTAACGTAGATGGGGCTAGAAAAAGCGAAGCTTATCGAGTCTAGCCCCGGTAGCAATGAAGAGGAAGTCCACCCTGAGAATGTGTGTGGCCAAGTAAAGGCGGAGTAAACCCATCCTCAGGGTGGACTCTCCCTTCAATTGTCATTTGTATGGAACAAGAAGGATGTTAACTCGTATTATTTTACAAAGGCTTAATACCCTTCTGGCTCCAAACATGATGATTTTTATATAAATCATAAAATGGTAACACACTTTGTTCTAATTTAATCTATGCATCTTGTACTATATTTCATCAAAGAAGTGGCAAATTTAGGTTTACGGTAAATATTACATTTGCCACATTCGACCCAGGTGAGGGAAATCAATACCTGGCAGGAGTTAATTTCTTAAAATGCTAGAGCGTCGTAATTGCAGCCATGCTAAAGCCGGGGTAATAATTTCCAAAGCTCTTTGGAAGCGCATAGAGACGTTATAATGTATTATACAACACCTACGTGGATCCCTATCATTTGATTGGAGGATTGTTGGTCACATGATATTCAATAGATGGTATATTGCACGGTCGTGCATTTTTGGTTATATGCAGACTGCGTACCTCTCTGCCGTGCGCGCGCGTATCCCTGCGTGTATCTGACGCGAAGGCAATCTGAATGTAATCGAGAAGGCTTGAATCCAACTTGAATTTATCTTTAATATAAGGAGTAAAGCATAATTTGTTGATTAACGTTCTATTAGATCTTCTTCGATGTTGTATAAAACAAATAATGAATGTTTTTCATTCGTTCAATGGTGCGAATTTTTTCATTCGTTGAAAGATTAACATTAATTCTATTCAACTCGGCTGACGTCTCGTTGAATAGAATGTTAATCTTTCAACTCATGAAAATATTCACACTATTGAACTCATAACCATTCATTATTTGTATAATATGCGCTATATTAGAACCAAATATTATTTTAGAGGTTACTACCGATGCTATCTAAAGTTACAACTATGCCTATGAAAAGGGAATTGTTGTCTCTTACCAGTTTCACAGTTGTCCCCTCCGAATCCAGCAGCACATTGGCACATGTAAGATGTCTGCATGTTAATACAGACTGCGCCGTTCTGACAGGGGGCTTCGTCACAAAGGTCAGAGGGCATCTCACAATTGGTCCCTTCCCAGCCCATGGGGCAGGAGCAGAAGTACCCACTGCTCTGGGACTCAAAGCAGACACCTTCATTACGGCAAGGGTTACTGCTACAAGCTGCGGGTATACCTGAAAGATGAAGTGTACCAGATGAAAGTTGAATTGATGAACATTATTTTACTTACTAACAAATAGTCATGTGTAGCAAAGATTCTATCCCATGCATTTCTACATGTGTACTTTACCAAATTGTACATTGGTGTTTTCTTGTAATCATGGGGCACCAATTAAAGAGACAACTAGATGAATCTTTGACTACACGCAGTCAAAAATGATGCCTCCGTCATAGAGCGATTTTACAAACCACAGCAGAATCAATTTTTTTTAAATTCAAGTTTGATTGTAATCCATCAACAGGTTCTCAGAATATCGAGATTACAAGCTATTTTTCATATACATGTATGACCCTTTAAAATTTGACCTCAGAACTCTAAAATCTAATCCGCTCATTGGCTCAGCAAGATACATACATGCCTCAAGTTTGATGGTAATCTGTCAATCGGTTCTAATGATAGTGTGTTCAGGAGCTATTTTTGCACACATGATTCCTGTGACCTATGACCTGGGACTTTTGACCTCGTGACCCTAAATTCTAATCAGTCCATTGGCTCTGCAGGATACATACATGACCCGTGTTTGGTGGGGATACATCAATCGGTTCTTGAGATGAGGTGATTACAAGAACGAGACGTACAGATGTACATGTACATACAATACGTACATACGGACAGACGGTCCTGAAAACCTAATGCCTCTGGCTACTTCGTTGCGGAGGTATAATAAAAATGTTAACTGTTAAAGTACAATACTTGAAATTACTAACCCTTAAGGAAGACAAGAATACGAGCGGATTGGAAAGAAGTATATTATGACTCTGTTAATGTATATATTTTCCTTTTGTGTTTAATCTATAAAGAAAATTTACTTACTTGATTCACAGTTTGTGCCAGTTACTCCGGTAGGGCAGACACATAGATAATTTCCTGAATTATCCTGTTGAAAGCATGTGGCTCCATTTAGGCATGGGTCTGCATTGCAGGGTGTTAGAACTGACAATAAGTAGACATAAAATAAAGAACAGTTAAATAGAATGTTCATCTGATATCACTATTTACCAATTCAAAATCAAATATACATAATGTAAAATAATATACATCATATACATAATGTATGTATATCATATAATGATCCTGAAAGATTGATTTTTACAAAAGTAACAAATGACAAAATAAATGTGGTAGTATACTCAGACTTAAGCAAATTCATATATCATTAATTTGAGTGAAAACAATTATTTTGTTTCATTCCAACGATCTCTTCGTCCAATACCTCAGTATCTGCATGGGGTGTGGAAATTTGAGTGAAAGTTCAATTATCATGCTCCAGGGTAATCAGGAAAATTAATGAGAAAATACAATTATATAGAAAACGAACACAATATATGTTGTGCAATTTGTGATCGTAATGACATACCTTGGCAGTATTGTCCAGAAAACTGAGATTCACAGATACAAACAAAGCCAATTGGTAGATCAAGACATATAGCAGTGTTCTGGCACGGAGCTCCTGAGCAATCAGTTATATCTGTTAATAGATGCAGAAAGTGGGATTTCAATGTCTGAAAGGATTTTTTTTCCCTTAATAAAGCATATGATTTTATATTTGAAACTTTTAGAAAGCATCAAAAATTCCTCATGTGAAGAGGAGACCAATTATCCTTTTAACAAAACAAAACCTGACACATATAAGGATAACGCGTCTTTCACATGACCTGACTCGGGGCCAATCAGGTACGAATATAGACGACGTCACCACAGTATTCATGTGCAACATACGCTAAACCAAAGCGTGAGGAGAACTTCGCTAAAGCTAGCGCGCGCAGACCGTTAATCAAGTCCATTTATTTATGTGCAGTTGTCAAAAAGAAGTGGTAGATGGCATTAACTAGTAACATTTGCCATGCTTCACCCCCTTTAAGGTAGGTACTGACTAGATGAAAGATCTACTGCCATGCACTGGTACATTTATATAATGATATCGCAATAAAAAGAAAACTCAGACAAAATGTTAAAAACGGGAAAATAATACAAATCATGGTGAAAAACTTGTACTTACCAAGCTCGCAATTAGTGCCTGTAAATCCTAGAGCACAAATACACTGGTATTGTACACCATCCAGACTGCAAGTAGCTCCATTTTGACAGGGACTGGACTCACATGGGTCAACTTGTTGTACTGTTTGAAACAAAAAACAGAAAACTTGTTCAATACATCTTTATTCTTGAGAAGATTATATAGAAAAGAATGAGCATGTTCAATTAAGCCCAAAGTTGCAAGTCGCAGTGAATTAAAGACATGACGCTCAACGGCTCAATGAAACACGGGGATGAAGTAAAAATCAGACAACTACAGCTCAGTACACAAACACCGCGCCTCCGTTGCATACGTGATGATGTGGATGTAACCAGGGAACTCTTACCATGAACCTGCCGCCACTGCCGCCCCCGCCGCTGCTGCAGTGCACCCACGCTAGCCTACTTTGAGTGCTGTGCATGTCCACCATCAAACTTTGTTGCGAGTTTTGTCCTTAAAATGTGATCACCTCTAGTTTCACAACCAGTATTACACCACGTCAGCCATGCTTTACACTGGCCGTTTATACCCTTTACTAATAACTTCAAGAAAATGTGGTATACTTACATGACGGGCTCCCGTTTCGGTCAGATCGAATTTGTCGCGCTAGTGCTAAACGTACGTACCGTACATAAACAACACGGCACTTTAATTTGCATACTACATATTCGGGTATGGCCGAAATTATAGAAACTCCAGTGGGCCACTCAACAATAAAGGGGGGGGGGGGGGGGGGGGGGGGGGGGAGCACTTATTTTTTGGGGGGTCCTCGAAAATTTGAAAATCGCACCCCCCCCCCCCCCCCCCCCCCCCCCCCCCCCTGAGCGCCAGGGGAGGGGGCGCATCTAAAAAAAAAAAGGTAAAACTAACGGTTTTTCCCCCAGAGGAGGGGGCCTGCGGGCCTCCCCGCCCCCTTGCACAATCCAGTGCCTGTGCGCCCTCCCAAATATGTACGTCTACTTAAATTATAGTTTACAGGTATAGGTTGTGAGCACTAATTTTTTTTGGGGGGGCCTCGAAAATTTGAAAAATTGCATCCCCCCCCCTCTTGAGCGCAAGGGGAGGGGGCCCATCTCCAAAAAAAAAGGTTAAATTAACGTGTTTTTTCCCCAGGGGAGGGGGCCCGGCCCTTCCCCCCCCCCCCCTCGGATCTGCCACTGCCCACACCATCCCGCCCCCCCTCCCCATATAGCCGCTCCCCGCCCCCTTGTACAATCCGGTGCCTGTGCCCCCTCCTGAATATATACCTCTACTTAAATTATAGTTTACACTGAGAGAAATCGGTGGCTAACTTTGATCTTCTTTTCTTTTCGTAGAGATCAGGAAAATAAAGCACTAAAATTTTTCATTTAGGCCTACAAAAATAGCAGTCATTAATTTGCCCTCTTTTTACCACTAAACAATTACGGTAGGCCTTAGTTTGTGATCAGCAGTCAAATTTTTCATCATAATGATAATAAATATAATTAAAAGCTATACATACTGGCTCCACAATCGGTTCCTCCAAATCCAGTCGGGCATACACAGAAATAGGTGTCGGTGTTTGAAAAGCTTCGGAAACAGGTCCCTTCGTTCAAGCATGGATTGTTAGCACATGGGCTATCCACTGAAATGACATAAATGCGCATGGATTAACATTATATAGCTTAGAATAAATGGAGGATATTTTCCGTCAATATTACCATAATGCTACTAAAACTTTTAGTATAATATACCCGCAATATAGCATTTACCCTTTTCCCCAGCCATCTTTCTTTCTGACTGTCTGACTCTCTCTCTCTCTCTCTCTCTCTCTCTCTCTCTCTCTCTTTCAGTCTTTCTCTAATGTTTCTTTCATCGCTTTTATCAGTTTAAATCTGTATGTATTACAAATTTCAGTGATTACTTCAATTTTATTATTATGATCATTTTAATGGAAAGGAGATCGAAAATTCGCTGCAATATTGAGAATATCGAGAAATAGAACATCAGAGCTACAGTCAATTAAAATTAAGGTGCTATTACGTTTCTATTCACTAACCTGTTTCACAGTTTGTTCCAGAGAATCCAGATTGACATGAACACACGTAACTATTACCATCAGCAGACGTAAAGCAAGCACCTCCGTTCTCACATGGTGCAGAGTCACAAACAGATGCTGTAAGATAACATCAAAGGTATATATATTTATACGAAAGGGAAGAGCCGATTGAAAGTATAGTTAGAGTAAAAACGAAAGAATGAAGAAGGGCACATACATTTATGAGTAGGCCTACAGCAGAGAGTTGGTACAGTAACAATACTATTCAGTATTATTCGACCGTATCTGTGTCGGAAGGATATACATAATTATGATTCTCGATCTCACCTCTCCTTTTATGTTTTATCCGACTGTCAAAACTATTCAGACCACAGAAGTAATTCCTTTTATTGCATTAAATTATGATTTTGAGCGGCAATGAGCGCCAATTGCTAAATTATGGAGTCCCGGTGCAAACAATTATTTTGTTTCATTCCAACGATCTCTTCGTCCAATACCTCAGTATCTGCATGGGGTGTGGAGTTTATAGGTTTATTTATTCTATAGATTTAACCAAGAGATGTTGACTCTTACTAATGTTACAGTGTATTTAACCCTCAATTCTATGTTTAATACTTCTAAAAATATTTGTTCTTGTTATATACTTTGAGGGAAGACTTACCCATCGGAATAGAGGTTTGACAATTCGATCCAGAGAAGTCTTGGGAACACTGACAGAAGTATGAGATGCCATCCAACGAGCCGAAACATGTACCACCGTTTTCACATGGCAAGCTGCCACACGTGTCGATTACTGTGACAATTATTTGAACAGAACATAAGTTATTTTTTTCATAGTGAATGAATGCTTTGAAAATAATTTCACACCTCTGAAAAACATTCGTCATGTATCATATCAAGTACAAGATCCACACGAATTATAATGTCTAATAATCTAAATCATTTTAAAGCAATATTATCAATGTCTTAATAATCGTGTTTGGTTCTTGTTCAACACCTACCTGCTTCGCAATTATCTCCCGTGTAACCCATAGGACACGCACAGAAATATCCAGATTCGTCTGCAGACATGAAGCATTCACCCCCATTTTGACATGGGGCTGAATCGCAAGGTGAAGCTAAGATAAGTCGGGGGAAAACGATAAATAGGAGGTAAAAAATATCAATCTTTGACCAAAAATGCATGAAATTTACTCTCTCTCTCTCTCTGTTTATGTTTCTACCAAAATATTTGTTTAAATACACAAGATAGTTTGAAAGTTTTATCTATTGTATTCTGAATGTAGGTACCATTATCTTTCTGACATACCTATTTGTGTTGCCGTTTCACAGAGCACACCTACAAAGTGAGCCACGCACAGACAGGTAAATGAGGAACTATCGGCTGCTGAGTAACATGCAGCTCCGTTCTGGCACGGCTCACTCATACACGGGTTAACAACTGCTTGGAAAGAGAAGAAAAAAAAAGATTATATACATTTTTATACCTCATAATTCCACATGTATTAAACAAAACACGTATTACGCCATGAGTTTACTAGCTTTACGGGATTTTTGTTCTTACACGGTAATGTACATCTGCATATTATTTTTCACATTAACGCAATCCGGAGTTATGACTGAATTATCAATAATTATTTCAAAATTCCCATCACTTTTGATATATTTCCTTTGTATTTTTATGTAACACATATATTTTTGTTTCGTGCAGGTAACACAAAGTACCATATGAATAAAGAACAAATTTACACGTTGTAGGAATTTCAAGTTTAAGTTCAAGTTCAAGATTATTAGTCATCTTAAATTGGTTAAAATCTCTAATTGATAACCCATGCACCTCAGAGGGAAGAGTAACATCTTTCTTCGATTTTCAATTCTAAAAGCCTATATAATTCTGCAGGTAATGGTCTATTTATCAAAGCTTAAAGCCAACACCGAATTAATACCAATACTACATGTATTAACATATTTTCTTACCGGTAGGAGCATCAGTAGTCGCTAATTCACAGTTCATTCCAGAAAATCCCGGTGGACAGACGCAGGTGTAATCAGTATCATCACCACTCATAAAACATCTGCCACCATTCTGACATGGGAGCGATGTACAAGAGCCTGTGGCTGAAGAAATAAAAAGGAAAATAGAAACAAATAAAAATGATGTTCCTATGAAGATGAAGTTAAGGTCCGTTCCACTTTCATAATCGTTTTTTTTTCAGATGGTATGACATAGTTTGCGAGCACAAACCCTTGTTAGTCGTAGTGTGACAGTGTCTGCACTTTATAGACTACGTACAGCAGCTAGCTCTGTAGCTGCTTCTGACATTGCCAGAAACTGACAGAACTAATTAGGCTCTGCTCATGGCTCTACGAACCGTGGTATTTAATCAAATTAGAGTTTTGTGCATGCAGACGAGGTATAATACTCAAAACGCCGTCGCCAGTGTCATATGCATATGACACTGGCGACGGCGACCGCGAGTAAGACCGGTGCCGCCCCTTTCCCATGGGAAAGGGGCGGCACCGGTCTTACTCGATGGATGAATGCAAATTGACGAGGTCCATCTTACCGTCGTCCACCCCCATCCCCCCTCTCTCTCTCACACACACACACATACACACACCCACACGCACGCACACGCACACACACACACACACGCCTCTTGACCAACTAACTGCCCTATATCGCTGGTTAAAATAGCTTTAGCTTTGCCTAATCTCTTTTCTATCAAGCAGTTTTGACTTACGAGGGGCAACCGTTGTTTGCTGTACCGTCAGGACCGCCTCACAATTTGTACCAAAAAAGTTTCCCGGACAAATACATCTATAGGCTGTGTTGTCTGACTGAGCAAAACACTGTCCGCCATTTTGACATGGCTCCGACATGCATGGATTCATAACTATTGATAAGAAATAACGGGGGTTATTAAGAGTTATAATGTATTATATTTTTGTAACATCATGAATAATATGTAATTAAAGACACAATTAGATATATATAAAGAGAAGTGAATTGTCTGAAGTTGAAACCGGGATATTGTTGCATAGCCATAGGTGACAAGAAGACACAAACAAAATATTAATTTCTACGACACGTGAAAAATTCCTCAATCTTGCTTAAAAGGGGAAATAAAATCTCTATATGACTTTCAAAAAGACATTGAGTCAAAAAGCAACTCCATAATTTATTATTCACTCAGTTGTGACGCCTTGACCGTTTATCTCAGATTAAGATTACGACAAAATTATGTCATTACTGGCATGGTAAATATTTTCTTACCGGTAGGAGCAGCAGTAGTCGATGTAGATAATTCACAGTTCATTCCAGAAAATTCAACTGGACAAAGGCAGGTGTAATCGGTATCATCACTACTCATAAAACACATGCCACCATTCTGACACGGAGATGAGATACAAGGGCCAGTGGCTAAACACAAAAAGATAAAAGAAACCAAAAGAGTTATAAGATATGTTGATAAAGGTGATCTGAAAGTCATTCTCCACAGAGTCTTTCAGATAGAATCACAGGATGAATCCTAGCATATGACTGTATTATAAAAAAAAAACATCTTCATCACCATTTTTCCAATGTTACAGTTAATTGAATTCACATATCTCTATACATTTTATTTGTTTATATGTAAACATTTATTCATTTTTGCCAGCAATATTTCATATCTTGTATTTAAAAAAAAATCTTTTTTCGTTGTTTTGTTTTCTTGTTACTACTTTAATGTTTTGATTTGAAAATGTATTCATTGTTATATATTTGTCCTCATTTGCTATGTTATCTTTATGTTTTTGAATGCTTTTTATATTGATGTAAATTTGCATTTTTAGTCTTCGGACTTGTTGACAAGTAATGAATAAAACCTTACTTGAACTTGAACTTGAACTTGAACATGGGGGGGGGGGGGCAAAGTTAATCTCGGAGCATGAATGCAAATAAATATCCCCTGTCTCTCTCTCTCTCTCTCTCTCTCTCTATATATATATATATATATATATCTCAAACTCCCTCTCTCCAGCTCTCTCTCTCTCTATCTCTTTATCTCTCTTTTATATGTATACAGACTAAATCATTTTTTCTTATTACCGGTAGGAGCAGCAGTCACTTCAGTAAGCGCTGACAATTCACAGTTCATTCCAGAAAATCCTGTTGGACAGACGCAGGCGTAATCAGTATCATCACCACTCATAAAACACAGGCCACCATTCTGACATGGAGATGAGATACAAGGGCCAGTGGCTAAACAAAAATAGATAAAAGAAACCAAAAGACATAAAAGATTTGTTGATAAAGGTGATCTTAAAATCATTTTCAAAATTCAAAAGAGTATTTCGGATGGGATCACAGGATGGACATTATAAAAAAACATCTTCATCACCACTGGGGGGGGGGGGGCAAGTTAAACTCGGACTCCCCCCCCCCCCCCCCCCCCCCTCTCTCTCTCTCTCTACGATCTATCTCTCTCTTTCTCCTGAGCTCTCTCCCGAGATCTCTCTTTGTTATAATCAGACTAAATCATATTTTCTTACCGGTAGGAGCAGCAGTCACTGCAGTAAGCGCCGACAATTCACAGTTCATTCCAAAAAATCCTGTTAGACATACGCAGGTGTAATCAGTATCATCACCACTCATAAAACAGAGGCCACCATTCTGACATGGAGTTGGGATACAAGGGCCAGTGGCTAAACACAAAAAAATGAAAGAAACCAAAAGAGTTATAAGATACGTTGATAAAGGTGATCTTAAAGTCATTTTCAAAAGATGGCACACGACTTTATAAAAACATCTTCATCACCACTTAGGGGGGGGGGGGGCAAAGTTAAACTCGGTGAATGAATGAAAAAAAATCCTCCTCTCTCTCTCTCTCTCTCTCTCTTTATGTATACAGCCTTAATCGTATCTTCTTACCGGTAGGAGCAGCAGTCACTGCAGTAAACGCTGACAATTCACAGTTCATTCCAAAAAATCCTGTTGGACATGCGCAGGTGTAAGCAGTATCGTCACCACTCATAAAACACAGGCCACCATTCTGACATGGAGATGAGATACAAGGACCAGTGGCTAAACACAGAAAGATAAAAGAAACCAAAAGAGTTATAAGATATGTTGATAAAGGTGATCTGAAAGTCATTTTCAAAAGAGTCCTTTAGATGGGATCACACGATTGAACCCAGCACATGACTGTATTATATTATAAAAAAACATCTTCATCACCACCGGGGGGGGGGGGGGGAGTTAAACTCAGTGCATGAATGCAAATAAATCCCCCCTCTCTCTATCTCTCTATCTCTCTCTTTCTCTCGAGCTTTCTCTCGATTCTTACCGGTAGGAGCAGCAGTCACTGCAGTAAGCGCTGACAATTCACAGTTCATTCCAAAAAATCCTGTTGGACAGGCACAGGTGTAATCTGTATCATCACCACTCATAAAACACAGGCCACCATTCTGACATGGAGATGAGATACAAGGGCCAGTGGCTAAACAAAAATAGATAAAAGAAACCAAAAGACAGATATGTTGATAAAGGTGATCTGAAAGTCATTTTCAAAAGAGTATTTCGGATGGGATCACAGGATGGACATTATGAAAAAACATCTTCATCACCACTGGGGGGGGGGGGGAGCAAGTTAAACTCGGACTCCCCCCCCCCCCCCCTCTCTCTCTCTCTCTCTACGATCTATCTCTCTCTTTCTCCTGAGCTCTCTCTGGAGATCTCTCTTTGTTATATAAACAGACTAAATCATATCTTCTTACCGGTAGGAGCAGCAGTCACTGCCGTAAGCGCTGACAATTCACAGTTCATTCCAGAAAATCCTGTTAGACATACGCAGGTGTAATCAGTATCATCACCACTCATAAAACAGAGGCCACCATTTTGACATGGAGTTGGGATACAAGGGCCAGTGGCTAAACACAAAAAGACGAAAGAAACCAAAAGAGTTATATTCATAAAGGTGATCTTAAAGTCATTTTCAAAAGATGGCACATGACTTTATAAAAAAATCTTCATCACCACTGGGGGGGGGGGGGGGGCAAAGTTAAACTCGGTTCATGAATGCAAATAAATCTTCCTCTTTCTCTCTCTCTCTTTTATGTATACAGCCTTAATAATATCTTCTTACCGGTAGGAGCAGCAGTCACAGCAGTAAGCGCTGACAAGTCACAGTGCATTCCAGAAAATCCTGTTGGACATGCGCAGGTGTAATCAGTATCATCACCACTCATAAAACACATGCCACCATTCTGACACGGAGATGAGATACAAGGGCCAGTGGCTAAACACAAAAAGATAAAAGAAACAAAAAGAGTTATAAGATATGTTGATAAAGGTGATCTGAAAGTCATTTTCAAAAGAGTCCTTTAGATGGGATCACACGATTGAACCCAGCACATGACTGTATTACATTATAAAAAACATCTTCATTACCACCGGGGGGGGGGGGGGAGTTAAACTCAGTGCATGAATGCAAATAAATCCCCCTCCCTCTATCTCTCTCTTTCTCTCGAGCTTTCTCTCGATTCTTACCGGTAGGAGCAGCAGTCACTGCCGTAAGCGCTGACAATTCACAATTCATTCCAGAAAATCCTGTTAGACATACGCAGGTGTAATCAGTATCATCACCACTCATAAAACAGAGGCCACCATTCTGACATGGAGTTGGGATACAAGGGCCAGTGGCTAAACACAAAAAAATGAAAGAAACCAAAAGAGTTATAAGATACGTTGATAAAGGTGATCTTAAAGTCATTTTCAAAAGATGGCACACGACGTTATAAGAACATCTTCATCACCACTTAGGGGGGGGGGGGTGGGGGGGCAAAGTTAAACTCGGTGAATGAATGAAAATAAATCCTCCTCTCTCTCTCTCTCTCTCTCTCTCTCTCTCTCTCTTTTATGTATACAGCCTTAATCGTATCTTCTTACCGGTAGGAGCAGCAGTCACTGCCGTAAGCGCTGACAATTCACAGTTCATTCCAAAAAATCCTGTTGGACAGGCACAGGTGTAATCTGTATCATCACCACTCATAAAACACAGGCCACCATTCTGACATGGAGTTGGGATACAAGGGCCAGTGGCTAAACAAAAATAGATAAAAGAAACCAAAAGAGTTATAAGATATGTTGATAAAGGTGATCTGAAAGTCATTTTCAAAAGAGTATTTCGGATGGGATCACAGGATGGACATTATGAAAAAACATCTTCATCACCACTGGGGGGGGGGGCAAGTTAAACTCGGACTCCCCCCCCCCTCTCTCTCTCTACGATCTATCTCTCTCTTTCTCCTGAGCTCTCTCTGGAGATCTCTCTTTGTTATATAAACAGACTAAATCATATCTTCTTACCGGTAGGAGCAGCAGTCACTGCCGTAAGCGCTGACAATTCACAGTTCATTCCAGAAAATCCTGTTAGACATACGCAGGTGTAATCAGTATCATCACCACTCATAAAACAGAGGCCACCATTCTGACATGGAGTTGGGATACAAGGGCCAGTGGCTAAACACAAAAAGACGAAAGAAACCAAAAGAGTTATAAGTTAGTTCATAAAGGTGATCTTAAAGTCATTTTCAAAAGATGGCACATGACTTTATAAAAAAATCTTCATCACCACTGGGGGGGGGGGGGGCAAAGTTAAACTCGGTTCATGAATGCAAATAAATCTTCCTCTCTCTCTCTCTCTCTCTCTCTCTTTTATGTATACAGCCTTAATCAAATTACCGGTAGGAGCAACAGTCACTGCAGTAAGCGCTGACAATTCACAGTTCATTCCAGAAAATCCTGGTGGACAGGCGCAGTTGTAATCGGTATCATCACCACTCATAAAACAGAGGCCACCATTCTGACATGGAGATGAGATACAAGGGCCAGTGGCTAAACACAAACAGATAAAAGAAACCAAAAGAGTTATGAGATATGTTGATAAAGGTGATCTTAAAGTCATTTTCAAAAGATAGCACAGGACTGTATTACATTACAAAAACATCGTCATCACCACTGGGGGGGGGGGGGCAAATGTAAACCCGGTGCATGAATGCAAATAACTCCCCCCCCCCCCCCCCCCCCCCCCCCCCCCCCCCCCCCCCCCCCCCCCCCTCTCTCTCTCTCTCTCTCTAGATTTTTTTCTCTCTCTATCTCTATCTCTCTCTATCTCTCTCTCTCTCTCTCTTGTTATGTATAGAGACTAAATCATATTTAGCACATGACTGTATTACATTATAAAAAACATCTTCATCACCACCAGGAGGGAGGGGGGCAAGTTAAACTCGATGTATAAATGCAAATAAATCCCCTCTCTCTATCTCCCTATCTCTCTCTTTCTCTCGAGCTTTCTCTCGATTCTTACCGGTAGGAGCAGCAGTCACTGCAGTAAGCGCTGACAATTCACAGTTCATTCCAAAATATCCCGTTGGACATGCGCAGGTGTAATCAGTATCATCACCACTCATAAAACACAGGCCACCATTCTGACAAGGAAGCGAGGTACAAGATCCCATGGCTAAATACAAAGAAAGATGGAAAGGACTGTTAAGATGAGGATGAATTTTTCAGCTATTTCATCAAAACCTTCATCACAAATACTGCCAAGAAATCAACCTCAGAAAATTGTAGTAAACACCTTTTGAAGTGTGGACATTACAATGGACAAATAACGCAATCCAGTTGATCTCTTATAGGGATTAAAATAGGGATTAGAACTGCCCTTGAGTTGATTTCTCGAAAGTCTTTGAGATCGTGCTCGAAGAAATTTGAAAAAGAAAAATACTTGATAGGAAGATTTATAGGATACAAGTATAAAAAACACCAATGGCGACATATCACTATGTCCTACCATTTTGCATTGGTAAAATATAGGAGTATATAGTCTGGGGGCGGGGGTGGTACATCGCTTGGAATATATACACCAGTATACCTTTATCCCTTTTGACTTACGTGCTGGAGCAACCGTTGTTTGCTGTACCGACGCAAATCCTTCACAATTTATACCAAATAAGTTTTCCGGACAAATACATGTATAAGTTGTGTGGTCCGACTTAGAGAAACATTGTCCGTCATTTTGACATGGTTCCGACAGGCATGGGTTAGTCAGTGCTAGATTTACAAAGGAAGGCAGAGAAAAGGATTATTTAGTCAAGGTAAAAATGGCTGAAGCAGCTTAGAGGGAGAACTAGCTTCCATAAGGATACAAATGACCCACGGTTCAGATCGGTCACCATGGTCATAAGAATCTCCAATTTGCTGAGCCCAATTGTTTCATCGTTAGTTTTTTTTTTATATTTTGTTAATAATAATAACAATATTTATAAAGCGCAACATATCCATCTCTAGAGATGCTCAAGGCGCATACAAATAATTTAAATTAATATTCAACATAATTAAGATTTTAAAAAATATTAAATGTTAACTTGCATTAGATCATACAACTTCATGGTGCCAAGGTACATACAATGTGGCACAGTGCGATTGTTTGTTTTGTATGCATTGTATAAAAAGAACATTGAAATTTAACAATATGCATTGAGCATCAGGTGAGTTTTAAGCCCATTTTTGAAAGTAGAGAGAGTGTTGGCCGTCTGAATAGAGAAAGGTAACTTATTCCACAAAGAAGGAGCTGCTGATGCAAATGCTCTATCCCCCCAATTTCTTTTGGTACGTATTTCTTTAAGTCTAATATTATGTGATGAACGTAAACCAGAACGACCTGCAGAGTGGGGTGATAGAAGGGATGAAATATATTCTGGAGCTAGATCATTTAGTGCACGATAGGTTAAGAGTAGAATTTTATAGATAACACGCTGTTGAACAGGGAACCAGTGCAGAGATTTCAAGATAGGAGTGATATGTGATGATATTCTGGTGTTAGTTACAAGGCGAGCAGCAGCATTCTGAACTTTTTGCAATCGGTTAATTGGTTGGCGGGTAGTCGAAAGAGTAATGAATTGCAATTATCAAGGTGCGAAGTAACAAAAGCATGTACTAACTGTTGGGTTTTGTCTTTGTTTTTTTGTATGACAATATTAGTCTTCGTACTTTTGCAAAGTTATTTACTATTATTTTTATGATAAAACAAAATATTAATTGAAACTTTGGAATAAGAGAGTGAGAAGACATGAATAAAAGGAAATAAATTGTATGTTGTTGCATTGTACGTGCTCACAGGGGAAAGGAGAAAAGTGGTCCTACCAAAGCGTGTGGTGGGTAAATTATATAAAACAAGTAATGATGAATCATGTCTCATTTTGCAGCATCAACTATCTTTATACATAAAATGAGCAATACAATTTAATAGAATTCCAAAAGTTTAATTAAAATTACAAATGAGAAGTTTGATCTCAATCAAACTTATCACATACCATTGAAATCCTGTAATCGTTGAAGAGACCCAATCATAACCCTACGTCCCATGCTAAGAAGTTAAGACCTCTAGCTGCCTGGTTAGCCGGTATTTAATACATAACTTAGATAATTCTAGGAAAAGCTTGTAGAGGAAAACAATTATATTGTGTTTTGTATATCTGCATCTATTCAATTAGTCATATAGGAAAGATTTTTAGAAATGGCATTCAAAATAGTGGAGGTAGTATTTTATTTTATTTTTTAATTTCGGGGACAAAATGATTTTTTTTGTTGGTAGTGCTTTCTACCCTCCCCCCCCCCCTCTTTTTACCCCCCCCCTCCCCCCTCCCCCACACTGAGCGAAATATTGGTCGGCGTGATATTTAAGTTTCGGGGGGCAAAATGATCTTTACAAATTTAGTACTCGCTACCCCTATACTCTTTCTCTAAGAGAATTACATTATAAAAATATCTTCACCACCACTGTTGGGGAGGCAAAGATAACCTTGGTGCATCAATGAACATACCCCCCCCCCTCTCTCTCTCGCTCTCTCTCTCTTTGTTATTATACAAAATTAAATCATCTTTTCTTACCGGTAGGAGCAGCAGTCACTGCAGTAAGCGCTGACAATTCACAGTTCATTCCAAAAAATCCTGTTGGACAGGCACAGGTGTAATCTGTATCATCACCACTCATAAAACACAGGCCACCATTCTGACATGGAGATGAGATACAAGGGCCAGTGGCTAAACACAAATAGAGAAAAGAAACCAAAATAGTTATAAGTTAGTTGATAAAGGTGATCTTAAAGTCATTTTCAAAAGATGGCACATGACTTTATAAAAAAAATCTTCATCACCACTGGGGGGGGGGGGGGGGCAAAGTTAAACTCGGTTCATGAATGCAAATAAATCTTCCTCTCTCTCTCTCTCTCTCTCTCTCTCTTATGTATACAGCCTTAATCATATCTTCTTACCTGTAGGAGCAGCAGTCACTGCAGTAAGCGCTGACAAGTCACAGTTCATTCCAGAAAATCCTGTTGGACATGCGCAGGTGTAATCAGTATCATCACCACTCATAAAACACATGCCACCATTCTGACACGGAGATGAGATACAAGGGCCAGTGGCTAAACACAAACAGATAAAAGAAACCAAAAGAGTTATAAGATATGTTGATAAAGGTGATCTGAAAGTCATTTTCAAAAGAGTCCTTTAGATGGGATCACACGATTGAACCCAGCACATGACTGTATTACATTATAAAAAAAAACATCTTCATCACCACCGGGGTGGGGCAAGTTAAAGTTAGTGCATGAATGCAAATAAATCCCCCCTCTCTCTCTATCTCTCTATCTCTCTCTTTCTCTCGAGCTTTCTATCGATTCTTACCGGTAGGAGCAGCAGTCACTGCAGTAAGCGCTGACAATTCACAGTTCATTCCAAAAAATCCTGTTGGACAGGCACAGGTGTAATCTGTATCATCACCACTCATAAAACACAGGCCACCATTCTGACATGGAGATGAGATACAAGGGCCAGTGGCTAAACAAAAATAGATAAAAGAAACCAAAAGACAGATATGTTGATAAAGGTGATCTGAAAGTCATTTTCAAAAGAGTATTTCGGATGGGATCACAGGATGGACATTATAAAAAACATCTTCATCACCACTGGGGGGGGGGGGGGGGGGGGAAAGTAAAACTCGGACTCCCCGCCTCCCCCCCCCCCCTCTCTTCTCTCTCTCTCTCTACGATCTATCTCTCTCTTTCTCCTGAGCTCTCTCTCGAGATCTCTCTTTGTTATATAAACAGACTAAATCATATCTTCTTACCGGTAGGAGCAGCAGTCACTGCCGTAAGCGCTGACAATTCACAGTTCATTCCAGAAAATCCTGTTAGACATACGCAGGTGTAATCAGTATCATCACCACTCATAAAACAGAGGCCACCATTCTGACATGGAGTTGGGATACAAGGGCCAGTGGCTAAACACAAAAAGACGAAAGAAACCAAAATAGTTATAAGTTAGTTGATAAAGGTGATCTTAAAGTCATTTTCAAAAGATAGCACATGACTTTATAAAAAAATCTTCATCACCACTGGGGGGGGGGGGCAAAGTTAAACTCGGTTCATGAATGAAAATAAATCTTCCTCTCTCTCTCTCTCCCTTTTATGTATACAGCCTTAATCATATCTTCTTACCGGTAGGAGCAGCAGTCACTGCAGTAAGCGCTGACAAGTCACAGTTCATTCCAGAAAATCCTGTTGGACATGCGCAGGTGTAATCAGTATCATCACCACTCATAAAACACATGCCACCATTCTGACACGGAGATGAGATACAAGGGCCAGTGGCTAAACACAAACAGATAAAAGAAACCCAAAGAGTTATAAGATATGTTGATAAAGGTGATCTGAAAGTCATTTTCAAAAGAGTCCTTTAGATGGGATTACACGATTTAAACCAGCACATGACTGTATTACATTATAAAACTAGATGGAATTTTGACTGCGCGCAGTCGAAAATGATGCCTCCGCCATAGAGCAATTTAAACAAGTTTGGAGTTTAAATCTCCAGTGGTTCTTGAGATATCATGATAACAATCTCAATGAATGGAATTTCATAAGTTGACCTCTGTGACCCTTGACCTTTGACCTACGTGCTCCAAAATCTAATCAGATTGTCTTCCTATGGTGATACATACTATCCTTAAGTTTGAAGTTTAAATCTCAAATGGTTCTTGAGATATCGCGCTAACAAACTCAATACAAGGAATTTCATAAGTTGACCTCTGTGACCTGTGACCTTTGACCTACGTACTCCAAAATCTAATCAGATCGTCTTCCTATGGTGATACATACTATCCTTAAGTTTGAAGTTTAAATCTCCAGTGGTTCTTGAGATATTATGATAACAATCTCAATGTATGGAATTTCATAAGTTGACCTCTGTGACCCTTGACCTTTGACCTACGTGCTCCAAAATGTAATCAGATTGTTTTCCTATAGTGATACACACTATCACTAAGTTTGAAGTTTAAATCTCCAGTGGTTCTTGAGATATCATGATAACAATCTCAATGTATGGAATTTCATAAGTTGACCTCTGTGACCCTTGACCTTTGACATACGTGCTCCAAAATCTAATCAGATCGTCTTCCTATGGTGATACATACTATCCTTAAGTTTGAAGTTTAAATCTCAAATGGTTCTTGAGATATCGCGCTAACAAACTCAATACAAGGAATTTCATAAGTTGACCTCTGTGACCTGTGACCTTTGACCTACGTACTCCAAAATCTAATCAGATCGTCTTCCTATGGTGATACATACTATCCTTAAGTTTGAAGTTTAAATCTCAAATGGTTCTTGAGATATCGCGCTAACAAACTCAATACAAGGAATTTCATAAGTTGACCTCTGTGACCTGTGACCTTTGACCTACGTACTCCAAAATCTAATCAGATCGTCTTCCTATGGTGATAAATACTATTCCCGAGTCTTAAGTTTAAATCTTAAATGGTTCTTGAGATATTGTGATAACGGTCAAACGGGACGGACGTACGGACGGACGTACGGACGGACGTACGGACGTACGGACGTACGGACGGACAACCCGAAAACATGATGCCTCCGGCACCACCTTCGGTGGCGGAGGCATAAAAAACATCTTCATCACCACCGGGATGGGGCAAGTTAAAGTTGGTGCATGAATGCAAATAAATCCCCACTCTCTCTATATCTCTCTATCTCTCTCTTTCTCTCGAGCTTTCTATCGATTCTTACCGGTAGGAGCAGCAGTCACTGCAGTAAGCGCTGACAATTCACAGTTCATTCCAGAAAATCCTGTTGGACAGGCACAGGTGTAATCAGTATCATCACCACTCATAAAACACAGGCCACCATTCTGACATGGAGATGGGAAACAAGGGCCAGTGGCTAAACACAAACAGATAAAAGAAACCAAAAGACAGATATGTTGATAAAGGTGATCTGAAAGTCATTCTCAAAAGAGTATTTCGGATGGGATCACAGGATGGACATTATAAAAAACATCTTCATCACCACTGGGGGGGGGGGAAAGAAAAACTCGGACTCCCCGCCTCCCCCCCCCCCCCCTCTGACAATTCACAGTTCATTCCAGAAAATCCTGTTAGACATACGCAGGTGTAATCAGTATCATCACCACTCATAAAACAGAGGCCACCATTCTGACATGGAGTTGGGATACAAGGGCCAGTGGCTAAACACAAAAAGACGAAAGAAACCAAAATAGTTATAAGTTAGTTGATAAAGGTGATCTTAAAGTCATTTTCAAAAGATAGCACATGACTTTATAAAAAAATCTTCATCACCACTGGGGGGGGGGAAGTAAAACTCGGACTCCCCGCCTCCCTCCCCCCTCTTTCTCTCTCTCTCTCTACGATCTATCTCTCTCTTTCTCCTGAGCTCTCTCTCTCTCGAGATCTCTCTTTTTATAATCAGACTAAATCATATTTTCTTACCGGTAGGAGCAGCAGTCACTGCAGTAAGCGCTGACAATTCACAGTTCATTCCAGAAAATCCTGGTGGACAGGCGCAGTTGTAATCAGTATCATCACCACTCATAAAACACAGGCCACCATTCTGACATGGAGATGAGATACAAGGGCCAGTGGCTAAACACAAACAGATAAAAGAAACCAAAAGAGTTATGAGATATGTTGATAAAGGTGATCTTAAAGTCATTTTCAAAAGATAGCACATGACTGTATTACATTACAAAAACATTGTCATCACCACTGGGGGGGGGGGGGGGGCAAATGTAAATCCGGTGCATGAATGCAAATAACTCCCCCCCCCCCCCTCTCTCTCTCTCTCTCTCTCTCTAGATTTTTTTCTCTCTCTCTATCTCTCTCTCTCTTTGTTATGTATAGAGACTAAATCATATTTAGCACATGACTGTATTACATTATAAAAAACATCTTCATCACCACCAGGAGGGAGGGGGGCAAGTTAAAATCTGTGTATGAATGCAAATAAATCCCCTCTCTCTATCTCTCTATCTCTCTCTTTCTCTCGAGCTTTCTCTCAATTCTTACCAGTAGGAGCAGCAGTCACTGCAGTAAGCGCTGACAATTCACAGTTCATTCCAAAAATATCCCGTTGGACATGCGCAGGTGTAATCAGTATCATCACCACTCATAAAACAGAGGCCACCATTCTGACAAGGAAGCGAGGTACAAGATCCCATGGCTAAATACAAAGAAAGATGGAAAGGACTGTTAAGATGAGGATGAATTTTTCAGCTTTTTCATCAAAACCTTCATCACAAATACTGCCAAGAAATCAACCTCAGAAAATTGCAGTAAACACCTTTTGAAGTGTGGACATTACAATGACAAATAACGCGATCCAGTTGATCTCTTATAGGGATTAAAATAGGGATTAGAACTGCCCTTGAGTTGATTTCTCGAAAGTCTTTGAGATCGTGCTCGAAAAAATTTGAAAAAGAAAAATATTTGATAGGAAGGTTTATAGGATACAAATATAAAAAAAACACCAATGGCGACATATCACTATGTCCTACCATTTTGCATTGGTAATATATTAGGAGTATATAGTCTGGGGGCGGGGATGGTACATCGCTTGGAATATATACACCAGTATACCTTTATCCCTTTTGACTTACGTGCTGGAGCAACCGTTGTTTGCTGTACCGACGCAAATCCTTCACAATTTATACCAAATAAGTTTTCCGGACAAATACATGTATAAGTTGTGTGGTCCGACTTAGAAAAACAGTGTCCGCCATTTTGACATGGTTCCGACAGGCATGGGTTAGTCAGTGCTAGATTTACAAAGGAAGGCAGAGAAAAGGATTATTTAGTCAAGGTAAAAATGGCTGAAGCAGCTTAGAGGGAGAACTAGCTTCCATAAGGATACAAAAGACCCACGGTTCAGATCGGTCACCATGGTCATAAGAATCTCCAATTTGCTGAGCCCAATTGTTTCATCGTTAGTTTTTTTTATATATTTTGTTAATAATAATAACAATATTTATAAAGCGCAACATATTCATCTCTAGAGATGCTCAAGGCGCAAACAAATAATTTAAATTAATATTCAACATAATTAAGATTTTAAAAAATATTAAATGTTAACTTGCATTAGATCATACAACTTCATGGTGCCAAGGTACATACAATGTGGCACAATGCGATTGTTTGTTTTGTATGCATTGTATAAAAAGAACATTGAAATTTAACAATATGCATCTAGCATCAGGTGAGTTTTAAGCCCAGTTTTGAAAGTAGAGAGAGTGTTGGCCGTCTGAATAGAGAAAGGTAACTTATTCCACAAAGAAGGAGCTGCTGATGCAAATGCTCTATCCCCCCAATTTCTTTTGGTACGTATTTCTTTAAGTCTAATATTATGTGATGAACGTAAACCAGAACGACCTGCAGAGTGGGGTGATAGAAGGGATGAAATATATTCTGGAGCTAGATCATTTAGTGCACGATAGGTTAAGAGTAGAATTTTATAGATAACACGCTGTTGAACAGGGAGCCAATGCAGAGATTTCAAGATAGGAGTGATATGTGATGATATTCTGGTGTTAGTTACAAGGCGAGCAGCAGCATTCTGAACTTTTTTGCAATCGGTTAATTTGGTTGGCGGGTAGTCGAAAGAGTAATGAATTGCAATTATCAAGGTGCGAAGTAACAAAAGCATGTACTAACTGTTGGGTTTTGTCTTTTGTTTTTTTGTATGACAATATTAGTCTTCGTAATTTTGCAAAGTTATTTATTATTATTTTTATGATAAAACAAAATATTAATTGAAACTTTGGAATAAGAGAGTGAGAAGACATGAATAAAAGGAAATAAATTGTATGTTGTTGCATTGTACGTGCTCACAGGGGAAAGGAGAAAAGTGGTCCTACCAAAGCGTGTGGTGGGTAAATTATATAAAACAAGTAATGATGAATCATGTCTCATTTTGCAGCATCAACTATCTTTATACATAAAATGAGCAATACAATTTAATAGAATTCCAAAAGTTTAATTAAAATTACAAATGAGAAGTTTGATCTCAATCAAACTTATCACATACCATTGAAATCCTGTAATCGTTGAAGAGACCCAATCATAACCCTACGTCCCATGCTAAGAAGTTAAGACCTCTAGCTGCCTGGTTAGCCGGTATTTAATACATAACTTAGATAATTCTAGGAAAAGCTTGTAGAGGAAAACAATTATATTGTGTTTGTATATCGGCATCTATTCAATTAGTCATATAGGAAAGATTTTTAGAAATGGCATTCAAAATAGTGGAGGTAGTATTTTATTTTATTTTTTTAATTTCGGGGACAAAATGATTTTTTTTGTTGGTAGTGCTTTCTACCCTCCACCCACGCTCTTTCTACCCCCCCCCCCCTCCCCCTCCCCCACACTGAGCGAAATATTGGTCGGCGTGATATTTAAGTTTCGGGGGGCAAAATGATCTTTACAAATTTAGTACTCGCTACCCCTATACTCTTTCTCTAAGAGAATTACATTATAAAAATATCTTCACCACCACTGTTGGGGAGGCAAAGTTAACCTTGGTGCATCAATGAAAATAACCCCCCCCCCCCCTCTCTCTCTCTCTCTCTCTCTCTCTTTGTTATTATACAAAATTAAATCATCTTTTCTTACCGGTAGGAGCAGCAGTCACTGCAGTAAGCGCTGACAATTCACAGTTCATTCCAAAAAATCCTGTTGGACAGGCACAGGTGTAATCTGTATCATCACCACTCATAAAACACAGGCCACCATTCTGACATGGAGATGGGATACAAGGGCCAGTGGCTAAACAAAAATAGATAAAAGAAACCAAAAGACAGATATGTTGATAAAGGTGATCTGAAAGTCATTTTCAAAAGAGTATTTCGGATGGGATCACAGGATGGACATTATAAAAAAAACATCTTCATCACCACTGGGGGGGGGGGCAAGTTAAACTCGGACCCCCCTCTCTCTCTCTCTCTCTCTCTACGATCTATCTCTCTCTTTCTCCTGAGCTCTCTCTCGAGATCTCTCTTTGTTATATAAACAGACTAAACCATATCTTCTTACCGGTAGGAGCAGCAGTCACTGCCGTAAGCGCTGACAATTCACAGTTCATTCCAGAAAATCCTGTTAGACATACGCAGGTGTAATCAGTATCATCACCACTCATAAAACAGAGGCCACCATTCTGACATGGAGTTGGGATACAAGGGCCAGTGGCTAAACACAAAAAGACGAAAGAAACCAAAAGAGTTATAAGTTAGTTGATAAAGGTGATCTTAAAGTCATTTTCAAAAGATGGCACATGACTTTATAAAAAAATCTTCATCACCACTGGGGGGGGGGGGGGCAAAGTTAAACTCGGTTCATGAATGCAAATAAATTTTCCTCTCTCTCTCTCTCTCTCTCTTTTATGTATACAGCCTTAATCATATCTTCTTACCGGTAGGAGCAGCAGTCACTGCAGTAAGCGCTGACAAGTCACAGTTCATTCCAGAAAATCCTGTTGGACATGCGCAGGTGTAATCAGTATCATCACCACTCATAAAACACATGCCACCATTCTGACATGGAGATGAGATACAAGGGCCAGTGGCTAAACACAAAAAGATAAAAGAAACCAAAAGAGTTATAAGATATGTTGATAAAGGTGATCTGAAAGTCATTTTCAAAAGAGTCCTTTAGATGGGATCACACGATTGAAACCAGCACATGACTGTATTACATTATAAAAAAATGTTGATAAAGGTGATCTGAAAGTCATTTTCAAAAGAGTCCTTTAGATGGGATCACACGATTGAACCCAGCACATGACTGTATTACATTATAAAAAAACATTTTCATCACCACCGGGGGGGGGGGGGGGTTCAACTCAGTGCATGAATGCAAATAAATACCCCCCTCTCTCTCTCTATCTCTCTATCTCTCTCTTTCTCTCGAGCTTTCTCTCGATTCTTACCGGTAGGAGCAGCAGTCACTGCCGTAAGCGCTGACAATTCACAGTTCATTCCAGAAAATCCTGTTAGACATACGCAGGTGTAATCAGTATCATCACCACTCATAAAACAGAGGCCACCATTCTGACATGGAGTTGGGATACAAGAGCCCGTGGCTAAACACAAAAAGACGAAAGAAACCAAAAGAGTTATAAGTTAGTTGATAAAGGTGATCTTAAAGTCATTTTCAAAAGATGGCACATGACTTTATAAAAAAATCTTCATCACCACTGGGGGGGGGGGGGGGGGGCAAAGTTAAACTCGGTTCATGAATGCAAATAAATCTTCCTCTCTCTCTTTTATGTATACAGCCTCAATCATATCTTCTTACCGGTACGAGCAGCAGTCACTGCAGTAAGCGCTGACAAGTCACAGTTCATTCCAGAAAATCCTGTTGGACATGCGCAGGTGTAATCAGTATCATCACCACTCATAAAACACAGGCCACCATTCTGACACGGAGATGAGATACAAGGGCCAGTGGCTAAACACAAAAAGATAAAAGAAACCAAAAGGGTTATAAAATATGTTGATAAAGATGATCTGAAAGTCATTTTCAAAAGAGTCCTTTAGATGGGATCACACGATTGAAACCAGCACATGACTGTATTACATTATAAAAAAAACATCTTCATCACCACCGGGGTGGGGCAAGTTAAAGTTGGTGCATGAATGCAAATAAATCCCCCCTCTCTCTCTTTATATTTCTCTCTTTCTCTCGAGCTTTCTATCGATTCTTACCGGTAGGAGCAGCAGTCACTGCAGTAAGCGCTGACAATTCACAGTTCATTCCAGAAAATCCTGTTGGACAGGCACAGGTGTAATCTGTATCGTCACCACTCATAAAACACAGGCCACCATTCTGACATGGAGATGGGATACAAGGGCCAGTGGCTAAACACGAATAGATAAAAGAAACCAAAAGAGTTATAAGATTTTGTTGATAAAGGTGATCTGAAAGTCATTTTCAAAAGAGTATTTCGGATGGGATCACAGGATGTACATATATTATAAACAAGGGAGACGCTCTCGGCGGTCTCGCCTGCATTACACAATTTAATATGATGAAAAATTGAGGTTGGGACATTATTCATAGGCAAGGTGGCCCATTAGTAGCCCCCCCCCCTCCCCAATGAAATCCTAAGAATATAATAAGCATTTTGAAGTGAATATTGACCAAGAGTCATCGGAAGAATTATTTACTATAACTGGTACCAAGATTAATAACTTTAAAGGAATATGAAAATATAACAAAAATTGATTTATTAATCCTCACACACAAACCTAAAATGACCTTTGACCTTGACTTTGTGACCTGAAATTCTACTCACATGATTGGGGATACTTGATAACCCTATAGTCCAACTTTTATTGACTAAGAACTTATACTTTCACAAATTATATCAAAAATTCTAAAACTTAACCTTAGGTTAAATTTTCGATGATGATGCCACAACATAGTCCAAGTCTGTTGACCTGAAGTGACCTTTGACCTTGTGACCTGAAATTCTACCCACATAATTGGGGATACTTGATAACCCTATAGTCCAAGTTTCAGTCTTTTGACTTTTGCAACGTTCTTTATTTTCATTTTTATAATAAAACAAATATTGTATTAAACTTTGGAATAAGAGAGTGAGAAGACATGAATAAAAGGAAATAAATTGTATGTTGTTGCATTGTACGTGCTCACAGGGGAAAGGAAAAAAGTGGTCCTACCAAAGCGTGTGGTGGGTAAATTATATAAAAGAAGTAATGGTGAATAATGCCTCATTTTGCAGCATAAACTATCTATATACATGAAATGAGTAATTAATTTAATGGAATTGCAAAAGTTTAATTAAAATGGCAAATGAGAAATTTGATATTAATCAAAGTGATATCACATACCATTGAAATCCTGTAGTCGTTGAAGAGACCCAATCATAACCCTACGTCCCATGCTAAGAAATTAACACATCTAGCTGCATGGTAAGCCGGTATATAATACAAAACTCTAAAGTAAAGCTTGTAGAGGAAAAAAAAATATTTTGTGTTTTGTATCTCTGCATCTATTCAATTAGTTATTCAAAAAAGTGGAGGTACTAATTTTATTTCTATTTTAATTTCGGGGGCAAAATGATCTTTAAAAATTTAGTACTCACTACCCCTATACTCTTTTCTATGAAGCAGTTTTGACTTACGTGGGGCAACCGTTGTTTGCTGTACCGTCAGGACCGCTTCACAATTTGTACCAAAAACGTTTCCCGGACAAATACATCTATAGGCTGTGTTGTCTGACTGAGCAAAACATCGTCCGCCATTTTGACATGGCTCCGACATGCATGGATTCATAACTATTAATAAGAAATAACGGAGTATATAAGATTTATAATGTATTTTATTTGGTAACATCATGAATGATATTGTAACAAATCAGTGTTTTAGTATTGGACGAAGGTTAAGCATTTTCTGTTGTACGAGCATGCGCTATAGCAATATGGTGCATCGTTGATTTAGCAATTACTAAACTGAAGGAAAATGAGCATAAATTACATGTTTTGATCATGTTGGTGCAATTATCATGTTTCTTTTGGGGATATTACTTGTATAGTAGTGATCTAATCAGAAATAAGGGGTTATACTGAAGATTATATGTGAAGATTTTATGGGATTAGTAGAAATGTTGTGTTGAAGTGTTGTTTTACTAACGAGGACATAATTGTTCTTTTACAAGGTTATGTATAGGGAAATTAATATTACGGCAGGGTTGTGCATCTAGGGCTTTCCACTGCACTGTATCCGATACAGGCCAGCCTCACCGAGGCTGGCCTGATAATTGGCCTGATAGTTTGCCTGATAGTTGACCTGGCCTAAGCCTCTAAGCCAAGTCTCATATAGTTTGCACTGTACTTGTACTGAGTTTACCCGATTGTTGAATGGATCGCAATAAAGACTTTCAACCTACACATCATGATTGGTTTGATTTCTTGGAGCAGTGAAACTAAGGGACGAGAACCTGTGACAAGTGTTGACAAGGGAAATTGATTGTTCGAAGGATGCTCAATTGATTGATGCTGTGAACGAGGCGTTTAGGTGACCGATTGTAGTCGATGGACGAATGATTGTTGAGATACGTGTGAGCAGTTAATAACTCCAGCCATTAAGCTACGGGCATATATTTTGTCCAAACGGACGGAGAGCGCCTGGCCAGATACGGGGCATCCTGACAAATATTCCGTGTCAAGCCAAGGTGGCGAAATCGTGTCCGCTACACATGGTGTCAGAAGTGGGATAGCTGATGGTGTGGAGTGGTCGAGCTGACGGAGCTAGGGGACGACGGCAGTAGCACTGACGGAGCTGGGGGACCATGGGCAGTAAGTCTGATAGGCGTCACAAGCTGGTAGAGCTGACGGAGCTGGGGGACGACAGGCAGTAAGACTGACGGCGTCACAGCTGGTTGAGCTGGGGGACGACGGGCAGTAGGTCTGACGGTGTCACAAGCTGGTAGAGCTGACGGAGCTGGGGGACGACGGGCAGAAGGCCTGACGGCGTCACAAGCTGGTAGAGCTGACGGAGCTGGGGGACGACGAAGGGCAGTAGGTCGTACGGCGTCACAGCTGGTCGAGCTGATAAAGCTTGGGGGCGACGTGCAGTGAGACTGCCGCGTCACAGCTGGTCGAGCTGAAGGAGCTTGGGGACAACGGGCAGTAAGACTGACTGCGTCACAGCTGGTCGAGCTGACGGAGCTTGGGGACGACGGGAGGTAGCATTGACGGTGTTGCAACTGCATGGTCGAGCTGACGGAAGTACGGAACGACAATGGAGAGAAAGAACAATGAGCCCAGGGATGCTGAGAAGGAAAGGAAACGAACTAACTTTTGAACAGTTGAACACTTTTGGAAAGAGCCATTTTGAACTGTCAGAAAAGACTTGGATTTTAGTTTTGATTTGTTTTGTTGTTGTTGCATAAGTTATAGATAAGTTAGCTTGGGGACCAAGCTTGGGAGGGAAGGGAATTGTGTAACAAATCAGTGTTTTAGTATTGGACGAAGGTTAAGCATTTTCTGTTGTACGAGCATGCGCTATAGCAATATGGTGCATCGTTGATTTAGCAATTACTAAACTGAAGGAAAATGAGCATAAATTACATGTTTTGATCATGTTGGTGCAATTATCATGTTTCTTTTGGGGATATTACTTGTATAGTAGTGATCTAATCAGAAATAAGGGGTTATACTGAAGATTATATGTGAAGATTTTATGGGATTAGTAGAAATGTTGTGTTGAAGTGTTGTTTTACTAACGAGGACATAATTGTTCTTTTACAAGGTTATGTATAGGGAAATTAATATTACGGCAGGGTTGTGCATCTAGGGCTTTCCACTGCACTGTATCCGATACAGGCCAGCCTCACCGAGGCTGGCCTGATAATTGGCCTGATAGTTTGCCTGATAGTTGACCTGGCCTAAGCCTCTAAGCCAAGTCTCATATAGTTTGCACTGTACTTGTACTGAGTTTACCCGATTGTTGAATGGATCGCAATAAAGACTTTCAACCTACACATCATGATTGGTTTGATTTCTTGGAGCAGTGAAACTAAGGGACGAGAACCTGTGACAAGTGTTGACAAGGGAAATTGATTGTTCGAAGGATGCTCAATTGATTGATGCTGTGAACGAGGCGTTTAGGTGACCGATTGTAGTCGATGGACGAATGATTGTTGAGATACGTGTGAGCAGTTAATAACTCCAGCCATTAAGCTACGGGCATATATTTTGTCCAAACGGACGGAGAGCGCCTGGCCAGATACGGGGCATCCTGACAAATATTCCGTGTCAAGCCAAGGTGGCGAAATCGTGTCCGCTACAATATATCATTAAAGAGCAATTAGATATCTATAAAAACTAAGTGAATCTTCTGAAGTTGAAATTGGGCTGTTGTTGCATAGCCATAGGTGACAAGAAGACACAAACAAATTACTAATGTCTAAGACAAGTGAAAAGTCTCTCAATCTTGCTAACAAATATTGATGAATCATGTCTCATTTTGCAGCATAAACTATCTACATGAAATGAGTAATACACTTTAAAGGTAATACAAAGTTTTGGGAAATTCGAAAATTGGGTGGATAGTGATTCTTTACAATTTTGATATATTTGGATGCCCCTGTGGATGTATTATAAGCACTAGAAAATTTAGCCCCTTAAACACTTCTGCTTTCGAGAAAAAATTAATATAAACATTTACCGGTGCTCCCGGTAAATTTTGATAAATTTCAAATAGCGCTCACGGCCGTACAATGGTAGCTGCGACCATGAAAATTTCAGAACATGTAGTTGTGATATATAATTTCCAAACGGGGATAGCTAATCGGTCGATTTTAGTCAAGAAACATTGTTTTATAGCTTAATTAATATCTTGACCTTGAGAGGGAGCTATACAACATAAAGAGTGTATTATTTATAATTTCATAATTTTAGACTCTATTTCAACCGCAACAACGATCACTGAATATTGTAGGATCGCATATGCTTCCAATATGTTCATTTGAACCAAATTCATGGCCCCATACCAAAACTTTGTATTACCTTTAATGGGATTGCAAAAGTTTGATTGAAATGGCAATTGAGAAGTTTGATTTCAATCAAACTTATCACATAAATCCTGTAATCGTTGAAGAGATACAATCAAAACCCTAAGTCCCATGATCAGAGATTAAGACCTCTAGCTGCATGGTAAGCTGGTATATTCTGGGGTATTTTCTCCTAAGGGAGAAAAAAATGGTTCCTAGAAATGTACAACAAAGCAGTATCAGACTGCCTTTGCAATATAATCACTTTTTTGCAGAAATGGAAGAGGAGATTGAATTATTATTTACCTCTTTGCGTCAATGTTCTCGATTTGACTTGTACCCAGAATATCCTCCGTTCTTGTACAAACGTTCCACTGTGTTGGATCAAAAAATAACATACACATAAGGATAATATCTTCATCATTTATGTAATGCGAGTTAATAACTTTCGGCCTATACTGATTAAGTATTAATTATCTCTTTTTTTTTCTCGCTATTCCAAAAGTGTCGGTCTATTATGACTTTGTAGCGAAATTGCACCAATATTCAACAGATGATAAAAGCGCATCTCTCTCATCTCTCTTTCTCTCTTCCTCTTACTTTTTCTTCTCCTTTTCGCTCCATTCATACTGCCCTCCTACATCTTAAACCTGTGTCATTCTTCTTCTTCTCTCAAAATCATGATGTAAGATGACACTTGGTTGTTGTGTTAACATGGCCATAATAATAAATGACATATACTTACACAAACTGAATATCGCCAACTCCGGCGGATGGTGCCTGCCACATAAACGTAAGATCCGACGGATTCTTATCCGAGCTCTCCGTGTGGGTAACCGAATCTCCGGTCGCTAAAAAGTTGTTCGTTTGAAATGTATCCGGGAAGTCAGACCATGTGCCAACGGCTGCAGGTGATCCGACCAGTCTGGCTTGCATGAGAAGACCCCGTAACGTTTGATCTCCAGTTATCCGGACTGTAATAAAGATTTAAACAAGTTATGACAATTAATTTGCCCATTTTAAGATTATGCTGCCACCAGTTGGTGAGACTCGACCCATGGAGTGATAGAGAGAATGAGTGAAGATATTAAAGGTAATACAAAGTTTGGGGAAATTTTGAAAATTGGGTGGATAGTGATTCTTTACAATTTTTATATTATTTGGATGCCCCTGTGGATGTAGTATAAGCACGAGCAAAATTTAGCCCCTAAAACACTTCTGCTTTCGAGAAAAAATGAATGTAAAAATTTCAAATAGCGCCTACGGCCGTACAATGGTAACTGCGACAGAGTATTGTGATATATCATTCCCAAATGGGGATAGCTAATCTGTCGATTTTAGTCAAGAAACATTGTTTTTAGCGTAATTAATATCTTGACCTTGAGAGGGAGCTATACAACATAAAGAGTTTATTATTTACAATTTCATAACTTTAGACTCGATTTCAACCGCGACAAGGATCACTGAATATTGTAGGATCGCATATGCTTCCAATATGTTCATTTGAACTAAATTCATGACCCCATACCAAACTTTGTAATACATTTAAGATAAGTCATATCAACCCTTACTCACTGGCTTGATAGCCATACAGATTTTGAAAGTGGGAGCAAAGATGGGAATAACACACAAGATCGGAAAGTAACATATAGATCCTTGGAATATCATTATTTATCGAATCAACACAGGGACCATAGCCCCTTGACCCCCCCCCCCTCCCTTAGCCTACACCCATGTTTTACTATATATTGTCTATTTTTTTACACCCAATGACTGATAGCAAATAACTGATGTACACAAGCACACTCTCCCTCCAATTTCAAAGCTATATAGGAATATTCCCCAGAATTAAATTTCATTCAAAATAACTGTCCAAGTCATCATGTTCATAAAGCCATCCCCGTGGAATACTCTTCCCGTTGTCGGTGGAGAGGGGGGGGGGGGGGTGTCAATACGTTTTTATTCTGCAGTAGGGGGTCGTGGGTCGACACATCCCTATATTATCCCTATACCCTATACATCAAATAACCACTAAGCAGTAAACACTGTGGACCAGGTAGAGTGGATGAGGGACCAAGACACAATAGATCTTGTGTGATTTCCAAGCCTTACAAAAGAGAAAGTCCAATAGAAGCAAACCCTGAACCAGCTCTAATCCTCTTCCGTTTAACAGAAAGAAACTTTTCTGAAAGTAATGGGAATTATACGGGTTTTTTTAAGAGGGAACGGAATGCATAGCCTAGTGCTAAGTTCTATGTTGTATAATGAACGATTTATACAAAATGAGAATTGAGATAAATAAGGTACACTGGAATTTCAGCAGCAGATATCACTTGGTTGGTCTAATAATCTAAAATGCAATGATTCCTTTTTAAGTACATTAACAATTTCAAAAAGAAATCTGAGTCATATCCGATATATTGCATTCTACTTTATCATTATTGACACTGTTAGGTGTTGCCCCCTCCCCCACTTAGATGAAACAGTAAAATATATTGTTCAAGGGTGGAAGAACATATACAGAACAACCATGATTCATAAGGCGTGTACATGTAAATCATGCCAATGTAGCTTCTATGATTAAAAAACCGTGGTCAATTGTACAAACTTACTTCGTTTCAAATGCTCTGACTTTGACGGTTTTGTTCGCATGTACAAATATTGTCAGCAAATAAAAAACGGTTTACCCCACTATTCACTGCACCATTGAAATAGAATTGTATCGCTGTCAACTAACAAACTCATAAATATTCATGAAATTCCTTTCACACAGCACTGCAAAGTTTATTCAAGTATATAAACATGTAACACAATTTGAAAATTCAAGTACCGGTATTTGCAACGCTTCTCACATAGTACTTGCACCAAACCAGATTCGGCGTGCGGATGTGTCGTCCGTTATTGTTTAATGACTGTCGTTTCGATTTTGTTCGATTTCTTCATCAGCATTATAAATATGAGACAAACTTTGATATGATGCAAACCAATTTTTACAGTGTTAAAAAGATAAGACAGTAAACCTACACAAACAAGCAACAATTTAAATAATTTATCAAGTATTTTGTCGTAAGGATGTATATAGAAAACGTTAAGATAAACCAAAATATTATGCCGGATTGTACTTCAATACTCCATACAATATTCATTTCGTTTGAGAATACATGTGGTAATCAATTATAAAGCGAGACTTTACAGATATTTCTATTAATGGGGTATGTGAATTGTGTTAAATATTCCTAATCGTTGGAGAAAAATATTTATGTATATACTATTACATATTTTTCTTTTCCAACATGACTGTTCATGTAGTTTTTCAAATTTAAGAGTGAATAACTTATATCAGCGCCGAACTAGTTATAATATATTATGTACCTCCCAAAAGTGCATATGTATGGTTACAAATCCAATTTAGCAGTGATGAAGCACTGTAAGACATCTAAGACGTGCAATGACACGAGACCTATCTTGATGAATCATAATCTATTGAAAAGATCATCTACAGAGCAGATTAGGCAACCTTGGCGACGCGGATTATGAGTCGCTAGCATTACATTCTTGGGAATGAAGCTTCGATCGAGTGGTAAGTGTCTATACAGTGCGTCCAAGAAAAAACGAAACCGAGAATTATTGATGATTTATCATAACTTAGTCACATTTATAATTAATAAATTACACATATTTGGAAAGCTTAGACCCTCCTCTTTCATTTGATGCAACTCACATGATGCATGTGTCACGCATGACTTATCAAAATGAATTTGAAGAGAGGAAATCAAAAAGTCATTTGGCGGACGGCATCTGAATTTCAAAAAAAAATTCTAGAAATTTGAATTTCTGCCCGTTCATATGACACCTCAATTAGGAAAAATGAGCGAGGAATGACAAAGTTACGTTTGTTTAAAGTAGTGCTTGCATTTCCATATTTTATCAAACGAATTCGTTCTCACTGGCTGCCTGCAGTAGCAACAAGCAAAATTGTCAACAGTCTTAACTCCGTTTCGTTGACAATCAGCCATGCATGAAGTCTTTCGTCTACGGCTGATTGCCAACGAAACGGAGTTATGCGTGAAAATTTAATGTGCATTATATGAGTTGCATCAAATGAAAGATGAGGATCTAATCTTTCCAACTAGGTGTCATTTATCAATTACAATTGTGATTAAGTTATGATAAAACATCGATAATTCTCGGTTTCGTTTTTACTGGGACGCACTGTATAGAGGATTTATGCTTGGACAGATTTAAAAAAAATAAATAACTCTTGAGCTTTCTCACCTTAAGTAAGTGAGTTTGGAAGAATTTCATAGCAGTAACTACTCTGAAAAAGATCGCTTTTCAAAAGCCATTAATCACATTGTGATTTGAAATAGCTTGAACGTAATTTGGACCAAACATGTATGTACAGACCTATTTAATAATGTCTGTATACTATTCAGCATGATTGGGTCAACTTCTTTACATTTTATCATTCCACAGCTTCATAATATACATCAATTCTTATTTACTACATAGGTATAATCAACCCTTTCCAATAGCTTCAGACAGTTTCCTTCACAATGCGCATGACCAATAATCGGCTTTTATCGTAGAGGGTAGTGTCAGACATTAGCAGATACAAAGAAGGGGTTAGGGTTATGGGGTGGGGGCTTTCTACTCATGATAGCCACAGTAATTTTTCAATCTGGATCAAGCAAACAATATACCTTTGACTCTCCACTTAATGACGCTAACAGATAATTACAGGGAAAGTCTGTATACTCACTCTGCCCAGACATTACTAATTAGTGTCACAAAATGGACAATGTTGGGCCTTTTTCAAAGTAGCATTCCGACAACAGAATTCAGAGACTCCATAATACAAAAGGGGGTTTAGTAAAACAATGTTTTTAAGCCTACCAATCACCAAGATCTATTAATGTAGATGATATGTTTGGTCATGCATATAGAAGCCCTCTACTATATACTGGCTAATAAACCGTCTTCTATCCTGTCCGTGTTGACCTCACGGGTCTCCATAGGACATAGACATATTTTCATTGCATATCATTTTAAAACGATAGAGAAAGTTGTCAATATGAACTTTTTTTTTTATGTCTGATTATCATGACATATTTTAGTAATCTCCATGAGTATTCCAGGTTGGATAAATGTGGATAAAGGGATGTTTACAAATAAGAAATTGCCCAATTTACTCGGCCTGTATAGGCCGCAAATATTTGACTCCATGGATGAACAATAAGGGTAGGCATACGAATTTCCACTATTAAAGAATGCTACAGGTAAAAGCATCATATCATCGATGTTCATGGTTTTAGAAAAAGAACGATAAAATCTTGTTAGGTAATGAATACTATTTCTGAAATATCAAAGCTACCTTAAATCTCATTAATGAAATTATGTTCATGCTAATCATGTTTCTGAATTAAGGCTACCATTGTAACAGGGAAACATTGTCTATTGACAGAACGCAGTGATGGGTAATAATCTGACGGATTTGTGTCGAAAAACGCCGCCATTGCGACATCCTGACCTTATATAATTCATTTCATTTCAGACCCGCCTTCGGTTCGGTAACTTTCTCGCGTTAGATCATCTTTGTAAAACTGTGTCTTCACAAACTTAAATCGAGACTTTCGCAACACAACGCCTGACCTCGTTTTTACTTTGTTCACTAATCTCTGAATGTACCAACCACCTTCAACTAGTACAGAATGGCCATAGAGTACCGAAGTTGTTACATCTTAACAAATTATTCTTATAATTTCTCCGTTTTTTCTTCATCTTCCGAAAGAGCATAACAAATAATGTCCAAATGTCGAAAACCAGTTGAAAATGTTAAATATTGGCTGAGATATGACCATCTGAATGAATAGATTTCCTATAGGAGCTCAGTTTTATATTGCTCTGGTTCATAACTTTATCTCAGCCAATACTTCACACTTTCTTCTTCTATTTCTTCTTCTTCGTTTTAAGT